ANAGTTATACTGGTGGTGTTCCTTATTACGTTGTTTATGTTTTAAAGAAATTGTGCGAGACTTGTAGAATTGTTTCGAGATCCATTGATCCTTCAGAGGATGAAATCCAAAGTAGAATAGAGCAAATTCCTCCTGACTCTTCGCTTTCGGTGAGACCTTCTCATAGGACACCAGAGGCAATGACTACTTTCACTGCTATGCTTCTCGCGAGTATGTTAGAATTTCGTATTCCTATGGAAGAGACTCTGTTGGGTAGTGTATCTATGGGACTTGATTCCAAATATGTTCTGGATATTGCTAATCATTTTGGTTTTTATTACGAAAATTGTTCTAAGAATGAACACGGTGAAGAGATTGAAGCAAGTCTCAACCCAATAGAACAAACATTTGTCAAGTTGGTTTTTCCAAAAATTGCTTTAAAGTATATCGAAATTGAATGCTGGGATGTTCCTCCTATTCGTTTTATTTGTAGTTTGTTTTCATCCATTAGTCGCTTTGACTCACCTTCTAGTCGTGGTTTCAAGTTTGAAATTATATTTACTCTTATTCTTTATGTTCGATGGTGTTTTTGTTCCAGATTGGGTGAATTGAGTCTATTTCGGCATAGTCTTGTAGAAGATATTCCTATAAAAGTTGGGCGGAGAGTGGTAGGAGAATTCGAAAAGGATCCTATTCTCAAGTATGTTCCAGCATTGAGTTCCACAGTTGTTGGTATTCATAGTGCCAGCGAAGAAACTTATCATGTGAGTGCTTGGAAGCCGTTGTTTGAAACTTGGTTATCAAATGATGGAATATTTATTCCTACAAGGCAAAACTCCAGTGGACCTGATGTTCTTATTCGAGTAACACAAACTAGCGACAATTCTATTCTTATTGGACAAGATGCATCTTCTGTAGAGCAAATATCCATGGAAACTGAAACCAGTGCAAGTGATATTTTGAACAAACGGAGGATCTATTTGATTGGGATTGCATTGAAGTGTTATCAAATGTCAAGTCCTGGTGTTGGACGTTCTATGATTAAAGCAGAATGTGCTAAATTTTTACATCCAGTTGCGTCACAATTGGACTTGGAGAATCATAATATAATGGCAATTCAGCTTATTGTAAGCAACAAGTATACTGCAGAAGTATCCAAACAGCTGAAAGACAACCAAAATTGGGTATTGGATAGTGGAATTTATTATGAAGACCATAACAATCATATTGTCTCTAGTCCTATCAATTCTGCGACAAAACCACAGAATACAAGGGAAGAATGGCTATGGATTCCTCCTCATTGTCAAGTTGTAGTATGTTCTACCAGCTCTCTCAAATCCTTTTTAGGTTGCAAGGCTAGTGAAGATCTAGATAGAGTTTTTGGAGACCATCCATTATGGTTGGACCAACTCAGACCACTTTCAAATCTGTTGGAAAATTCATTGATAGACCTGTTGAGCCGTGCACCATTTGAGCAGTCTTCTGAGAGGAATATTCAATCCATGGAGAGGGGTAACCCAGTTATGAATTGGAATGTTATGCAAGTGGAAGAAGAAGATACACGAGGCGAACAAAGGGTTGCAGCATCGAGTTCTTTGTCTTCGTCATTTGATTGGAATACTTTCCTAAGAGACCGTTGTGGTCTTTCTGAAGAAGATGTTGCCTATTGTTTGCCCAAGCTGTCCTTCATAGGAATGATAGATTTGAGTGGCGTGACAACAGAGTTTCTTTTGAAGTGCGGTATCGATAGTCCTTCACTAAGATTGCGAATTATGTTAGGAATACGACAGCTTTTAGCAAAGTAGCTTTTATGGACTAGTTTGTGGTATGCCCATGATTTCCCTGTAGAAGATGATGGAAGCCTTATAGAAGTCGTAGTCCTAATAAAGACATGTAATTTTTGTTTTTATCTCACTGCAAAGTCATTACGTGCTTAGTAACTTGAGATATCTTGCCAATATGCTGAGGAAGCAAAAAGCTTCTGTTTAGTTGTTCTTTATTCAGATTCATCTACAAAAGTGTTGGCAATCTATTTAGATAAACTTGCACTTCTTTTACCGTTTGCAAATGTTAGTTACGCTTCCGTAGATATGGATTTCAATTTCCTTATCGCGTTTTGGCAGGATTGTTATTGAAAAATGTTCTTGACATAACTGACGAGGATGAAAGCATATAATGTCATCAAGATAAGTATATTCATTTTTCAGAGATCACAAGGCCAAACAAAGTTCACTGAAAGAGTTCAAATGTTCTGATACGCAGTAGGCTGAATTTGCATCTGTTGAAACACGAACCAGCACGCTGTTCATTGCCACACTTGAACTTCAAGTGAACTCGACTTTGAGGTAACTTCTTTAAGGAAGATGTTCTGAAATAACACTAAATATGAATAACATGACCCAAAGTATTATAGCTCACAAAAGAGCTTAAGGTTCCCTCTTTGTTATTTTAAACTTATTTTTCAATACTACTTATCCTTAGATAATGAAGAATCTGTTTCAAGCCATCTAAAAGCAAAAATTCCCAACTTTTCATACTTAAGAAGACGATGGTTGAGTGTAATGTTTCAAACCGATACAACCCATATGTAGTAAACCGTGAAAGGGATGTTTTTCGAGTGACAGAAGAACTGTATGATCTTCGTAACAGTCGAAAGCAACTCAGGGGTTTAACATGTCCCCCATCTTTTTGGCTCTCGCAAAACTACGTTTTGTTAAACCTATTTGGAGTTGGTTCGAAGGTTTGCCGAAACTTCCCTGTCGACTTTTGCTTCGGACCTTTCGAGCAGAATCTTTTTGGAGAAGCTGAAAAAGGCTTCGTTGCTTTATGTAGATCAAAGGGAGTTGGAGCCCACACTTGAGTGGGCTTTGTACTTTTTATTGTACCGATCAGCTTGTAATCAGATGGGTCTACAGTTTATGAAGCCTACAGACACATTCCTCCTTGTTCAAAGTTTCTAATTCCAGAGCGACGGAAGACTTTGGGCATTCCTTCTGATCAATATCTTGTTATAGCTTTTGATGAAGTTGGTGTCCTAGACGAAAGTCTCGACGAATTTCATTTCAAAAGAACCCATGACGGTAGAGTTCGACCATACAACGACTTTATCGGTATCATTAGTCAATTGTGCAAAGAACCCGACTTGTTTTTTATAGTTGTTGGGAAAAGTAAAGGCTTAAATATATACAATTACGTAGCTTCAGTCTCAAGAGTTCAGTTAGTATTTATTCCTCTTGCGCCGCTTGAGAAACATAGTATCGTGGAACATTTGGAGAAAAGTTCATCCTTTTTATTCACTAGGAGCCCAAAGGTTTCAGAAATTCTTTGTCACGAAGACTTCTCAACTAGTGAACTTGCAGAATTGTTGTTGGAATTGACTGGTGGTGTTCCTGGTTTACTTGTTCGAGCAATCAGTTACCTTTTGCTGTATAAAGCATCCAACAACAATTTCTCATTATCAAAGGAAACCTTCTTGATCATAATGAATAACCTTCCAGTAACAAATTATTGTGTTGCGACATTCTTACCTCGTCTGATAAGTCTCAGTGAGCAGCGTAAGCGCTTGTTAAGAATGCTTACGTTATTATCTTTGTATCGTATTCGATTTGATTTTGATGAAACTGTGCAAATAAGCTCAAATTCTGATGTGTTTTTGTTTGATCTAGTTACAGATATGTATCTCTATCGTCGATTGGTTATAGAACCAGACCACAACGAACGCTATGAAGTGTTGATTCCCAAGTTACTGATTGAATATATTAACCAAGGCTTAAAGGATGATCGTTTAGAATGGTTACTTTTACAAACTCTCAAGTCTCAATCTATGGAATTCTTTTATGAGTCGAAATGTCGAATTTTGGAAGGTCTTATTGCTACACTGTTTTATTTACATTTTTCCCGGCGTCCTACAAACAGCTCAATGTTTTCTACTCTTGGTCAATTATCTCGTGTTTGGAATGAAATGAATTTACAATTTTCTTCCGAATCTGCTGCTTATTATATGAAATCTATACATTATACCAGAGCTGTATCAGGAACAGAGAGAATGACATTTGGAAGCAATGATGAATGGGAAAGGATAATGAAAGAAATGTTAGAACTTGAAAAGATATATATTCCATTTCATTCAACATCCCATAGTCCAGATATACTATTCAAGTTGCATGGAAGAACGAATGAGAAGAACTTGATGATTGTGGGTATTGCTTGTAAAGGCCGATGGAGTCGTAATGGTATTCGATGGAATGAAATTTTGGAAGAAGCTCACAAGTTTTAAAAACCAGTGCATGATCAAGTATTGACTAGTCATCCTACATGGCATTGTATGTTGATTATTATGAGTACTCAGTTAACAACCAACGTATCTGAGGACTTGAATCATTCTAGTCGTTGTTATTCATCCGGCGATAGTGTTGAAGATTTCGTGATTCCTCACAACTGTGAATTGGTTATTCTTTCTGAAGCTGACGTAGAAAACTTTATTGGCAAAGACATTTTATCAAATTTAAGGAACGCTTTCAAATCTGTGGATAATCCACATTCGAGAAATATTGGCATTTCAACACTACAAGAAATAGTTTCATCTCTTTCCAAAAATATTTAGGAATATATCGTTATTGTTCTCTAATGAATATCTGAGAAGGTTCCCCAAGAAACAATTTTAAAAGTTGTTATAAATCAGACTATTCTATGAAATACTGTCAACCATATCAAACTGCAGCAAATTTATTCCTCTAACCACAATTGTGTGATTTGGATGACATACTCCATTGTCACGTGCTGTATAATGCATAAATGAAGCTTATAACAACAAAGCTGAGCTCTGACTTTAAAGTTCATCTTCCTTTCCATTGAAATCGACGAGGTAGAATGGACTTTAGCCAATCTTCAAAACTTGACAACTTGTTGCTACATATATTCACGTTCTGTGAAAAAAGTCTCCTTCTATTTGTCGCTAGAAAGAATTTTACGTTCTCTTTTCCCAACCAGAAGAGCTTGCCGAAAGGGCCTCTAATTCCAAGTTTGTTATTCTTGCGATACATGCATTTCAACTTGTTGTTCTCAGGGTCTCATCATCAAATGAAGATGGTAGAGTGTATATAGTAAGGAAAGTTGAGAAATCACACCATATTAACCTTACTCCATGCTATAGTTTAGAAAAAGTATTTTCTCCGTACTGAAGAATCGAATAAGAAAGCACTAGACGAGTTTTAGAGTCTATTAGTAAAACGAATGAAAAAACTTAGAACCAACCAAACATTTGCCGTCATTGATATAACATATGAATTTTTTCTGAAAAGATTCACGTTTCCAAAGTTTCAAAACCTGTATATACTATGGAAGGACTTTTTCAAACTCACTTGGCGCTGTTATCAATTCAATTATAACAACATTTTGGAAGATAGATAGTACAAATAAGAATCTGCCTACAAAATATGGAAACAACCTCCAGAAAGCACAGAATATTTGAAATTGTTTTGTCATTTCAAAAGTTTTTATGGTCATCTGGTCAAATATGACAAAGTACAAGATGCGAGTAAATCACACCCAATGGTTTTTGGTGCCATTTCATCTTTCATTATTATCCAGGCAAATCATATTTGTCTGGAATTTTTAAACAAACTTCATATAGCCTGTAGAGATTGACATGTCATTGAGGCTCTATGGGGAGATTCGCTTCGACTACGAGATATTGCCTTTTACACATGTATGAACTTTATGGAAGCTTCGTCATCAACTAGAGAAACTGATGAAGAAGGAAATATTATGTCATTTATGTCTTCATATTTCGATTGGACTTTTTTCCTATGGAAGAGATGAGATTCTTTTACTATTTTCAAATCTATCTCTGATTGGATGCAGTAAATACGCAACTTACAAATTGCGTAATGTACAGACCAAATGCAATGCAAAAATGTTTATGAAAAGGCACAACATTATTTGTTACACGAAACACTTCCAGTTTGTCGACAGTTTTTGGACCACAATGGAAAGATTTATCAGAAGAAGAACTAAGGAACAAGGTAGAAAGCATTCCTATGCTTGAAAGTCTTTCTGTGAGAGTGGAGAGAATGGAACTTAAAGGATATGCTGTGTTCTCTACGCTGCTTTTTGCTAGCATCTGTAAAATTCCTCTTCATTGCAGAGAAACATACTTTGGTCGTTTGCAGTTGAGAGAATACATTTGAATCCCTCTAATGATCACATAATTCGTGCATTGCAATCTCATTAAAGTTTTAAGACATAACAGGTAAAGGAGAGATTGGCATTCTGATATTCGAGCTGAAGCAGAAAAATATCTGTTTGCAGTATCACAACAAATTGACTTGGAGCGAACAGTATTTTTGTTATTCAGCCTATTGTGAGTACGAAATATAACAATCAAGTTTCAAAGGAGTTTAGAAATAACAAGAACTGGATATTGAATAGTGGAGAATACTATGAAGACGTTCATGGACAAGTACTTTTTAGATCAGTTGCTTCTAGACCTGTGCGTGGCTCCACTAGCGAATGGTGTATGATTTTTTCTCATTGTCAATAGGTTTTTTGTTCCACCACTAGTTTGAAACAATCTCTTGGGTTGAAGAGCTATGACCAATTGGAAAGGATTTTTGTAAAGGATGCTAGCACTTCAACAGATTCTGATTTAGTCTTCTTGAGTTCTGCATTTACATACTTGTTACAGGAAATATCAGGAGATCAAACAAAACAAAATGCAGAACAAGTTCCGTAGCAGAAGTAGAACGAGAAAGAATTATTCTTCCAAGGAACGATACGAATATTGTCCAAATAGAAGATATGAAAAGTGGAGCAAATGTCACTGCATCAAGTAGTTCGCTCTCCTCATTGGATTGGAACTTTTCCCTTCCTCTAGTGGGACTTGTGACAATCAAGTAGATGGATATGTTTCAAAGCTTACGCGTCTTCCGGTATCGACTCTAAAATACATTTTTCCTTTGAAGACTTGATGGATGCAGGAATTAGAGAGAAAGATATCGTGAAAATTTTGTTTTGGTTGCAAGATGTTTCCACAGAATAGAGGTAATCCCATTTTATTACTCGTGCTTGTCTTGTAAAGTTAGTCTTTGTGGTCGTTGTTATTATATACTTGTACCTTTTATTGTGCAAAGACCATTTGGCTTGTTCTCTACCTTTCAAAATTTCTACAATTATTTTTCTCTAGCTACTTGGCACAAGTTTGTCTAGTAAACTCAAGCTTTTCTTAATATGCCAAACATTCCAAAACTTTCACCCATTTTGATCATGAATGGATATGTCCTTCCTGTTCAAATAATTGAGTATAAAAGATACTGATTGTTATACTTCTCCTAAATGCTCATATAAATGTTAATGAGCCTTTTGGAGTTTAAAGTCTCGTTTGCATCCTGTTATGTGTGAAATTACGCAACGTCATTATGCTCAGTGCCACTCTACTGAATATCTCGACAACTTTGACGCAAGAAATTTCTTCAAAGAAACTTATTTTCTATAATACTAATGACTTGCACAAAAGAGAACAGTTTGCTTTTGAGTTTCAAAGACAACCCAAACGTCAAGTTGTCTTTTTGTTGACTCCAACACTTTCAAGCCAATATGCAAGTGTTTTTTGTAGAAGCTTAAATATTTATTTCTATGAGGCTTCCTTTATTATTGGAACCTTTCTTTTATGGCTTTCGTGACAATTATCTTGTGGACTGGAGCTGTCATCTAGTTTATGGTGGGATGTTTTCGTATTTTACTATATCAAAAGCTCTTGAAATATAATATCAATAGCTGTGAAAACAAGTAAAATTTATGGTAAGAGCTAATAAAGTTTTTATGCAGCCTGCAATACAGATTGACACTTTTCCGGAGTTCAATAACTAAACTGAGAATGGCAAGCACTCTTGTGACAGTTGTGAAGAAGTAGTTGTATATTCCTTCGGGGATTGACAATTCAAGACTTGAGTTTGGTTGGAAAAGATGGAAATTTTTGAATTTTCTCACTTGAATCTAACATCGGCAAATATTTGAAAATAGCAACTTGTACAGGAAACTCTTGCATTGTAAAATTACGTTGGCTTGATAGGGTGCAATCGGTTTTATTTTCTGGTAGCTCTTTTGTTCCAATTGTACAAGTTCTATCTGTTATATTCACAAACTATCCAAATCGTACACTAGATTGGGCAAGTCTTTCCTTGTATCAAAATGAATAGTTTCAATCTCCTTATTATCCCAATCTGAACAAATGTTACTCGTGAAACAAGTAAAGATTTATTTTCAAAACTTCAAAGGTCACTTTGAGATTTATTGATAATCAAGTATGACTCTCTCTTTTTGAATAGAAAAGTCAGTTTTATTATGCAAAGATATACTTCTACAGCCATATTCGAGTTTTCCAAACATTCTTTAGATTGTGTGCGTTAGCAGACCATGCACTTCATTTTCTTTTGTCTATCATACAGAGGAAGAGCCAAATACTTAAGAAGAAATCCATAAATCATTATTTGGAATCCAATAGAAATACAACTTTGTCTTGAGCTAAAAGCCTCAATGTGTATTTGAATGGCCAGTCACTCTACTACAGAGCGTCAAACTTTATATTAAACGGTATTCGATAAGTTGTGTGTTTTGATACACTTTTTGAAATAATTCGTTCATTTATTCTTTAACAACATTGTGTGTCGAGAAATACTAGAAAAGCTTTGTATCGCTTTACAACAAAGATACGGAATTTAGTTGAAGCCAAACAAAGAACTGTTCTGATTTTTTTTGAAGATAAAATTGTCTGTAAAGATACTCAGGCGTGCGTCAATAGATTACTTCACTAATTATTGCGATTTGGATTTATCTTTCTTGGAGAAGTTCATTATAGACATTTTATCCGTGAACTGAGCCTGGCTACCTATAATCGTGTAGCTGTAGGTCGTGTCCAAGATGTCACGAAATAGTTGTATCAGCTGAATCGAGAGCAAAAAGCATAGGATATTTCTTGGACTGTTGACGGGGCAAGTAACTATTTGCTATGTTCCACATCTTTTTGATACTGTGAAAGAGCAAATCTGCCTTGAATTAACTGAATTTACAGCAAAGGATGGTGATGAGGCTGCTTTAGAGGCTCTTCCTTGGATCCTCAAGTCAAGGACTTTTTGGAAAAGTTGAAAAGGGCTACCCGTCTTTTTGTCGATCTGAGAAGCTTTGATCAGGTGCCTCCTGAAGAAAGAAACTTCAAGTGGATAGCTCATCATTTGATGTTGTCTGTTGCCTATTGTACAGTGAAGAAGCCAGAACCGGATCCATCCCAGCCGCAACCAAGACCTGAAGTGGTGCTTGGAAAATTCGAGATTTGTTGAGTACGAATATCTTTTTGTCATTTTTGACGCACTTGATGCATTTGAGAGAATGAACGATTTATTTGATCTTAGAGATACTACGGGTGGTTATATTGCGATATACAATGACTTTCTCTTTATCATTCGCGAACTCTGTCAGCAATTCAATTTCGTTTTTCTGATAGTTGGGAAAAGCAGATTTTACCTATACGCAACATCCTATTATTCCCTTATACTTTTTCTTTACTCCTCCTATTACTTCTATCCATACACAACACATTAACATACTTATATTGGCTTCTTCAAATGTCCGATTGGAGTTGTCACTTTCATCTCTAGAAAAGAACGACACTTTTGAATGGTATCCTTTTCATTTCTCCTAGAAGACGAAGTACACGCCAACATTCAACTCATAAAATTCCAACATACTACTCAAAGTAATAAACTTACTTAGAAAGATTCAATTTATAGCTAAAAATGAATAAATACTGCGTCTGTAACACTGCAAGAAGGATTGCAAAGATCATTTGGCTAGACCTTATTCAATATTTTCATAAAGAGTTTGGCTCCACGGTTGAAGACATTATTGATGTATTTCAGTATCTAAAATCCTCATTGTTCTGCATGACTTTGTAAATTTCGTTCCAGAGCCTTTACTTGAATAAAGAGGTTGTCCTGCATTTAATATCTATTTTTCTACAGAGCATATGAGAACTGACAACTCAAATGCTGCTATGAAAGGATTCAAAGTAGCGATTCTTTCTCACTGTCTTACAAAACAGTCTTCATATTTTTGTGATTTTTTCTATAATCTTTTACAACATAAGATGACAATATCATGCTTTATTGTAGAAATCAGGATACAATTTTTCGGCACATGGAGAACGACTCATTAGTACACATAATTGATGTAGAAGACTGTCGTTTTTTGTTACAAAAATGAATAGAGTAAAACAAAAAGCATTGTGTACAGAAGGTATGGCAAGAAATTGTAATGATCGAGATGTAAATTTCTCGTAGTTGAGAATAATGAGGTATGGAATAAAGAACATTGAATGAAGCTGTCTTATAGACAATTTTGCAAGGGAGACAGCCTACATTTTAACAATTTTTCGTTTTTCTACTTCAAATAAGTAGCTTTCAAATATTTATCTAAAGGTTTCAACTCTCGTTTCATCTTGGAATGCTTCCAAGGTCATAGCATTTATCCTTTGAATGAATTGGGCTAATTTCAGCTTTCTATCAAGAAAGAAATGTTCTACTTCATCGGTAACATTATTTTACTGCTTCGTCTTCATTTTGTGAATCTTGCAAGTCTTCAATGAAATGCTGCTTACTCTTGTATTGTTAAGATCCTCTCCCCTAAGACCAGCGTGAGAAGATCCAACTTTCATTATCAACATCAAAATGTCCTTTCGTATCTCATTTTGTCTCTTTCGGGGTCATGGCCTCTTTCAATTCACTATCATGTCGAAAATTTCAAACCTCTTGCCATGACATAATTTTACATTTTTCGAAATCCTTCAAGGAGATAGGAGATTTACTTCTCACTCCAATGCTATTAAATAGTATCTTTTCTAGTGTTTGATGGTCTTCATTTCAATTTTTCAATTTAACGTTAACTTTCAAGGAAAAGATGGCTTGAGGCTTTTCTTCTCTTTCCATGTTGGAAGGAATTTTTTTCACGAAGTTTATGTATCCGCGCAATCGAAAACTCACCAACCAGCTTCATTGGTGTTGGAAAGCAAGCAAGTATCTGCCTTCGAGTAACATTCGTACTAAGGGAACTTTTTCATTTGACGGATTCAAAATAAACATCTACTGAATTAGCCATACCGTTGATAGTCTCATAAACAAGTTGATAAGAAAAGTGGCATGCTCTTCGGTTGAAGTATTCGTTTATAACCATTATCCTGTTCCATTTGACGTTAGATAGTACCCTCAGAAAAAGTGATCAAATGTTGGCATGTAAGAACAGCAAGTTGCCACTGAACACTTCTTATCTTTGATTGATTGAATAGGCTTTGAATCAACAAGACACTTCGCATAAGAATTCAATGAATTACGACATCTAGTGCTTTTCTACAAGAAAAATGTGCACACTTGAAAAATTATGGCAATTGACAATAGAGTGGATCTTTACTGATGTACAATTATTCCCAAATATTTTCAACGGAGCAGAAAAGCAACCACCGCTAATAACAACGAAGCCGGCAGTCACGCTTTCGACATTTCAAGCTTGTCCGCTATCTTGATTCCAAATGCCACGTTCTTCTACAAAGATTTCGACTTGGAAAACCATAAATAAGTACGTTCAGTGATTCTCTATGTCATCCACTAGATACAGCATACATGTCTTTTTTCGAACATACAAAAATAAACAACGCCAGTTCTCTATCTTTCACGAATTTCTTTATTTTCTTTAGTATGAGAGGTCTTTGCAAAGCTTGTACATTCTTCATTAGCTCAGTACGCAATTACAGAACAAAGTATTTTCATTCAAGAGAATTGGTCATGTTACAAAACAAAATGGAATACAAAAACTATTCAAAAACTCGTCCAGGCTGAGTGTCTTGAAAGTGGTTTTAAAATTCTAAACTTTCTTCCCATTTTCGAAGATATACACAATTGACAGGAGATATAACACCATCAATGGAACAACTCTAAAATATTTATGACATTCAAGTTTTCCTTCGAGAAGCTCTCGAACTTACCTTATATACAGGACAGATACCACAAGGGACCTCTCCAAGTGTTGCAAAGGGTGAGGTATGACTAAATTCCTTTATCAAACTTGTCTGTTTCGAGGCTTTATCACTTACTGACAGTAACGATATACTGTAGTTGATTTTTCAAGGTCGGTACCTTTACATATCCTTTCTATAACTCCATCATAAATCATGGTTTGTAAGAGACTTTCAAAGTCTTTGATCTAAAAGTGATCGTGATATTTATATGTAGCTTAGCGGAACAAATAATACAACAAACCTCTAGTTTTTCTTTGGATATACCCAAAGATGTGATATAATTCGCTACTTCCTCAACTGCAACACCTGTGGAACTTCCACGAATAAACCGCAAAGACTGTTGATACAACACATCGAAAAATTCTGCATCGAATTCCTGATTGTAATACCAAGGACCACCCGTAACATCAATCGAAGGTTCTAAGTCAAAGAGCATATAAAGCTAAAAAGGCTTGAAATGTTACTCTCGGTATTTGAAGATAATAATACCCTACCTTCTTGTTCTTCGACTTGACAGATTTGAATGGCTTTACAAGTTTCTTCAACTCCAAGTTTTTTAAGATTTTCGTCAACTGAGTCTGCTGCAGTCGACTAATGTTTCTCAAGTCTCTAATTTACCAATTAGCAACATCAAAGTACCGATTGATATCTTTATACCTTGTCCATATTCCTTTATTTCCAGCTTCTTCGACGTGGCTATACACCAAACGTTCTTCTGTTGACAATCCTTGCAGTTTATTGGCAACCTGTTCCTCGACCTTGGAACATGAAGTGATGATTTATATAAAAGTTTGACGAAACATACTGCTTGATAGAAAAGTTTGCCGTGAAGTTTCTTTAATTGGAGTCTTCCACGTTGCAACAGATTGTTATATGTTTGCAACCTTTCGTTTGGAGAGATATTTTCAGGTAGGCTCTTTCTAACCTCTTCGTCGGTGACACCTAGCCACTAGAGTTTCTTAAAAGTAGGTACATAACTCTCGGAACTAACCATGTGGTCCTACTGAAGCTACTCGTAAAACTATTTCTTCCAGCTTCGTCGTATCTGTTGCCATGAAAGGGAATGTAAATACCAAAAACTGTATTAGATGCAAAAAGGACTGCCCATATATATCCGAAATTAAAAATCATTTCACCCAAGTATCTGACTACAAAGGAAACTGAAACAGCCTTTTATGAATTATGCACCTGCAAGGAAGTGCATAAAAAGAATATTCATAAATATTACGAACGTGGGTTTTTTCGAATAGTTGATTCCAGTTATTCTACGAAGACGAGATTCATTCACGGAGAAATAGCATTTCGACTTTGTTTCGCGAAAGTCGCTCCATGAACTGGATAATTCAGTCTATACAAGGTAAAACAGTATACTCTTAGTAATAAGAATTACTTTACACCAGTTTCCAAGACCAAATAAATCTTCCTTTTGCATGGATGGAACTTTACTTTTCAACTCAAGCTTTGAAAAGGATCATCTCCATTTTGGAATGAATGTGGCCACGCTTTCCCAAAATTGAATGCAAAGAGTGCTTGGTTTTTCTACTTGCAGCTATAGTTGGATAGCTCAAAGTTTCAACCGCTTCCACCCTCGTTGTATTCAACCTACTTGTTTTCGGTCCAAAGTTACCAAACTTTGCCCTAAGCGTCCTCGGTCTTCTCTTCTTTCTGACAACAATGCTACCAAATATCCCCAAAAAGCCATTTATTTAACAGCTCAGGTCAAGCTTCCTCAGATTAGCGAAGTGCAAAACGCTACTTTCGATCAATGTTTACCACTGGCTAGAAACATATGTTTCCGCCTACAAGAGGAGCCCCAGGACGAAAACGCCTATCAAGTGTTAAAGGAATTGTTGTCAAGGGAAGAAGGTGCCAGGGCTTTTTTTGTTGAATATCTTTCTGACTATGAGCTAAGTCTCCCTGATAAAAAGCCTCCTTTCAAGTAAGTACTTCTTTGCAACAAAGTCATGACAACCTATATTTTTGTTAGGTTAGAGAAGTTACTGAAAGATTGTGACGAATATGTTCCCAACCTCCTGGCCAGAAATCTTGCAATGTCAGTCGCTAAAGAAGTGGACTTGGCGAACGATTCTAAAAACGCAGAAAACGAGGAAGTGGACGATACGGGCAGCGGAAGTTGGTCAGATAGTGTTGAAGAAAGTTCTGGAGGTCCTACTATGGTAAAAGAGCGAACAGCATTGCTGATCGATAGTATTGCCTCAAGTGAAATTGCTCGGGAACTCGTCGCTCTTTGGTTTTCTATAAGAAGTAGGAAGGGGAAATATGTCCATTTTTTAGAACGCCAAAAATTTAGAAAGGATCAGCTGGACGTTATCCAAAGAACGCTCGAAGTATTCATTGGTGCTTGAAGAAGATGTATACTTAAAACTTTTTGTATTAAAAAGTCTGAAGATTTCCCATAGCTATAATAGAAAAATTTTTTTTTAAACTTTTCTCCAATTGTAAGGTTTTCCAATGTGACTCAATCAGTTCTATTGTGAACAGAAAATGACACACCAAACTCACCTTCTCATGAAAAAGTGACATAGTTTATGGGAACAACTGGTAAATAAAATTTTCTTTCCAGACTTGTAGTGACTGCAAGATAATATACCACAGAACAAACAACTCACGACACTGCATATGATAGCTCAACTGTTCAAAAAGGTGCCTGGAAGGAGGTCTAAAAGGTCAGACAAGAAAAACGAAAAGATAGAAAGTAGCTAAGCACATTAGGAGTACGAAATCTCCTTTTACACTGAATAAAGATACAGCGAAGCAGTTTCCCAAAAGGACAGCAGACGACTTCATCTCTGTCGTATTCTGGGCAACTCATAACTACGACTTACGTTTGAAAGTAAAGGACCACACAACAAGAAATAAAACAGCAAGTATTAGTACTCTTTTATTCATAAGTAACACAAGAGTTGCAGAAGAAAAAGCCAAGAGAAACCAGACCTTGTACAGAGCCTCTAACGGGATTAGTCTATAAGAGGCTTGGCAAATATACAAAGACTTGTCAAACAAAAAGGTGGTTTACCAATCAAGTTGTCCATACGTTTGGTTTTAATATGATTTTTCAACGAAGCTTCTTAGATACCCGATAAGAATATCTCTCATTCCAAGGCTGTCCAGCATAATAGAGTCAAACCCATTTCCTTTGAAGAACATTAATGTTTATGTGATAAGCAATGTTTGTTTTTGTATATGGTACTCTTAGAAACGCCTACAAGGAATACAGACATTTATTGGATTTTCAAGTTCCCGACGTTCTTGACAAATATGCCGTTTATAGAGGTCTTGCGAAACTATCAGGCTACCAAATGTGGAGTTTGGGTAGTTATCCAGGCATATTTCCAGTAGCCCCAAAGGAAGAAGGAGAAAGATTCACGGTACGAAATTTCAAGATAAGATTTACTACCTAAAATCTGACAAGGAATACTTTCAAGGTAACAGGAGAGTTATTTTCTTTTGAAGCGAACGTTGCTGACTTTCTGTTGGCCACCTTGGATGACTACGAAGGTTGTCATCCTTTAAATGCTTTACCACATGAGTATGAACGTGCTACAGAAATTGTTTTCGCAGTTGAGGAACAAGATTATGTCACGTCTTGGATCTACAGACTCACAACCCGACCTTCTTCCACTTATCCTGTCATCTCGAGCGGAGACTATTCGACTTTTTTGGTAACTAAATATCAGTGAAGTGAGCTCAAGGCTCAAGTGTAGCAGCTGTTCATTTTCCTAATGCTTTGTACATTTTGAAGCATTTGAACGATAGATACACATCAGTCCTAGTCAGGGAAGAAATGGACCAAGAGGCCTAATGAATATCTGAATCTTGCGAACTCGAAGAAGACGATTTATTCACTTTTTGATGAAGTACGTATTCGAAAATCTTCGACTAGGAAATACAGAAATAATAAAGATTATTGGGGTGTCAAAGGGTTTCATTTGGAAAACTAAATTTTTAGTATAATTTGATAGACGGTGCAAATGTTGAATTTTGGAATCTTTATGACTCGGCAATCGTAAAATTTAGGATAGACTTTGGACGACACGATTATGAACAGAACTGTTTGATTTTGGAGAAGTTAGTTATGGGTAGCGTAGTAATAGTTGCAGAATAAGTAAAGTACTGAAAAATATTGTGTATTTTTAGAGCTATTATTGCTCATCGTATATCTTGGCAATAGCTTATGCAATATTACTGAAAGATAGTTTGCAGATAAGATAGACTGGATTTGAAAGGCAGTTGACTCTTTAGGCTTTGGAAGGACAACGTGTGAAAGAAAGGAAAATGGCACTATCGGAAAATAAAACTCGTGAGAATACATTTCTTTACGTGAATTCTGGTAGAATAGTTTGGAAAAGATCTATAATTCCATAATATCGAGTTGTTGATGGGTTGATTAGTCATGTTGAAAATGAGCCATCAGATAGAAATATCAGAAAAATCTCTTAGCTATTTCCAAATCAACTTTCACTTTCTACAAGGTCTAATGAATAACATCCGTGGAAAATTTTTTAAAAATAAACAGTAAGTGAACTTAATATGTCAAAATTTTCGAAATGACATGTGCCAAAGTAGTATACTGATATGACGCTTTATGCAAACCATGGTTGCTTGTTGCTATTACCTGACTCGAATTCAAATACAACTGCAAAGAATACATCCAAGGTCAAGGAAACATTACCACTACACCAAAACAGTGTTCTTGAACTTCAAACGTAAGTGCTTTCATTCGTATGACTCAAATTGTTTCAGATTGCTGCACTTCACTCCTAACTTATGACGCTGTTTTTGAACATAGAACAGAATTCTCAAGTATTTTGAGTATCTTAATAATATCCATGATAAGTATGATCACTTAGTCGATAAGATAAAGTTAATGAACAGTTTATGCTTGTATGTTTTCAGCATTTTTGTGTTAAGTTGTCCAAGATATTTCAAGGTCTTGACGAATGTCTTTTGTTATAGTAGGTTACAATCTAAGCAAGAATCACTACATTTGGATGTTTTTTTGTAAAAGCTGTTCCTCCTCCTTCTGTTGAAGAAATCAATCTTCTCAAGAAATAGGAACCGAAATTCATTTAAAGTCTACCCCACCCATTAGCAATTTCTTTTTCAAATTGGTTTTTTGAGCCTCATGTTGTTGTTGTAGTGGTATGAAGCAAACGTAGTATTAGTGATATTCGTGGAGTCCTCGTTCTCTTTATCGTAGAAAAACCCAATGACAGTTATAGAAACGACTTCCTCCTTAGAAGATTCCCGCTTCGATCCTTTTAAAAGAAACGATAAAAGTTTCGACTGGATCGAACTTGTCAAGGTATGCTTTCCGTTCAAGAAAAAAAGAGTTATTTTATGACCGAGGAAAAAAAGTTTCCCTTAGTTTTTGTCATTTTTCCGTTCCGGTTTTTTGGTGCTCTTCTTTCTGTACTCGGTTGTTATTTTTTCTTCCTCATTTTCGGACCTTCTGTCAGACAGAACATTGCTGCAGAAGTTTCCACTTCCAGAAGACAGTTGCTTCTTAGAGGCGGCAAATGTTTTTCAAGAGCCTGTCTTTTTTTCTTGGGTTTCTATAGAGTCTGCGGTCGTCAACATTCCAGCTATGACTCTGCCGAAGCAAAAAAATATGTGCTTGTTTGTAATCACACAAGTATGCTGGATATTCTTATACTTATGTCAGTTTGTATGCCTTCCTTTGTTTCCAAAGAAACTGTTAGTAAAGTCCCTTTGATTGGGAGGATTGCAACAGGTATGCAGTGCATCTATGTGAATCGTGCTAGTCGTGGTGGAGTTTCAGCAAAAGTAATAGAAAGGCAACAAGCCTGTATGGAACAACGCCCTGTAGCTCCATTGGTAATATTTCCAGAAGCAACGACTACTAATGGTCACTTTCTTATTAAGTTTCATACTGGCGTATTTCGTGGAGGCTTTCCAGTAGTGCCTGTTGTCATTAAATATCGATATAGAAGGTTCTCACCCACTTATGAAACAATACGTTCAGCATATTACATCTACAAATTGTTCACTCAGTTATATAATGAAGCAGAGTATACCCTACTTCCTATTTATTATCCTAATGAAGTGGAGAAGAATGATCCCTTAGTATATGCCAATAATGTTAGGTAAGCTCATAGACTAGCTTGACTTCAAATAGGTTGATTGAAGTTGTCAATAGGGCAGTAATGCAGAAGGAATTGAAATGTTCTTTATCAGAAAGTTCATATCAAGATAAGCTAGTTTATCATGGGTTACTGCGTAAGCAAGACCGACCTAAACAGCTTTAGTCATGTGTTGTAAATGTCGTGGGGTAGTGTGATTCCTTACCAAGACAGAAGAATTAAGGAAGCTTGCTGTTATTCCTATGATATTACTTATGGTTTGCCTGTTGCTCTATGAGAAAATAACGTCCTCTTTTTATGAACAGACAGCTTGTGCTGTACCGAGGAATCATTGAAGTATTTGAAGAGTATGCACTTATTCACATGTGGGATATGATAGGAGCACACCAGAATACCTCGGCATTAAGTTTGGTAGTTCACAAGTATGGTTCATAAATTTTTTTGTCTTGTTCTACTGTAAACAAGAAATCAGTTGAATAAATTATCGCGTTGAAAACTCTTGTATAATTGTACCATGTTTTTCCTGAAACCTTTCTTTGCCTATCAAAGACAAGATCAATTTTAGCTTCAAAGAGGAACAATATCAATATCGCCCCTACAAGACATGTTTAGAAGGAAAAGTGTTTCTGCATTCTAAGAATTGTCTACATAATCTGCACGTCTAATTGTTTGTGCTATTCTACAACGAAATAATGAGTGGATTATCATAAATTATGAACCAGAAGAATGGCATGCCACAGAATTATGAAGTATAATGCTTCTGAATATGGACAAGACATTGTAATGAGATTTTTACAAGTTTAGTAAATTGTGAAGTTGAAACAGTGTATTTATTCCCATGGAGAATGGTTGCTTTTTTCAGTGGTTTCCTGTTGGCAGCCAAACGAAGCCAGTGTTTCGTCCTTTCAAGTATGGCTATGGAAGGCTATCTAGGGTTTCTCACTTCTTTCACGGGGTGCCCTATTCTTTGGAACAACGAAACAGAAGGAAAAAGAGTAGCTATCAAACGAAGCTACTAACGTGTTCGAGGTTTGACAAAATAAATGGAAGGCGTTTATCTGACGTTGTCGAATTGCCTAAAAATATGTCGCCAAGGTACGTCGTTTCACAGAATTTTAGGCATATTGTTCTCAGCTGGTTTGATAGTGTTTGCCGTGATACTTTTCTGGAAGCGATGAAAGAAGTTGGAGGAACAAAGGTTGGTGAAATTAGAAGAGGTCGGATTGTGCAATTTGCGAAGGAAGGTCTATTTATAGATTTGGGTATTGAAAGGATAGCCATTTTACCAAGAGAAGAGTTGTGGCTTGAGCGCAACAAAAGTCCTCGTGAACTCTTCAAGGAAGGAGACGAACTCGAAGTAGAAGTTCTGCACCCAAGAGACAATTTTGACCTTGTCGTTTCAGAGGTTTCCGTTAGAAGACGCAAGTGTTGGAATCGAGTGAGCGAGTTTTATTTCACGTCAAAGAGTTTTCCTGTGTTAGTACTCGGTTGTAAAAATAATGGCTTGATAGTTCGATATGACTGTATAGAAGGATATCTTCCCATAGAACATCTTATTCCTAGTAAGACTGTAAGTCAAGTTATGAACACAGAGTTAGAAGTGAAGGTGCTCAGTCTGGAACCAGAAGCGAATAATTTGGTAGTTTCTCAGCGTCTGACTATTACTGAAAAACGCGAGAAAGAGTTGAACGTTGGAAGCATTGTCAAAGGTGTTGTACGAGCGGTTCGAGATTATGGCGTGGTAGTCGACTTGTATGGTGTTCTCGGTCTTCTTTTCGTCAAGGATATTTCTTGCGATCCTGTTGAAGACCCATCAACAGTATTTAGCGTTGGAGAAACAATTCAGTGCATGATTATCCACACTGATAGAAAACGTCATCGTGTTATTCTTAGTACCAGAGCTTTAGAGTTACGAAGCGGGGAAATGTTGAAGGACAAAACTAAGGTTTTCGAGAAAAAAAAAGAAGCACTAAAGCGAGTTGGGAAAATTCTGGAAGAGCGTTCTTCACGTCGCAAATGTTTCTTTGGTAAAACCTTTCCTGTACAGAACATTCAACCAAAATAAAATAACAATTGTATTTCATTTTGTCACGAGTCTCTAGCCAGTTGGGTAAAATGTCTTATGACGACATAAGAAAGCAGCTGGACTTACTTCTTGGTCCAAATAGAGACGGAGTCCAAAGAGAGGCACCACCTACGTCGTTTAAAGACCCCCGTGTTTGCAAATACTACCTTTGCGGTGTATGTCCGCACTTACTTTTCTCGAATACCAAAGCAGTAAGTCTTTCGCAGAAGCTACTAAATCTTTCTTCACCCTTTGTTTAGGACGTAGGACCCTGTGACAAGGTTCACGATGATAATCTTAGGAAACAGTATGAAGATGCAAGAAGACAAGGAGAGCACTTTGGTTACGAAGAGGAGCTGGAGCGTTTTTGTAAAAAGCTTATATCAGACGTAGATCGACGAATTGAACGCGCCATGAGACGACTGCAGGTACAGTATGGTATTGAAAACGAAAAAGCCACGGATTTGTTGGCATACTATCCTGGACCTGGTAGAACTCTGTTGGGAGTTATAGATGAGGAAGGAAAGGAAGATTTGGAAAAGGGTGTAGGAGGTATGATTGGACAGACCGAGCATTACTATTCTGATCGAGATGACGAGGCTGAAGACGAAGAACTAGAATCTCGTTCTGGAGAACAAACAAGAAGCCGCACAAGTTTATCGACAAAGGGAATAAAAATTTTGGCAGTTGACGGAAGCTCCATAGAAAATTCCTCTCAGACAGTTCCATCGAATGAACAACATGACAGTAACCAGTCTGTGGAAAAGTTGGAATCAACAGAAGTATCGAATAGAGACGTTCAACCAGGCAGTAAAGACATAGACCCTGGCAAGAAACATCATTCTGAGTATACAAACGAAGACGAAAGTTTAGAGCACGAAACGAAAGAAGTTGCAGAATTGAAACAAGATTCAACAACAAATGTTTTGGGAAAGGAACATTCTACTGCATCGTCAAGTAGCCCTATCTCAGAAGCGGCAGAAGTTTGGAAAGAAGCCAAATCGCCCGATGGTCGCTCATATTGGTATAATGTTGTTACAAGAGAGTCAAGATGGCAGCCTCCTGTTGGCGTTAAGTTAGTGCCAATAGCGTCTGTTCGCTCAACAACATCTGAAGGCAGCCATAATACAGCCACCAATGATTCACTACTTTCAGGTGATGTTTCTGCGAATCAACAAAAACTAAGAGTTTGTGCAGAATGTGGGGCATTTCTGAGTATTTTTGATTCCTCACGCAGACTAGTTGATCACTTCAACGGGAAAATGCACATGGGATTTGTTACTTTGAGAAAGAAAGTGAAGGAACTTGAAGAAGACTGTCACCGTATGAGAGTGAGTAATAATTCCAGAAATTTTCGGACAAGTAGAAGAAGAGACGACTTTTCTTTGGAGCGTTCTGATTTCCGTCATAGCGAGAGTAGGCGAAAACGAAGTCACCATTCTCGTTCGCCACAGCACCATCATAGCAAGCGCTATAGAAGTCCAAGTTGTGGAAGCAGTGACGAAGAGAGAATCCGAAGGAGCTCACATTCTTATCATCATTCACGCAGCTCAGGTTCGCACAGACATCGTTATCGTTGAGATTAAAAGTTGGATTGATTTTCCTTTTCTTATACTGAGTGAAGTGAATCTTATGATGAGTATTCTATAGCTTATTATTTCAATTGTATGGAACACTTTCATGAGTAGTATTGCTAAAAATATAGATTGGCACAATATTTGACAGATATATCATTCTAGAACTTGATTTTCCTCTAATAAACAGTCAACAATATTCCTTGTTCTCTTGTTTGCAAAGAAATTTTGATGGATTTCCGTCAGTATTGAAAGATGCAAAAGGTAGGTCATGAAATCCGTGTGATTAGTGGTATGGATATTAGATGTAAGATATTTCAGATGTTATTCTATGATTGTACCTAGAGTAACTTTGCTGTTCTACAGTTAAAATTTCGACGAGTAATTGTACCTGTTTGGCTAAAACCAGAACAGTCTTCGATTTCTCATTTGGTTTCTTTGATGTTTTCTATTTGATTTCGTTATTGTTTGGTTCTCAGAAATTTGTCCCATGCTTTATATTCTAAAATTTTCTGTACTGAGACAGTGAGGTTTCAAATTAATTGGCTATGAAAAGAAGACATGATTGACAAATTGACTCATTTAGGAAAGGGATTATTTCATATGAAGAAGAACTTGGAGTGGAAAATTTTTGTTCAAAATATTATACGTTCAGTAAAAGCCAGTGAGTGCATTTGTTCAATCTTTGAATCGGTAAGATTCTCAATAATAGTCTAGATCTTCCCATCGACCATGAAAAACCTCCACGGCAGTTGATCCACGCCTTTGGTAAAGTTGTAGACGAAAGAATTGCTGCTTTTCCTTCCCATCAACACGAGAAAGCGTTTAAACAAGGAAGTGACTGGGAAGTTCATGGGGACTTTGAAATTGGTGGTAAGTCAGAGGCTTTCGTCGAAACTCTTCGTGATGGAACTGGTGTTCGATTCTGTGGCGATTTACGCGAACACGTAAGCATAGTGCTGGTAACCTGAGTTTCCGTACTCTAAGTTCTTTGAAGTCTGCGTTTCCTCAAGGTGGATATTTATCTTTTTATTGGAGAGGTCTTGACGATTTCGAAGACTATGAAAGAATAGTTTTGAGGGTCAGGGGCGATGGACAACCCTTTTTATTTCACGTAAAGACGAAATCTTTCATGCTTGATAGTGATATGTTTCAGATAGCCTTCAAAACAAAACCGGATGGAACTTGGTGTAATGTGAAGGTTCGTCTAGGAATTTGCTCTTTTTGATTGATTTTCAGCAATACCTTTTTCTATAGGCCCCTTTCTCTCGGTTCAAACTCATATATAAAGGCCATGTTACTGATGATCAACCTGAAGTGTACTTGAAAAATGTTTTGGGTATGGGAATTACAGTTGCAGGTCGTAAGCCGGGTCCGTTTCAGTTAGATATCGCTTCAATACATGTGGAAAAAGATTCTTAGAAGTTTTTTTATTGCACTTGTAAGCGTACTGAACCAATCATGTATTTGTTTCCAGTGTCGTTATTTCACAAATAAATACTAACATTTCCCATACTCTTCACAAAATTTTTGAAATAGATTTTATTGAAGATTATGTTTGTAGTCTCCTGCTGTTATGCCACTTGTTGTGTTGCATCACGGTTATGTTTATCTTATAACAGTTTGACTAGTGCTCCCAATTTATTTTCGACAAAAAAACGCTGTCGTTTCCCAAAAAGTCACAACCTTTGTAGGCTTCAACTGTTCCGTATTTGCAAAGCGTGCAAGGATCCCGAGAAGGAGCCCAGTGATTCGGAGAATTGGCCTAAACCATTTGCAGTATTGCGTTTATTTTATGAAGAAACTAAGAGAGAAGTACGACGGTTTTTCTTGGGAGATATATTTCCAGTTTTTGCTTCGGACGTTCCAAAGTTGAAAGAAGCGTGCAGTATGGATACTTTCTTTCCAATAGAAAGCGCTGTTCAACTTGATCAGATAGAATTCTTTGGTAATTTGCGATGCAATCCTTCAGTCGCTTTGGAGAAAATACAAAAGAGACTCGAGGCAACTTTTGGAGACAAGTATGTGGCCAGTCTTCACTCTGATGGTTCTGCAAATACCAAACCTTCTCTTGTTATTACTGTTTCTTTGGCTGAGAAGCAACCTCAAAATCGTTTTAGGATTGTTCTCTCAGTCTTATGTACTATATCTTGTATTTTGAATTGCATTGATAGAAGCGTCTTGTACTGTTATCATTATCAGTGGGAGAGTAAGAATATATTTATGAGATATTGTATTCACTGGCAGGTTTTCGGTTTACTGTTATTGCACCTTACTTGGGTTGGAGTTCAAAGTAGGGTGGCAAAACATTATAATACAAGGATGGAGTTTCCTTTTCCTATTCCTTCGCATAGATTTGGTTTGTGGGGAACGATTTCTCATATGTTATCTTCTGCTCCCAATAGAACGGCACTATTCGATATAGCATCTATAGGAATTGGTATTGTCTTATTGCTGTCTCTTATTGTTTTCCTTGTTGGTTTGCACTTAACACGTGTGTGTCCTCAGTATTCAACCTACTTTCCAACGAATATTTTGTTTTCATCACTTTTCACTGGAGTATTATCACGCTTGTTTAAACAGCAAGACTTGATTGCGAGTGGATCAGGCTATAGACTTGTTAAAATACATCCTTTGGCAGTTCTTGGGACAAATGCTTTACTTATTATTGGATGTCACCTTTTACCTCTTAGAAATCTGGATGGGTATCGCATCGTTGCTTCGCTTTATGGAAGATATGTTGCAGATATTGCATCAAGAATTACTATTCTTACTGTTCTCTTAAGGCTGTTTGGTAGTCCTCCTCTCATTGTCTTCGTTCTAATGATATGGCTGGGACCTTGGAAGACAGACAAGTATGCCCGCAATGAAGTAGATGAACCGGATATGAAACGAACTATTATTGGCTTTGTAAGCGTATTTCTTGCCATATAAGTATACTAATTTGATATGTAACTTAGTCAATGATGTTGCTGATGTTGGCGCTTATTCTTCCGTATCCACAAAATATTTGGCCGTTGGACCAACTTGGAGTTTATTTGCAGTCCATGCGATCCAAATGAAAATTTGTTGTAGACTTTTATGCTGGATAGAGTTGTCATCTAGTTGGCAAGGAAGAAGGCTTGAGTCACGTAAAGATTGCTACTTGGCTTTACAAAAGAATACTCCTGGTTCTCGAAGACTTTCTCACTTTCGACTGAGGAAACAGAGGCTTCCGGTTACTTGTCTAAACTTGCATAACAGCAGTTGCTCTGAAAAGCTTTCAAATATGCCTCCCACAGTAGCCAGTTTGAGAGAAGAATATTCATCTACTGGACTTGACGAATCGACGCTAACAGAAGACCCATTCACTTTATTTAGGCAATGGTTGGAAGAGGCAGTGGCTGCACAAGTAAGAGAACCTAATGCCATGTGTTTGGCAACAGTGGATCAATCTGGTAGGCCTAGTAATAGATATGTACTATTGAAGGGTTTCGACAATAGAGGTTTCGTATGGTATACAAACTACACCAGTCGAAAAGCGCAACATCTCGAAAGTAATCCTTTTGCAGCGTTAACCTTTTGGTGGGGAGACTTGGAGAGATCTGTTCGAGTGGAAGGAAAAGTATTCAAGGTACGCACAATTTCGTAACTATATTGTGCAATAAGAGAAACTATTGACAGGTTTCTTCTTCTGAGTCAGACAGCTACTTTGTAAGTCGGCCTGTAAAGAGTAGACTCGCTGCCATAGTTTCCGAACAAAGTAAACCAGTATCAAGTAGATCCGAGTTGGAAAAGAAATTTCAAGATTTGGCTTTATACTATGGTTTGCAAACAGATGGAACTTGTTCGGAATCGATACCGAGGCCTGAGACTTGGGGTGGTTACAGACTTGTTCCTGACTCCATCGAATTTTGGAAAGGTATGAGAGATAGGCTACACGATCGTATCAAGTATGTTCGAGAAGTAGATTGGTCCTCAGATAATGAACTGAAGAACAGTTTATGGCAACGCTACCGACTGCAGCCTTGAGAACTTGTGGTGATGTTTTGTGTTTTCTTAGGGGAATATGTTGTTGTAGTGAATAGTTTTGGTCCTCAGTAATGAATGTTCATACAGGAAGCTCTAGTTTTTGAGAAGTCATTAAATAGCAAATATTTGTGAAATGTTTTGTTAAAATCTTTTCAATGAATGATAGCAACGATTTCTTTCATTGCAACGCACAATACGACTTTGTCTATTAGTTTAGAATACTCATGGACAGTCGTCATTTTGAGACATAAAACGTACGTCTCTTTTCTACCAATGCGCTCCAGTGGGAACCGATTGGTTTTGGTTTTCGAAAACAGTCTCTGCATATTTTAATACAACAGCCCTGAAGACGTGTCTCTTGTCTTGGAACAAGTGTTTCATTCGCGAAATGCCAGGATTTCCGAGCCCAGGATCCAACATACGTCAGGAAGATGCCTTTCGGTAGAACACTGTCAATACTTTCTGAAGACTTTGGTGAAACTGGCGTTGCACTCAGTCAAAATGAAACCATACCTTAAGTGATCGACTCCAAATGAATCCTAGAATATCACTTTTTCATTTACCAAACCATAAAGCCCTGTTAATTGGGATGATTAGAAACATCGAATATTCTCATTCGAATTTTGCATTTGTTTTGCACGCCAGTCAGATCGAGTGAAGTAGCCAAAGGATACTTATGCAATGCGTGTAAGGATGGATTTTGGAAGCAATCTCAATGATAACACTAACAACGGTATGATATAGAGTTGCTTTCGTTCGAAATAGACAACTTATCTTGTTGCTCTAGATACTTCTCTCAGGTCAACTGATAACAATGCCCGAGCTTCTCTTGAAGAACTGGTGGAGAAGGACATTGAGAGGAAGTTTTTCAGATGGGCAAATATGAATGCAACTGAAAGTACTCCAAAGAACTTTCCTTTTCCTGATCCAACTTCTCTTGGCCTTGCTGGATTCAGTGCTACAACCTTTATTTTGAGTATTTTCAATGCAAAGTTGTTGCCTGACTCTGTAACGAGTGGTGTCATAGGTCCAGGGTTTTTTTATGGGGGAGCTGCCCAGTTTATTGCTGGTCTTATGTGTTTTGTTACCAGAAATTCGTTTGGTTTTGTTGCCTTAACTTCATATGGAGCTTTTTGGTTAGCCGTATCTACTCTCATTACTTTACAAAAGGAGAACGTCTTGGTATTTACCGAAGAGGAATCTAACCGTGTGTTGGGAATACTTCTAGTTAGTTACGCTATTTTCTCTTTGTATCTTTGGATTGGCTCGTTTGCACACAGTTTGGCTCTAATTATAATCACCAGTTTGCTTGAAACTACGCTCATTTTGCTTTCGCTTGCAAATTTGGGAGTTATATCCAGTATTCCAGGAGGAGTAACTGGGATTATGCTGGCTTCTGCTGGTTGGTAAGTACACATTGATTTTGTGAATAGTATTTGAGTGAAAGGGAGCATTGAATAAGGTACATGTCAGCTGCGATATTTATCAACGAGAATTTCCGAAGAACTGTAATTCCCCTCGGTGAAGTGCAAAATATCCCACTTCTGCGTCAATTTGCACCATATCCAAAAAAGGAAACAAACTAGCTATCAATGAAGTTGTTGTATTGTATAATGTTATAAAACGCAGTACTTTCTTGTTGTCAATTTCTCGTTGTCGTCCGGACTTCTGTTTAGAAACCTGAGAGATATAAGCATTTAAATACTTTGCTCAACAGGTTATATGAAAATATAAAAGTCTTAGCTAAATTGTTTTAGTATGACTTTGACATTCATCTAATCAATGTTCTTCGATCTGTTGTGGATTTTGATGGCCACTGTCATGTCGATTGAAGAAGGTTCTACTACCATGACTACTACTACTCAGCTTGGGTTTCGCAACTATGTTCCGAAAGACGAAGAACTTAAAAAGGGTACGTCTTCTGATTTTCCTGGGTTATTGATTAACTTTCGACTTAGTGTTACGAAAATTCGTTGACCCTGACGAAATAGTTGTAAAAGTAACCAAGGAACAAGGTTACATTGCCCAACAAGAAATCAACGAATTTGAAAAAAAAAGAAAGGATAATGTCGTGAGTTCAACCATTCACTCTTTGTCAGTGACTCACTCGTTCGTAGAGCCTTCTCATACCACAAGTGAGTAATTTGGACTTGAAAAAGAAAGTGGAGAGAAAACTAGAAACCCTGGAGAAAAGGACCCAAAGTTCTGTTTTATCTATGGTTCGTGAGAAGTTAAAGCAAGAAGAAGAGGATTCCAAGTCTGAGAATGAACAAGGGCATTCGAAACACGCACAAAGTGGGGTTGCCTTGTGGAGGGCTATAGATTCAGTTGAAAGTTCACACTTCGATGATGACGAACGTTGGGATTAATGTGTATTATATAGAGGTGAAGGAGTTTATGGTAAACAACTAATTATTATCGTGTGCGTCAGGAACTTTGATTGTCGCCTTCTGCCGACCAATTGTAGTTACTATATCCTTTTGCTATAAAATTGTGATTAAAGTCAACCATTTTGAATAAATTGCTTATTTCAGTTATCACACAGTCACTAGTTTCAGATAGGTAGGTCCCTAGAAAGAATGGACTATTTTTAAATCCTCTAATCCCACCCATTTGCACTCGCAGTGCGGTGCTTTGTGACAGCAAGTCACAGCGGAATAGAACTTGAATGAATTCAGCTGAAGTTGAGGCAAGTTGGCCTCAAGACGCAAAAACAGAGATAAACAGAATAAATACGGCCCCTAACTGTAAGTGTCCTTGGCAACTTTGTATTGGGTTTACCTTACTTTTGTAGATTATGTTGTCCTACATGTCACACCAAACTCTTCGGAGGCAGATATAAAGAGAAACTATTATAAACTTGCCAGAATTCTTCACCCCGATAAGTGTAAGGAACCTGGAGCTGAGGATGCTATGAAAACGGTGGCCTTGGCATATGACACCCTGACGTCGCCAATCAAGAAGAGACTGTATGATTCTTATATGACTGACACTAATAACCAAAGCGGAGAACACGTAGAAAGCTATGCTGAGTGGGAGGCAAGACAAGGACAGGTTCAGTTACCGGCGTGGCTAGAACGGCTCTTAAGAATAAGAGGTGTGAGCTGGATAGTTCTAATTGGTTTGCTCATCTTGCTCATTCCCTTGTTAATAATCGTCTTTTTGCTGAGCATAATAGCTTGGGTCCTTTGTATGCCCGTAAATTTCTTCATACGTATCTTCTTTCCTGAGAAATACAGGAGAATGCAAGAAGAGGCAAGAGAACAAGAAGAGCAGTTAGAAGCGGAACGTGCTGCTATGAGAGCAGCCGCGAACGCTTGAATATTTTGTAGAAAGAATATGGTTCATTTGCAATATGAAGTTTTTTTGACTGTTTGAAGGGGAAAAATACTTTGCATTGTCCAGAGAACAATGGAAAACGATGAAACCGCAAACATAAAATCTTTTTAAGTATATGTAATTATACTTTCCTATATTTGGTATTTGATGATTCTTTTCACTGACATAATACTTTTACAATATCCTTGACAAATACAGGAGTCGATAAATTTCTTCAGCGCTGCTAGTTTCGTAGGAAATAAATAAAAATTCACATATAGAGCAAACTACAGTGGGCGAAAAACTATTAGCCCTGCAGTTACTATGATTATAAAAAACAAACAAGTTGATAGAGTATAACGCGCTAGCTAAGAACAAAATATGCACTTAGTTGTCACTTCCGACTCAATTCACAACTTACCTGAGACCATTTCATTCTTAGAGTAAAGAAGCTAATATTGTTCCTGTTGAGTTCTAACAAGAATTCTTCGACAGTTGCCAAGTTTGACTCATTATTTTGTGAAAAATGGAGAAGAATCTTTCTTCGATTCTCTGAAGCAGTTTCGACGGGGGGCGGAAAACTGCCGATACACTCCTCGAAAGATATCGCACTAGGACTTTGGTTATCGAGCAACTTGTCATTGTCTTCTTCTATGCAAATAGTCCTTTTGTCTTTATCTCTTGTACAACCAAGTTCTCCACTGATTTCGCCTTGCAACTGTGTAGCCAGTTCTAACAAAAGACTTCGAAAATCTTGAACCGCACGGTTCAAATCTTTCTTAGCAGCCGTTAAACCTCTATAACCATGTCCATATGTTATTCTAGAAGCTAATGAAAAGTAAACTGACAAGATATAACGAGTTAAATCGACATTTTGACGTTGAATAGATTCAAGACGTTGCAAGCTCCAGAGAGAGTCCTGATTTCTCAAGGTTTTTCTCAAGAGGTCATTGTTTGCAGTAAATGCTGCAAGGTTGCTTCTCAGTTCTTGAAAAGAGTTTTCTACGACAAGCCTTTCTTGTGCGTGTCGGGTGGCTTCACGAAAAGTTGACTTCCTATCTAGAGGTTGTCGTTCTTCCGCAAAACTACCAGAAAAAGCTTCCATAAATCTTAACAGAACCGCGAGAAAATAATATTGTACTTTACTAACAGCGACAGAATTCTATCCTGAGCACTTCTGATTCTTTCGCCAGACAACCATACACAGCCTCCAAGTTGCATATGGGCAACAATCGAAATTTCTATTGAATTCAAGATTTATATATAATAGGCTTTTCGTATTCTAAGAATTTGTTAGACGTGCTTGTACTTGACGTTGTACTGATGAAAGGAACTCTATATAGCTGGGTTGACTGACCGTTCGGTCCTCAACCATAAGGGACAAAATTCTTGCCTCCAACGGGTCACCTTGAAAGACAACACGTAAAGGAGTCCATGGAAGTCTACAAGCTAAAATACTTTGAACTATAGCTCTCGCTCGTGAAGCAGATGATGTATATCCGGGTTTTGGTATACAAAGGAATGCTCTTGCAAGGTATTGTGGCGATATCGAACCAGTATTTCCAAATATGGGTGCAATTTCTTCACTAGTTTCTGCAACGAGTTCTTGCACGAAAGAAGGTTTCACACTAGAACCAAACCAAATCCACAATAATATCCCTTCATCTATAAGAACCACTCTGTGTGAATGAAGAACATGTGCTGCAGATGCACGCAAGCCTTCTGGTAGTTGTACTGACAATGGCCCACCTGATACAAAGAAACCGATCTGACTGGCATTTGATTCTTCATCTAATGGAAATAACGGAACAATGTTTGGATATACATAGGCAGAACTTAACGTCACAGAGAAAATATCAATCAAGGAATGCAGAAAGGACTTATCATCCAGTAACATAGAAGCAGCTACACCGGCTTCTCGGGAAAGAAGTGGTGACTTTAGGACACCCTGAATATATAGAGGAAACAAACGAAGTGGCTCTGGTAATACTAGTTGACTATTCAGGTTTGATACTGTACTATACTGCGATTGCATTTGGGAACCTCCCTGTTGATACTTTACAAGGGCCTGAACAAGGGAATCAGTAACATCTTTACGAACAGTTTCAAAATTCTTATTCAACACAGCATCTGCACATATTCTCAAAGTAAGGTTCGTCATAGATCCAATATCTGCATAACAAAAAAGGTCAGCCATGTTTTTGGTTACAGGAATCGCAATAGTGTGAATTCGTACACGTCTCTCTCCTCCTGAGGCAGTATACAATACAGCACATTGTGCTGCAAAGGCTTCGGTTCTGATATCATTGTCTTCAAGAACAAATTCTACTCCATAGGTCTTATCTGCGTCTGTATTTGGAAGCGTCAATAAGTCAGTAGATCTCATGAAGAAACGGCCAAGGAATCCGTGACACTTGACACTTCGAGTACAACGGATACGCATGACTCCTTCCCAGGCAGTCTCGCGACTAACCATTCTTCGCAATGAACGTATCAATACGATGTAGTCCTTTGATGGCTCGAATCTCGTCAAGTACAGTATTTCGCCTCCAGTATACTTTGCAAGTGGTGTTATCGTTGCCAGGTCCGAATATGCATTAGTGCCAGAACATAAAAGAATGTCGCATGAAATCTGAGCCCTTGACATGTTCACTGCCGTCTTTTTATAAAAGGTGTTATCTGGCTCTAAATACTGTCGTTCTTTATCAGTTCCTACAATATTAGGGCTACAGCGTTCTCCTCCTTCCAGAGCGCTTTTTGAAAGTGCTCCTACACCAAGTGTAGGTCTACTAGAAGTCATGAGAACTAGTCTTCCTCCACAAGTCTGCAACAATAAGAAGCCGGCCGATACAGCGGCACCAACTGCGCCTCCACTGTCCTTCGACATTGAGAACATATTTTCTAGTCTATCCAAAAGAATTTCAAGTGACTCCCTGCAATCCTGAAGTTTCACCAAACATCCATGCGGAATTGGCAAGAAAACGTCATCCACATCGGATACTACAGCCATGAAAGGATCCAACTTCCCATTTGGATTCTCTGAGGAGGACTTCAAACCATAAAAATGTACCGTTGAGTCAAAAGTTATGACTCCGATTCTCGTACGGTCGTCTCCTAGTAAGAAATCCAAAGATTGTCGAATACTTGAAATAAAACAACTTAATGCCCCACAGGAAATAGATGAAGAAGACACATCTATAACAAATAAATAAGTGGGAGGCATGGGAGGACGGACCATGTATTCTGAAGGAGCAACAAAATCGACACTTCCGCAAGTAAGTTCAGGTCTTTCGTTCGCGTCTAATCTTCTACCTGCATTATCCAAAGGACAATAATAATCCGATGGAACGTCCGATAGAAAGCCACAAAAGTTGCAACGAAACTTCCTGCCACTATCCACGAACATGGAAAGATAATTGATGTATGCTCGACATCTTCTGCAACGAATTATTCCTGCTTTACCGAAGTTTACTACAGGAACACTTTGTTCCCCAGCGGGTGGTTCTGCAAGTGGCTGTACAACTGCTCCTACAGGTAAAGGAAACTTACTTCGAAGAGTTGGGGCATTTGGAAACATGCCGACAGACATCCTCATGAAACATGGATGAACTGGTTTAAAGACTTCTTCTGAGCAAGCTGCAGGAAGAAAATTATTCACCGCTGCATTGACTGTACTCTCTGCTGAAGCTGTAACGTTCTGAGACCCAGTTTGGTTCCTTATATTCGTTGCATACTTTAGAGAGGCCAAATAGTTTTCACTAATATCTCCTTCTCTAATCCTGAGGGCTATACCAAATGACGACATATCAGGCCTAGGCAGCTGCTGAGTATCTGTTGCTAAGGCAACTCCTGGCTGCGATGCTGCGGGATAATTCGTCTGTGGCATAGCGGGTCGTGGAATAAGACCAGGTCTGGGAAGAGTAGATCCCTTTGCTTGAGATGTATAGTGACTTTGAGATTCGGAAACTAAGCTTTCCGTTTTAGCTGTAGGAACTGTATCCCGTGGTGGCAATTGTGCTCCTGAAGGTTGGGCAGTACTCAATCTTAGTCGGGAAAGATCTGGCGGATCCACTTGAGAGGAGGGAATACTGTAAGTTGAAATAGGCTCTGAAGATAAATTTGGCGAAGTAAACCTGGCGTTAGTATCCGCACGGTAACCTGACAGCGACTGATTCGAACCTGACGCAACCTTTCCCCCCAGAGAAGGATCTCCCACGCCAGGAAAGTGGGTTTCAGAGTCAAAAGCGCGAGCTGTGGTAGAATTATGGAACCCTGGGGGTCCTTGTACAATATTTCGCCTACTTCTCTCTGTGGAACCACTGAAACCAGGAGGAAACAAGTTCACTGGAGACCAACGTGGATCTGGTCTTTGTTGGTTTTCCGTTGAGACTTGAACATTACGAGAATTGGGAGGGTCTTGAGACGCGTATCTTCCAAAAGTTGGAACATTCGTGCTTGGAACTTGGTTTGAACTACTAGATTGACTCTGTCTGTTACTCATAAGTTCGTGCCAATGACGCAACTAAATGCCCAAACAGGAATTACAGTCAAATTCATTGGATACTTGACACTTTTTTTTATTGTTCAGAAAACTTCAAAAGTAGAAAATTCCTCAACCCTCCGATGGTTCGTATTTTTCTCCTGAAAGAAAAATTACAGCTGCAAAGTTCTCGACACAGTCAAGTTCACTAATAGCGTGGATATATGAGTTGGAAGTGGAATCTAAGAAAACTTGTGACACAACAGATTGAATCTTGGGCAACAACTGAGCCGAAGTGATCTTTGTGCTTGCCTCAGTAAAAGACGAAACCTGTTTCCTTAATATTTCAAAAACTATCTCAACAACTTCCGTGAGCACCTCACGAAAATCAGCTTCTTCAATAATGTCTGCGGTTTCATTCAACAGAGCAATCAGAGAGTCTCTATTGACCCCCTTGGTTTCCAAGGTACCAGTCTCCACAGTACGCAACTCCTGTTCTGCCATTAGTGGAGGAAAAGCAGCAAAACTATACGAATTCTCTACATCCGGTACTACTGTTTCTATATCTTCACGAATTGCAACAACTGCTGAATTCCAAAAATCCGTGTCAACAGTTTGTGTTACACGCGTATGTACAAGTACTTTCTCCACAGACGTCTTTACTCTACCGACTAGAATATCCAAAAAACTATCCAAGCAAGTGCAAGTTATATCCAAGTATGCCTGCTGCGTTCCTTTATGTATAGATAGATTTGACTGTAAATTTCGCAACTCCTGAAAGAGTTTGCCCAACTCATCCTCCGCCAACTCTGAAGAAGGAACCTCAGTGAACGGAACTCTCAATTCTTCTGTCAAATATCTTCCCAGTAAAGAAACTTTAAGTGTCACAACCACAAATAAGAGAGACAGGGCGTAAGCACCACAAATTACTCTAGTAAAAGTTTCTATCTTCAGTTTTTCCCATAAGTCTTGTTTCCTGTGCTCTGTTTGAGCCTCACTTGCTTTTAACTGACGAACTGTGTTCTCCACTTGTGTCAGTTCCCATAGACGGGATTTCAGTAAAGGCAGGAAAGAATAAGTTGTCAATACGATGGTTCTTTGACACGTTTCAAACTTCTTGTGAAGGGTTGAAAGTCCTGATAAGTAAGGCAAGTTGATAAAACCACTAAAGAAAGTATACATTCAACTCACTTTCACTACTTGTCGCATCCAACTGCAGTCTTAGGTTATTGTAGGCTTTACGTAAACGATAAGCGCTATACAATGCTGTTCCTAGTAAAGCAAATATCGCTATCTTTCTCCGATGACTCCGAAAGAAACTTACAGCTGTCTTCAAAGAAATCATTGTTGATTGGGAGAACCTTTCTAAGAGGCTCGGCAATCGACAATTTTAATAAAGACTTTGTTTGGTCATTCAGTGAACTACATGAACCATAAACGAAGACTAAAAAAGAAAGGCAAAAGTCTAAAAATCATTTATAAACAATAACCTTCAGTTTGTTCCACATCAAGGAGCCATAAACAAGAACAAATTTCGTTAGTAACAACCATAATAGTAACAATTCAACTACGCTATAAAAACAAGCAAGAGGAATTGTATAAAATAAAACACTGGTTTCTTCAACTTTGGGAAAGCTACCTACAAGTGATAATATTCGAATCCTAATAAGACAAACACAAGCCAATAATGAGAGAGTGATAAAATATTTGTACAGCACAAAAGATAAGTTTTCAATCAGGTAACGCAAAACAAGAGGCAATGCTCGTGTCTTTTGAATATCCTTTTCTGCTAATGCAACTTGTACTGCTTCCATGCCTGAATTGAGGAAATCTTGACAATATTGACGAATACTCCAAAGATGAAGAGACAAATACAGGAATACCAAAATCGAATGTACGATGAAACCTTTTGAATTGGACCAAAAACTTGCAAAATCTTCTTGTAGCAGGCGAAAGAAGAAGACAGCCAAAAGTAACGGAAATATCAAGTCAAGACGTAAAAGAAATCTGCGAAATGAATTTGAAACATTTTCTGAAGGCGCTTCTTCGAATTCTCTGTCTACATGACTGAAACTGATAGCTTGCTCTTGACAGGATCCCACAAGGCAGCAAGTGCTCAGTGCACATATTACCGCCACAGTAAATATATATAGAAAATTGACAAATTCTCCTGATATCCTTAAACCCTGTGACTGTGACCGTATATGAAGCTGTCTAAGGGTATGTTCACTATCGATCAAAGTCCACTTCTCTAGACCAACTGTTTGGCCAATAAAGCTAACAACAAAGGAACATATCCCCACCACGAAAATCGAACGAATACAAGACGAAGGTTCTCGGTGATACAGAAATATCAAGTAAAGTAAAATATGAAGAAGAAACAGAAATAAACCTAGAAAGAGAGAGCCAACCTCCAACTAGAAAAAAAAGTTATTCTTTGCAATGGCTCCTCTTTGAGTCGTTACTTCACCTTCCCAAACAAGTTAAACAGAGTCTCTATCAATACACAAACCAGCAACGAAAGGAAACTAGCAACATAAATATTTACTAAAAAAGAATAGGCATCGGTGTATAGTTTATCCTACTTGGGTAAACACGCTAGTTATATGCCATAAAGCGTTCTTACCTTGCTCAAAGGGATAGAAGCGAGAGGTATTGATATTCCTTTGGATGAACTTTTTTGTTTTGAATTTTCCTTCAACTCTGAAATCGCTTTTTCAATAGTAGTCTTGTTAGGTGGAACGTAGCAATGCAAGTTGGTAACCCTTTTACACGCGTTAACAAGACGAAGTATAAGTATAAAAGTAAGATACAATATACCGGTCAAATTTATATTGTTAAATAAAGCAAAAAGTAACGAGAAACACAATACCGCGGCTAGGATTGATACCGATAAGAAAACCATCAGAACTTTCTATAACAGTATCACCAATTCACACCAACAAAATGACTTGGCAAAACAAAATAGATTTTCATGATAAGATATTTATTGCTTAGAATTATCCTAGCTACTATAACATCAAATATCGCTAACAAGCTTTGAGAAAATTACATATATTCTAGCAGAAACTCTCATCCTCGATATATAGAATAATGAGGATCTAAGACTACGAACTATTAACGTTTTATATGGAAAATATAGCAGTGACAATACTTTCAGTATAGAGGTTCCCATATAACTGCAATTCGATTCGTCCGCTTTAACTACACACTTGTGCTCCAGGTGTAAATGAGAGCCATGACATTTCTAGTGACTGATATGAATACTTGAAAGTGCAACATCTTAACAATTATCTTAATTGATCAACGTCGACTTTTGGCCAGTTGAGATGGCACAACCCTTTGCACCAGTTAACAGAAAGTCTTTCCCAGCAGTTCCGCTCCGAACGACAAAAGACGCCAGATATTGGAAGTCTTTCAAGGTACTTGCAAAGATTATGGAAAATTCTTCTTATTACTGGTAGGTCTCGAGTGAAATACTTCAACCTGCCACGGTTACCGACGTTGAGTTTTGTCCAGCAACTTCGAATACGCTTATTTCCACCTCAGGAACTCAAATATCTGTTATTTCTGTTGAAAGGGGTCAAATTATGAATCGAATTACTTCTTTCAAAGAGCATGTTTATGGCGGAAGTTTTAGGAAGGATAGTGCACTTATAGCTGCAGGTGGAGAGGAAGCCATCGTTCGTGTTTTTGACGCAAAGAAAAGAAACCTTTTACGAAGTTTTTCTGGTCACAATGGGTAAGTTGAATCGTAGTTGTCTATACTAGTCTTACTTTTCAATTGTTTTTTAGTGCTGTTCACTCCACAAAATTCTCCCACGATGGTATTCGTGTGATGTCGGGTGGCGACGATCATGTTGTTCGCTGTTGGGATCTCCCGACAGAAAGTTGTTTATTTGAACTTGTCCATCATAGAGACTTTGTACGTTCTCAGGCTTGTTGTCCTTCGCCTCACCTATGGGCCACCGGCTCTTATGATAAAAAGATGCGATTGTTTGATCTTCGATCGAAAGAAGTTATATTCGAATTGAATCATGATAGTCTTATTGAAGATATTTTAGTTTTTCCTAGTGGTACTTTGGCTGTATCAGTCGGAGGAAACAGTGTACGAGTGTGGGATCTATTCACCGGTGGGAGAATGCTTGCGAATCTTCAAAATCATTCTAGAGCAGCTATGTGTGCATCACTTGATGGCTCGGGTTCTAGGCTCATTACAGGTGGCTTGGATCAACAAGTAAAGGTTTATAATACTTCATCCTTTGAAATGGTTGCTTCTGTATGGATTGAAGGAGAAGTTGTATCTATTTCGTTGAGTCAAGACGAGCATTTTTTGGCTTGTGGTTTATCCAATGGGAAATTGATTTTGAAGCGACATTCACCTGTTAGTAGTTTAAGAGATGGAGAAGTGGAAGAACATGGAAGAGATACATATCAAGTTGTAAGTGCGTCAACTATTGGGACAAAGAGGACAGATGCAGTTCCTGGAACACTTCGTTATTTTTTTAGGGGACAAAATCAAAAAGCTCGCCCTGAAGACGCTGCTGTTCCAAAACCTCCAAAGATAAAGTTGAGAAAACATGATAAAATGCTTCAGTCGTTTCGATATAGCGATGCTCTTGATGCAGCTATGGAAACAGGCCAAACTGCATTTTCTTGTGCTGTTATTGAAGAACTTGTTTCAAGAAATGGATTGAAGACAGCGTTGTCTGGAAGAGACGAAGAAAGTTTGCTTCCAGTATTACAGCTTCTTACGAAGAATATGCAAAATCCTTATTATTCGCACACTTTGATAGGTCTTACAAAGGTTGTATTAAGTATTTATGAGCAAGTTTTGATAAGTTCGAATCGTTTGAGGCCTTTTTTAGAGAAGCTTTTGAGCCAAGTGAAAGAAGAAATTCAGATACAAAGGGAAATGAAGCGCACAATTGGACAAACAAAAGCCATCCTTTCTACTTGTGAAAAGGTTGGTCATAAGCAGTGATAGATGAAAGTAGATAAGTTGACATTCTGTGGAAACAACTTGGCTATCAACAGTCTTAGTAATATTGGAAAGGATGTCTTTTGGTTATACAAGATTCTTTCTCGATTGCTTTATCGGAAAGTTATATTTGTTTCAGATATCAAAATGTCGTAGCAACTCTTCTCTATAACAACCAAAGCGAATGAAGCTGGCCTCTCGAAACTTTTAGGGTTTTGGACATTTTGACAGAAGAAATTACTTGCACAATTCTTGATGTTCATTAGTCATAGTGAGAAATCTAGGAAGCTTTGCTGTTTTCGTTGTATCATGATAACGAAAGGAATGTAGCTGAGGATTGTTGAATCAAAACTTTCAGATAGGTATCCTTGAAGAATGTGATGGAATCTTCAGTCGTAAAGATGTATTTTCTCATGACAAAGAAAGATGAGTTGGCAACTTTAGAAGGAGAATTTATGGGAAGCAACATTTTGTAAAATAGATATAAAAAGACGCCAATTCGATGAGGAAGTATATTTTGGTCATTCAAAGAGAAATATAGTTTTACTAATCCCACTTGTTTCGTCAATCGTTTCGCATTTTTGGGCACAGTACATTTATTCCTTTGACGGCCTAACCGAGTTTGATGACGGCTCCATTAAAGTTTGCAGTATTGGGAACAGCCAATATTGCAAATGATGTTAGTAACGCCATAAGAAGTGCGGGTCATGTTGTTGAAGCAGTGGCGAGTAGAGACTTGAATAGGTAAGACCTTTCACTTGGAACGCTTGACAACTCATATCCCGTCCAGAGCTCGAGAGTGGGCAGAGAAACGAGACATAAATAAATATTACGGTTCCTACCAAGACGCTTTAAACGATCCATCAATTGATGCTGTTTATGTCCCTTTACCAACTACAATTGCGGAAGAGTGGGCTTTAAGTAAGTAGACAACTTTGCAAAGTTATTCAGTTTTGACAGTTGTCCTTAGAGGCAGCAGCACAGAAGAAACATGTTTTGGTTGATAAGCCATTTTCTTCAAGCACAAGTGTGAAACGCATTGCTGAAGCTTGTGAAGGTCATGGAGTTGTTTTCCTTGATGGCACTCATTTTGTACATTCTCCAAGATTGCAGGAAATGCAGCGGCAGATAAAGCAAGGCACGATCGGAAAACTTTTGAAAATTACTGTTGCGTGTACCACTTTCCTTCCATCCAAAGATGACATTAGGTACAACCCAAGTTTAGAGCCCACTGGTTGTTTAGGTGATATTGGTATGTTACAGTAGCCTATTCAGTTTACCAATTTGTTGACTATTTCAGGATGGTATGCTGTTCGTTTTGCTCTAAGTTTTATAGGATATGAGACCAAAGTGTCTTCGGTTTATGCAAGTGCTTCAAAGACGTCCACAGGTGCCATTGAAGATTGTTGCGGTATTATCCATTTTGCAACTGGACAAACGGTGCATTTTGATTGCGGCTTTACTTGTGGGTTTCGTCAATGGGGTGAATGTGTAGGCGAGAGAGGAACTGTTACTGTTGATGACTTCATAGTCCCTTTCTCTTGTGGTGGTTCCTTCTTTCCAAGAAATCGTAGTAAATACAACCCAGACCTGAAGTTTAGAATAAACAAATTAGCTGTCGAGAAGGATAAAAAGTTGGAGATGATAGATCCCGTTATACAGGAGATAGAGGTTTCGGGGAATAACAAGTCACAAAGTGCTGCTATGATTGATACATTCGCTTCATTAGTGAGGAACGAGACTGGAACGAACCGTTCTAAATGGACTCGAGAAACTATCCGTACACAAGAGTTGATTGATGCGCTATTCAAGTCGTGTGAAAAGAATAATGTCGTCTATTTGGAGTGAAACTGCAATAAATAGTTCGAGTTTTTCCTTCAGAAATCTCAAATTGGTGCGTCTATGTTTGGATAAACGTTTCTTGTTAGTTGAATGTCAATTCTACAAGAAACCAAAAACCCCAAACCAGCTAGCCCAGATACACCAGTCTACAAAGCAGCTTCTTCTTGAACATCAACAGCCTGCAAGTTGCCGTCACTACCAACACCAGTAAATAAACCATCTTCAGGTGTTAGCAACATAAGAGCTGCTAGTTCTTCCGCTTTTTGTCTTCCATACAGTTTCTCTACTAAAGTCAAACTAAAGTGGAGCGCTGTTCCCGGTCCCCTAATTGTAGTCAAGAAAAAATTCTCAAACGCAAATAAAAACATACTGTGAAGTTATGAACTGGCCGTCTACCACTACTGGGCAATCTTCATCGTCCACAGGATTCTTCAACTTGCTCAAAAATTGGTCAGCTGGATAACAAGTAGCTCTTATGCTATCTTCAAGAAACCCATTTTCCGCAAGAACGAGAGCGGGAGCCGCACAAATAGCACCAATAAATTTTCCGCTCTGCTGCTGTTGCCTTAATAAAGTTATCAACTCTTCACAACTGCCAAGTTTCTCTGCCCCTTTCGCTCCTCCCTGTCACAACAAAAATGTTAGTTGAGCTAGTTTTCTATCTACTTTGGTACTCACAGGAATTGCAATCAAGTCATATTGTTCATTTGTACAGTCTGAAATTAACTTATCTGCCACGATTCTAACACCTCTACTGGCAGTTATTTGTAACTGATTCTCCACAGAAGCTATGGTGACTTGAGCTCCAGCACGTACCAGGGTATCTGCAATAGTAACTGCTTCAATTTCCTCAGTTCCGTTGGCAATAGGAACCAAAACCTTCCTAAGGGTCTATATGAAGGTCAGCTGAGTTCAACATGCTAAACAAAACTTACGCAAACAAGCGTCTTCTTACAATGTGTGGTGTTTGACCTAGGAGCACCGACTGAAAGTCTCCCAGAGAAACTGCGAGGCAAGAAACTTTTGCAGAAACCAAAAGGAACGCACAATTTTGATATATTTCTGTAGTGAAGACTACATTTTCCGGTCTTGTAAAGTGCAGAACAAGCGACAAAACTTTGCATCATGCCGAATCAATTCCAAAATATCACAACAAATGATCTCAATTTTACTTTAATTATGAAAGAAGAGCCAGTGCTTCTGCCTGGATATACCGATATTTAGAACAAAAGTAACAAAACAAGCTGAGTAACTCACTTTTTCAGCATAGAGTTCGTCAGCTGTAATTTTAATGTAACGCTGACTAAAATCATCGAGTTGAAGTCCTTTGACGATTTCATAAGTACCTCCTCGCGAGCAACGCAATGGAAAAGAAAATATAGTTCCCTTTTCAATACCTTTGAAAACGTGAGAAACTTTAAACTGAAACATATGATACGAACCATAAGAACCGTCACTAGCCACAGACATCGAGACAATACGATCGCTTCCTAAGAGCCAATCGTGAAGATGGTCACCAACTGCATTGGCTGCAGACATAGCGCTAGACATTTTGCGAGCAGCAATTACTGCAGCTCCACGCTTTTGAATAGTCGGAATAAAGGTCTCTTCAAGATAACTCTTATCAAGTAGATCACTTAATTTCCCTAATGAAACAATTATCCACAATATGCTAAATACAACATCTTCAAAAATACCTTTTCCTTCCACAGAGCCATGAAGCACATCTGGATACTGCGTGCTAGAATGATTTCCCCATACATAGACATCTGAAACTTTCGATAAGGGAACCTGAAGATAACATAAAAAAGGTTAGACCCGATAAAAATGGAACAAAGGTGACACGGACACCAAGTTTCCGGGCTACCAAACTAACAGCGCGATTCTGATCCAAACGCGTGAGAGCAGTAATGTTTTTATCGGGAATGTTTGGAGCAAAGTGTTTCAGAATATATGCGTTCGTATTTGCAGGATTTCCCACCACAATAACACGAACGTTAGCACCAGCTTCAGTATTCAACGCTTCTCCTTGTTCCTTGAATATTCCTAAAGCAGGTTTCACTCAAAAAAATTTCGCCAAAAAAACTTTGTCTAACCAGCATTCTTTTCAAGCAAATCTTTTCTTTCCATTCCTTGCTTTCTTGGAAAAGCGCCCAGTAATACAGCAACATCACAGGAACGGAACGCTTCTCTAGCGTCCGAAGTTGTAAAAACGGAGTGCAACAGAGGAAAAGCGCAATCTTCAAGCTAAAACAATCAGGACATAAATTAACACGAACTTCACTAATCTGTATCACATACCTCCATAACGACCCCTTGAAGAGAAGGAAGAGCCGCCTCAATTTCAAGCAGTCGTAACGACACCTGTTGTTGAGGTCCGAATACTTTTCCACCAGCAATTAAGGGCAAAAGTGAATAAGCTATTTGGCCAGCAGCACCAGTAACACAAACATTGATAGGTCTATCAGAAAAGAGAGGAGTCTCTGCCATGTTTGACTAAATGATCTTAGCCGCCGCAAATGCTCCAAATTTCTTCAACCCTCGTTCTCGATGTTGACTTTTATACGTGTCTCGTAGAATGCCCATGAAGCAACAAATGTCACTCGCTTTTGAAAAAATTTATTCTAAAAAGAACCAATTGGATCCGAATTTTTGCAAACTATAAAAAGCATTTCATAACCTGTGCTATATCAGTGGCTGTCCGGTTTACTATCATAAGAGTTGTTTTCAGAATTCATACAGGTAAATATTGCCTATGAAACTTTCTATATGGAAACAAGATCTTCTATAGAACAAATACCAATTGATAATTGCTGTAGATTTTATATAATAAAAACTGCTTTAACGTATTCACATGACCTCTTTCCTTAGGGTTTCAAACAATGTTACCATGTGCTGAGCAAATTTACAATTTTAAAAGTGCTGATCAGTGTTTCTCAGATACATTTCATTCAACCAAATTCCTTCTTCGTATCTTCAATTCTATAACCTAAAAAAACTAATGCTTTCTACGATGAATGTAGCCTAAAGCAAATTGGAAGTTTCACTGCACAACTTGATAAATCAGTTTCATATATGATATGTCTGTCCAGGTGAATGATTACGTTTTTACATTTCCTGTCCAGGAAATTTTATGTTAACTTTAGAAACACTGATGAGTCTACCTTTAACGCTTCTGAGTCGAAAGTGTCTTATCAAAGCAAATTCCTAAGAAATGGCCGTCGAAGGTTCAAAAACCAACTCATGAAGCACTGAGGAAACCACAAATTCTTCAGCCTCTTTCACTGAAGTGTAGCCCATTTCTCCTAATATTCCAAATAAACCACATTACTTCTTTTTAAAGTTCATACGCACCCCACTCATGAGCTTTCTCTAGATGAAGTAGAAAGTATTGAATCCTGTTGAACAAATTATCCTCGTTCTGTATCATGCAAGTAACAGGACTCGAAGAGTTGAAAATATTCAAGTAGCGCCAAGTCTCAACAAAATTCTTTATATAAGATCCTATTTCCATGAAAAAGTTAACATTGCCTAAAGGTGAACCAAGTACTCACCGTGTAAAACAACACATTTGTAATGCAATGGCTCCGCAATATTATGTCCACCTCCGGGAGGAACCAGCGAGTTGCCTACGAATACGACTTTACACTGTTGAAAAAACGACGATAGAACGCCTATTGACACAATTAGAATGAACTAAAAACAAACCAAAACCGTTGCAACCATATGAATCTATTATTAGTAGACTAACATTATCCGAAAGAGAATGTCGCGAATGTACAGCGATTTCGCTCGGCTTAAAACCGATAAATTGAGCTGCACGAAAAATTTTTGATGTGCGTTCGACATGTCGAGGAGCCAGAATAAGCAAAGGTTTTCTTTCCAACTTCCAAGTTGTACACAGACGTTTATGTACTCTCAATAAAGAAATCTCTTCGGGATCGTGCGTGCTTATTCCCTTAGGCAAGCTCTTTAAGGAGGCTATTTTATGAACTGTTCTACATACCATCCAACTCGGTCCAAACCGTGTAGGCAAACTTACCGAGTCTCCCTCTGATCCCGAAGGCAGCAAGACTTTCAAGGGAGGAATGACTTTGACGTTGGAACATCCAAACTGTTTGAAAAAGAAAGCTTCTTCCTCATTTCTGGCTCCAATGAAGTGAAACGAGGTCAACATCTGCTTCAACATACTTGTTCCGAAAGCCGAGCTTGTCCAACGTTCTTTCGAAGCTGGAGAAAGTCGGCCGTCCAGCAAAAACAGTTTGACTCCCTTCTTCTTACTTTCCTGTAAAAGGGTCGGCCAAAGTTCTGACTCTATAAATATCGCGTTTCGTGGCAAGAACCTCGAAAGGAAACGGTTCACACAGCTGGGACAGTCATATGGTACTAGTCTTCTTTGAAACTCTGCTGATGTTCCTGTCTTTAACGAAGTCTTGTTAAGGAAGTCAAGGCCTCTTAACAATGGCTCTTGTGCGGCAACGTTCGCAGAAGTAAATAAAAGGGATCTTATTTGGAAATTATTTTCATAAGGAAATAAGACAGCGTTCTTTCTGTCTAGCGCCCGTAAAACAGCAGCACAAAAAGCAAGAGCAGTTCGTGTCTCGCCAAGCGACGCTCCATGAAACCACAACGACACTGGAGACCTACAGGTCTCTTTCAACTCTACTTCACTCGTCAGCGACAAACGTTGGGTCAAAACCTCTACGCTGTCTCTCCAACTAAGTCTTCGAAAAAATTTATAGTATGCGCTTTCAACAAGAGCGAACAAAGGCGCCACAAAGTTTGCGGCGTTGCCAAACAAGGTTGAAGGACCACCCTTGTAAGACATAAGAATGAACTAATTGAAGCAATAGCTCTATTTACCCTTGAAAGAGTTGTTACAAACTAGTTGCATTTATTTTCACTTACAAATATTGAGACACTTTATTTGCTATACCTTACTGCTCCAAGGATCTTCAATACGGACAACAGTTCCTACGCACTCATTTTGTCATTGGCTGTCTAAGCGACGAAACTATATTATCACATCAGGATGCATTTACTCCAAGAGCATCTATTGGAGTGATGGGCAATTTAGCATTCTAGTCTCCTTCCACTGGGCAATGTACATGGAAATTGGACTGCCATGCGACATTTTGGTCTTTAAAAGTTGATTTTGTCACAATAGATAACAATTGTTTTTCTTTTGTCGGGAAAGATGAGTCGACCCACTTTTGATACCAATGCTGCGGAGATATACAGGACTTCAGTAGAGCTAGAAGCAATAGATAGGAGGTCGGCAGATATAGTTGCCTGTAAGGAGCAAGGTGACGGAAGAGATAGCAGAGATGAAGAACAGCTGAAGGAGTCTGTAGAGAAGGCTCGAAAGAAGGAAATAGCGAGCTACATCAAGTACAATGCTTTTGGAACCGCTATGGGTTTCTTTGTGAACGGATATATGTATGACATTTCGTCCTACATTGTTGCAGTTTACACAGATGTTTTTCCATCCTTCAGGTCAAATACATTTCTTCAAACTGCTATTGGTGTTTCTATGCTTTATGGCGTCATGTTTGGCCTGTTAATGTTTGGCTTTATTGCTGACTATTTCGGAAGAAAGAAGGGTCTTATCATGTGTTCTTGTTTGGTTCTTCTTGGAAATATTATTGGAGTTGCATCCCATGGCACTACGGTGAACGGTGGTATCTGGATGATGAATATTGGTCTTGGTGTTGCCGGCCTCGGAATGGGCGGTGAATATACTTGCAATGTTCCCAACGTTATGGAAGATAGCGAAGGTGTTGATGTGAAAACCAGGGGAAGGCGAACTTCTATGCTAGTTATGTGTATGGAAGTCATGGGCAACTACATGCCATTTGTGGTTCAAATTATTATTGTGGCTGCAGCTTGTAGAAACGCTCATTTAGGTGCAGCCTCAGGTTGTCATTATAATATTCTCAAACGAGTGTCGTTTGCAGTAGCCACCATTCCTGTCATTGCCGTACTTATTTATCGTACAAGAATGCGAGACTCTGCAATGTTCGCTGCCGATAAAGCAAAGGGTAAATCTCGTTATGACGCCATTGACTTTTATGTAGTCATTCGCCATTTTGCATTCCGTTCAGTAGGAGCAGTGATGAACTGGTTCCTTGTAGACTATATCAATTACAGTCAAGGAACTTTTGGAGTTATTATTCTTCAGTCTGTAATTGGAGTATCGCTATTGAAATCTCTTTGGATAACTCTTGCAGAAGGAGGAGCGTATTTAATATGGTTACCGTTTTTAGCAGCACTAGTAGTCGATAAATTAGGAAGAAGAAAGACTGAGGTCTTTGGTTGGATGTTCCTTGCGTCGACACAGCTTATCAATTCCGGTTTCTTTTGGCAGTTGAAGGCGAAACCTGTAGCTTGGATCATCTGGGGCACATTCGTTGGGTAAGTCTCCAAGATATTGTCGTTACATTTCCTAACTTTACTTTCAGTGGCTTTCAATACTTTGTATTTGTGCCTGTATATCTTATTCCTGCTGAAGCTTTTCCTACGAAAATCCGCGCAACAATGTATGGCGTTTCATCTTCATTTGGCAAAGCTGGTGGTATTATTGGGACTACTATATTTCCTACTTTGTGGGTGAATTTTTCAGGCTCTGCCCATTCTGAGACTTTACCGGCACTTCGATTAACTATGTGGTTCTATGCTGGATTGGAGTATTTGGCTCTCCTTCTGGCCTTTTTCTTTGTTCCAGAGTATTCCCAACAATCTCTTATTAGAGAAGATCACCGTTTCGATGAGTTAAGAAGGCGATATGCCGCAAAGTTCGCAGTACGAGTGGGTGTGACTGACCACGAATTGCAAGAAGAATCGCTCCAAATAGGTTTCTTCCAATTAATTAAGTACAAATTGAAGCTGTCACGAGAAGAATTCCAAAGTTATCTGAAGAATTATTCAGCCACACTATGTCGTGAAGTTGGACTGAAGACTAGGGCAAGAATTGAGTTGGTTTCAAAATTGTCGACCGATTACAATGATCTCACTCTTTTCTCCCGCTTTTTGAGAATAATCAGATACGGAAAGGCTTACAATGTACAGTATGAGAAGAATTCGGAGGACATGGGATATTATGATCCAGTTGTGGAAGAGAGTGACACTGAACAATTGAAGACCACCGAATTTGATGAAATATCGCAAAGTGGAGTGACCGGAACTTTGATGGATGATGTCACGGCAAAGGGCCATTCCTGAACTCTCGTTTGTTTTGAATGACCTCTATAATGTTTTTTGTTGCAAGAATAAAATTCTGCTCTATTTCAATCATGGGAAGTCTGCATCATTTTATGAAAAGTAATGGTTAAGCCTATTTGAATGGCATCATTCTAATACATAAAAATGAAGCTGCATTTCTAGTTGAAGCCTCTAAAGATAATTTCAGTGGTATTTCTGCATATTATAGAAATACAGGAATCATATCAAGTGAGGTGTTGAAGTTCTTTTACTTAAACCCAGAGAGGTCCCTAGTTTATCATTTTCATTTCTATTTGAGAATTTAAGAGTAAATACTCACTATTGGGAAACTTTCCTACCAGCTAAAAAATTAAAATCTTATTATATTCATTATCCTGTTTCAGGCAAATGTCTGTCTATTAATAGGATGGATGACTTGTAAGATTCTTGCTGTTTTCCAATCAACAGCATTCCATATCGATTTGGTAGACAGCAACGTAGACATTATAATTTTGAATGGATATCCTGCATTCAGAGGTCTTCAAGAGTCAGAAGGTTAGTCAGTCTTTAAACAATTTCGTAAGAGTAGACATGATTTAGTTTGGCATTTAAAGATTGACCCTGCAATTTTGAGAAATGGGAACGAAAACTTTCAACGGCTATAATATTGATAATTTTTTCCACGATGTTATCAAATTTTTCTTCTCAAGTAACTACAGGAAAGAGAATTCGAATATTTATCTTTGATGGAACTCTCTTTTTAATCTCTTTCCATGAGCCCAATAATAAATCAATTCTAATAGTATGTGAAGAGTTTTTCTTTGCATTTATCATTTTTGCCAGTTAGATCACTCAAGCCTGTTGAATTTCACAAGATATTCCAGGAGAAAGGTAAATAACTCAGCCTAGTATTTCATAGAGAAAGAGACATGGTGTTTTAGATGCACAGCCTATGCAAACATTATAAGCACTGATTACACTCTTTGACTTCACGGAATGAATGGCTGATAGACTCATAGCACACAAATTTCCTTAACAAGTTTGACCTTTCCTTCTAGAGCTTTGGAATTATTTCACAATTTAAGCAAATATTGTTGATTCTTTTGAAAATTGGTTAAGGCTACCTCTAGAGAAACAACCTCAGGAACTTTTTATTATTGGAAAGGCTGCTGCAGTAGTTTGATCATGTTTCGAACAGTAGCTGTTTAAAAATGGATGACAAGCTCCTGGCATTTCTTTGCAAATTTCTGTCACAACTAATTCGATTTCGCTGTATTGATCTAAATAAAAAGCGTCATATTCTTGAAAGCATTTGTTTCGTGTTCTTTGAGTGCCTTCTGTGCAACATTTTGAAAAACTTCAACGTTCAATTGTACTTGTCATTGCTGTTGAAAGAATACATTGGTCCAATCAGAATTTGTTGATATGAACCATTTACATAATTTTTCCAAGTCTCCGACACGATCATTACTGATAAAATCATTGCAATTGTTGTCCATTTTGATTTGCCGGACGCCATTAGACGCAGTAAACAAACTATATATATTTTGATATCCTTCCTCGAAAATTGATTTCTAGTAGCCTCTCCTTTATTTATTTCAAGTACTTCATAAATTGGAACATGGGCTGAGATGAATGCACCTGTTTTATGATCTTTTAGGGTCACTCCAAATCCATAATTTTCATATACAAACTCTTTACTTTTATAGAAATAAATCATAGTCGAAGTGCACTTGGGTTAATCATAAGTTTCTCTTCTCATGTACCGTCTTTAAGGTTCAGGATATCTTACGTCAGATTTAGACATAGAGCAGTTGTAATGAAGGATGATTTCAGCTGACATAAATGCATCCATTGGACCGAAATTGCCGTAACTTCCAGTTCCACTTGTATGAATGAAAAGTTGAAACATTCTTTGAGATAAACCATCTTACGAATTTCAAATACTCAATATAAGAAATAAAGTCTTCTGAATGATTTCTCATTTTTCCTGACAGCCGAAAATCAAGAACTGCTCCTGTCATTCTGTAAGATGAGGTGTTCATAGAATTCAAAGCATTATGTATACCTTACAAAACGCTTCTTAACTTTGTCTTTTTGTATTGTCTCTTTTCATTTCTCTGAGAAAAGAATGTTGCCATAGTAGAAAATAATCTTGAAGTCTTTAAAGTACTTCGCTTTGGCTTTTGAATGCAAATATCTTTACGATAATGTTGTCCATGACATTCGGGTAAAAGTCTTCTATTAGTACTTTATGATTTATATGTTAACACATAAGTTCAATGCTCTTTTCAAGCTTTGCTAGCCTTTTGTTCTGACCCATGTAATCCTGAAATTGTTGATCAGAAATTGTCGTTTTTTCAACCAAGTTCTCTCCATTTGCAGATCTTCGAGCTACATTTAAATGGCACTTGAAAAATTTGCCATTTAGTAAAAAGAAGCAAACTTGAGGTCTGACAGCTATAACTTTTACATATCAAGCTTTCTTGGTGGAAGAAACGTGTCTTTCAAGGAAATGTCACTATAGGGAATGATTATTGTACAGCTCCTAGTTACTTTTCTCTTTATCAAGGATCTTTAAGTTTACAACCATATCTGGATTTCAGTATGGAGCACGGTCTTGTAAGCAAAATGCACTTAACACTTTTTTGGAAGATCCCACGCTCTTTGCTGTTCATTTTGTTTACAGCTACCCTAATGTATATTCTTACAACTTAACTGGTAGTGCCACTTTTTCAACGAACAAAGAAAGAGTTGGAGAACAAAGTATCTCACGTCTTATCCTACCCTACTCCTACAGAAGTTGAAACTTACGAGTGGTATCCTGTAAGCATAATAAAGTCTCCCATTTACTGCAGCTACATAATATGGGTTGTTTCAGGTGGTATTATTTCTGCTTCTATTGCTTCAGCTATAAATCATTTTGTCGAATCACAATAACAAAAAACGAAGAGTTAAAGGCAATAGAAAAGGAAAACAGCCTCCAGCTCATCCACACTGAACATTTTTTGAAAATCATAAATATGGTTCAGCTGTTCATCTAGAAAAACATTTGGCATAGCTGTAGAGGAGCAACCTATCGAAGTGCAATTTTCCATGAGAACTTTACGTTGAGTAGTTTGACTTTCGCATATAGCTGCTTGTTCTTGAACTGCAGATTCACAATAGTCAGAATAGGCAAAATTACATTCTAGACATGGTGGAGAATACTAGTTTCCTGATATGTATACGTTACCAAAACAGAGATTTCCTTTAAGAGCATGGTGAGAAATCTATTTTTGAAATTTTAGTAGAGGACTATTCTTCATAATTATATATCTTATTGACGAAGGACAATGAAAAGAATATTACCGTACCCATAATAAGAGCACATCGAGCGAAAGAGTCAATTATCTTTGTTCTTCATTCCATTCTTTGATAATAACCAATAAATTAAAATAAGGAGTAATGTGGATTACTAGTAATGCTATTACTCTTGGAGAAATATGTCTTTTGCAAGAGATTCTATGCTAACTACTCCTTCGCTGATAGGATCAAATTCTTTCAAAAACTTTTCTTCTGAAATAGTATCCATTACAAAATCTCTATGATCCAATTCTTTTCCTTTTTATACTATACTTGTTATGTACTTCAAGTTGTAATAGAAAATTTCATACTTTGCGACACCATGATTTGTTTTTATAAATAATCTCTTTATAAAATTTAATGATTCCTCCGTGTACAACACACTTTGAAATAACTTCTTCATTACCAATGATAAAGAGACAACCAACCTTATTTGGCTATTTTCTATAAACTAGTCTGGAACATCCGACAAATTCAAATATTTGAGAAGGATTCTTCTCAAAACACAACTCGGTAGTTGAATTGAATTTCATTGTTCAGGTTATCTTTTTGTGCTTCGGGACATCAGTGAGTATGAATGCAGAGAGTTTCATGAATCCTTGATAGACACAAATGTTGAAAGAAGTACAGCGTTAGGAGAGAGAATCAACAAGAATCCAACGGACTTTGGGAGAAGAGAATAACTCATTCAATAATGGAAAGATAGGAGCTTTGTAGTATTCTCAAAACACGAAACGAATGCAGACAAGCTTTATCCATTCGTCTAATGCTCAAATACGATTCTGTTCATGTTCTCTTCTTATATTAGTAAATAGTGATGCTATTAAAACATTACAAGTTTCATATTGGTATTCTAACTGAACTATCACGGCATTCGCCTCTGGAAATGAAGCCTAAATAAATTACTAGTCTTATGTTGTAGACATTTCCTTATCTTCATTTGCTTTATTCAAAAAGTTTCAAGTGCCCCATTCTATTGATATCTTTGAGAAGTTCCTCGACTTGCCATTTTTGCAACGAATCCACAATCCAATCAGCATCACGATAATGTTCTGAAGTCAACAAGCTATTTCGTATTCCAACACATCTCATTCCTGCTCGCTTAGCTGCAACAACACCGTTCTATATAGAAACAGTTATTTGTCATGGCTTGAAATCTATTAAACTCTGTACCGGAGCATCTTCAAGAACAACACAATTTTTTGGCGTCATTCCCATCTTCTTTGCTGCTAATAAGAAAATATCTGGGAAAGGTTTTCCATACGTAACGTCTTCGCGACATATCACGTGGTCAATATACGCATCTACAATTGACTTGTGGGCACTCAGTTTCAGTTGAGTCAAAAAACTACCACTTGATGTAGCAATACTCTATATCACAGAGCGAAGAAAAAGAGTTGACAAACAACTCTGTCAAACTTCAATAACGTGACAACTTTTAAACTGCCTTACTTGACGTACTCCGTAAGAAGCAAAAAGCTTAACTAGTTCTAGGGCTCCTGAAAAAAACTGAATACAAACTAAGAATTCTATCCAAACTAACCTTCACAAAATTGTGTGGATGTAAACTTGTCAACTAACACTTCGTCGCGGGTCGATAGATACTGTTCAGGTGAAGTATTCAAGCAAAAATGGTCTGAAATATTTGAGAGCAATTATGAAAGTTTTGAAAGCATACCAACTATAACTCTAGCACAGTCGAGACCCGGAGTTCCAAGAAGTTTGTGAGCAACAGTACTGACATCACCTTTGCCTCCGTATTTCTCTATTGTCTGATTTTCGACTTGTAAATAAATGGATTCTGTGTTTCTACTTGATAGTTCACAAAATAAGTGATTAACAGAAAAATCAGAAACTCACAGAAGTGTTCCATCCAAGTCCCAAATCGCAGCAAGAATAGGCTCCGACATCAACAAACTACTAACCCTAGTGGACTAATGGAGGTTCCCTCTAAATGAATTAAATTGAGCTTTCTCTTGTAGAACAGTGTAGTGTGCTTTGGCTAAGTAGGTTATTCCATTTTCACAACAGTAGTGTCTTGACTCCATTCTTCTTGAAAAAGATACAATTATACATATATATATGTAACCTTGTATATGCTGAAATCATATGCCTTTTCACAATTGTATTGAGCTATTCTGTAATAGGCATTATTGTTAGATTGAATTGGAAAATTGATTCAAATCTAGTCGGGAACGGATGATTATTAGTAGTTTCATAGCGGCACCTTTTTGTAAAACACACTTACCTCCGTTTTATGGAACAAAGTGCCGAATTTGTGCAAAAAAGGGTCTCAGTGGGGATAAGCAACAATTATGTCTAAACGAGAGACGAAGAACGTTAGAGACCTCTCCAGCTGTGAAGTTTCGTTCTCGATTGCGTTGGTCTCCTAGGTTACGTCACTATGTTCCGTTTTGTTTTGTTGCTATGCAGTTTCCAAGTTCCCCTAATGATAACGCTTCTGGTAGGTGTTTTAAAGTCCCTTGCATTTTGCTGAACTTTTTTTAGAAGCTATTGGAGACGCAAGTAACACTTCCCTTTATGGAGAGGAGTTGAGTCTAGAGGATGAAGAACAAAAGAGAACTTTTGTTCCTGAAAAGTTGCCTTCTTGGTTGCGCTTGAAGAATCCCTGGATACAATTGGTGGTTATGTTAGGATTGTACGTTGTCCATCTACTTTTCTTATCCAAGAAAGGTTGGGATATATCAAAGAAGCTTGCGCCTCCAGATCGAGGCAGATTTGATGCCGTTGGTCTTGATACCATATCAGGTTTATTGGTTATGATTGTGGCATTCGTCCTTAGAAGGATGGCTGGTGTTAACCTTATTCCCAACTTGATTGAAGTCCCAAAGCCACCTTGGAAGGTACCAACGGCAACCTACGACAAACTTGGAGCCACGACGCTGCTTTTGTTTCTAGCTTACCTTGCGTCTGGTTATGCTGCGGTGTTTTGTGAGCAGCTATTGTTATTGTTATCTTTCTATGGTGTGCCTTTAACTGTAGCTTCGTTACGTGCTTGGAAGGTGCTGCTTGGACACCTCATTTGGGTTTATATGGCTGTAAAAATCTTAGGAAATCGTCTAGAACCTTTTTTTCCGCCAAAAGGAAGCTGGATAAAGTGGCGTTGGAGATCCAACTGGCTTTGGTGGGTTATTGGAGGATATTACGGATCTGGTTTGTTATTCAACATAGCGGACTCCTTCAACCAGTGGATACTACCAAGCAGTCTCTTTAATGATGAAAGCGTCGTATCCAAGCTAGTGAAACCTGAAAACAATGATCTTTTTGCTATGGCAATAGGCGCAATAGGTCCTTGTATTACTGCCCCTGTTTTTGAAGAAGTGCTATATCGAGGCTATCTTTTACCTGCACTAGCGACTATTATGCCCATTCGGTTTGCTATCCCGCTAAGTTCTGTTTTATTTGCAGTTCATCATTTGAATATAGGCAGCGTTATTCCTTTGACTGTTTTAGGATGGGTATGTTGTTAAGTTTTCATGAGGATATTGACTAAGTTTGTTGAAGGCTTGGGCATTACTTTACGCTCATTCAAGAAATCTTTTGGTAACCATTTTGATTCATGCCCTGTGGAATAGTCGGGTTTTCTTGGGTTCTCTCTTAGGACTTTAAATAATGAAAATGATACAAGCAGTAAAATCAAGTTGCTTTTACATACATAGTCATCATCGCTCTTATTTAGATAAAACGTCCATTGAATCCATTCATCGAAATAATGTCATTCTATTTGCTTCATGAGAAGAAGAATCCAAACTTGTTTATGGATATCTTATCACAAAAAAAGAGAACTTGACAAAAATTCCACTTTTCACTTTTTAGGTAGTGACCTTTTCATTCTTTCTAATACATAAGTTATGTCTTCATGAAAACTATCCTTGTAAGAAAATTGAGACACATATGTTTTCTGCTCACGTAGTTGCTTCAACAAGGATTCCCATTTCCTCCAAGACTTTTCAAGTCTCTCGACTTCAAAGACAGTCAGAATCTCACCAGCACGGTCCCACAAGCTACTCATTTCACTGTTTATGCAAGTTTTGTGAGTACTGCACTTGGACTTGTCGCCTTCCTGGGAACCGCTCTCTTCCACTTCGAGTTCATATTCAAAAATAACTGATGGTTGGAGAGGCTCCAGCAGATTTTGTGGTAGCTGAAGTGGCAACTTAAAGTAACATATCCGAACGGCTTTCTCCTTTAGTAAATAAATAACTAACTTGAGAGTGTCCCTTGATCCATCTTCTTTGTTTTCCAGTTTCCGAAAAGTCAACCAATGCAACAAAGTCTTAAAGCAAGCCAAATCTATTCTTATTTTTTCACGAGAACTTTCCACCTTTTGCGTAACGTACAATAAATATAAAATGTAGATACAAGCTATTTGAACAACAAGGTACAGTTCTTCCTTCAAAATATCTAAATATTCGTCTATTCTAGGAAGCTTAACAAGCGAAGGGCGTTCGAAAAATAACAAAGTAGTTTGGAAGAGTTGTTGTAGGAACCTCTCTGGTTCTAACCTTCTAGGACGACAAAGGTGAATGACTTCAAAGTTACTTTCCTTCCAGAGCTTACAGAAAGTGACGAAACTCAAGGGTTCTGACACTCCAGAGAGCAGCTGAAACAGCCAGTTGTCTATAAAGTCATGGATAAGGTTTCTCAGGTCCGAGGCAAAAGGAGACTGAACCAATGCTTCTGAATCCATTTACCAAATGGCAACAATACGGAAGTATGAAGAATTTGGTTCTAGTCGCCATACTAGTCTTTCGTTTATTGGTCATCCTTCACTTTCATACTATTCTCGAAGAACTTGCTTATCAGCACTTCATCGCTATAAAGTGTCTAAACTCCCTAAAAGTTTTGCATCTTCTCGTAAATTGAAACAGGTTAGATTTGAAAGGTAAAAAACTAGTCTTGAATTGCTTTGAGCTCTGCTGAATATCTTTTGCGACAGAGGCACTGTTCGGTACTGTTCTTGTTCTGTTTTAGAAGCAAATTTGTTAGATTCTAATCGTGTTCGTTTGTCCGTTGTGGTACCTTTCTATAACGAAGCAGATTCCATAGAAAAATTGGTAGAAGCTGTGATAGCTGCTTGCGAGGAGTCTCCTTATGCAAGTCAATGGGAGTTGATCTGTGTAGATGATGGCTCAACGGATGGAACAACGGATAAGTTGAAAAGGTAAACTTGAGACCTTGCCTTAGTTCCAACTTATGACTTGGTAGTTTTATAGACTTTGCGATAAATATCCAACTATAAAAGGCATATCATTTCGAAAAAATTTTGGCCAGACTGCAGCACTTGCAGCAGGCTTCGATATAGCATCTGGAGACCTCGTTGCAACGTTGGACGGAGACCTTCAAAATGATCCAAAAGATATCTTCCGTCTTATTGAAACTATGGACGCCGGTGATTATGATCTCGTGAGCGGTTGGCGCCATTGTCGAGAGGATGCCTTTGTACGTAGTAAATTGTCCAAAGCTGCCAATTGGCTTATAAGATGGGTAACAGGAGTACCAGTTCACGATTTGGGTTGCGCAACAAAGGTATATAAACGAGAAGTTATAAGAGACATTCAACTTTATGGTGAGATGCATCGTTTCATAGTAGTGCTCGCAATGTATGAAGGAGCTAAAATTGGAGAAAGAGAAGTTTCGCACTATCCAAGAAAGTTTGGAAAAAGTAAATATGGTCTGGATAGAATCATTCGCGTCATATGTGACTTGACTTTCTTATATTACCTCAAGGTAACTTTCGCCTGAAAATATTGTTACCAACTCAACGCTGCATTTAGAAATATCGTACCCGCCCAAGTCATTTAGTTGGTTCTTTGGCAATCCTATTCTCCGCGTTTTCACTTGGCCTTATGGTTTGTGCTTCCATCAGCAAGTTCTTAGGCAAAAGAATGTTCAGGACGAAGCTTTCAGTTTGGTTACTATTTCTGATGACTTTGCAAGTAAGAATATCATTGTTGCTTCATACAACGAAGTAATCTTTCTTAGTTAATATGGATTGTGCTTGTACTGGGCATCTTGGCAGAAGTTGTCACTAGAACGTATTATGAGTCACAAAACAAGCCAATCTATCGAGTCCGCAAATATTTCCCCGAGAAAGCCAAAATTGGATTTCAATAAAGTGACGTCGTTTGTGACAACTTCAGTAAAGTTGGAAACAGGAAAGTTCATGCTTCTTTTCCGAAACTCAAAAGTACTCTATATTTCGCGTTCCTACAGGATATCTAGAGTTTTTCGGTCATTGAACAGAATGAGTTCCCAAACAGCAGCATCGTCTGAAACAGAAAGAACCGAACGAGACACTTTTGGTACCATTCAAGTTCCAAGTACCAAATATTGGGGTGCTCAGACTCAAAGGTTCATCTTTTTGTAATTCTTTCTACTTTAAGGTTCTTATTCTTTCTAGGTCATTGTTGAATTTTGATATTTGTCGTGACACAGATCGTATGCCTAAGGAAGTCATTCACGCCTTTGGTATACTCAAGAAAGCAGCAGCCGTTGTGAATCGAACATATGGCTTGGATGCGAAAGTGGCAGATGCCATATGTTTGGCAGCTGATGAAGTTGCAAGCGGTAAATTAGACGACCACTTTCCATTGGTAGTTTGGCAAACTGGTTCCGGCACTCAATCAAACATGAACTGCAACGAAGTTATCTCTAACAGAGCCATCGAAATTTTAGGTGGAGAGTTAGGATCGAAAAAGCCAGTACATCCTAACGATCACGTCAACATGAGTCAATCTTCGAACGATACATTTCCCACAGCGATGCATATTGCTACTTGTCTAGCCATTCATCAGAAGTTGATACCTGCTTTGAAACAATTGGAAACCTCGTTGAACAACAAGGCCAAGGAATTTGCGGATATTGTGAAAATTGGACGAACTCATTTGCAGGATGCTGTTCCTCTTTCCTTCGGTCAAGAATTCTCCGGATTTGTTACTCAACTTTCGTATGCTCAAGAAAGACTTCATTCGTGCCTACCGCGGCTATATTATTTGGCTATTGGTGGAACAGCTGTAGGTACCGGTTTGAATACTCGAAAGGGCTTTGATGAGAAAGTTTGTGCTGAAATTTCCAAATATACAAAGATACCTTTTCAACCTGCTCCAAATAAGTTTGAGGCCCTCGCAGCTCATGACGCAATGGTCGAATGTAATGGAGTCTTGAACACGATAGCCTGCTCGTTGATGAAAATAGCAAATGATATTCGTTGGATGGGAAGTGGTCCAAGATGTGGTTTAGGCGAATTGATTCTCCCTGAAAACGAACCTGGCTCTTCTATTATGCCTGGAAAAGTCAATCCAACTCAATGCGAAGCTATGACTATGGTTTGTGCGCAGGTTATGGGAAACAGTGTTGCTGCTTCAGTTGGTGGTAGCAATGGTCAATTTGAACTGAACGTTTTCAAACCCATGATTGTGCGCAATACATTGCATAGTATTCGTTTATTAGCTGATGCTTGCGTATCTTTTGATTTGCATTGTATTAAGGATTTGAAGGTTAACAAAAGGTATACTTGTTATTGTTCGTTTAGTATTTCATACTGAGTATTATTCGTTATGTATAGTCGCGTTGAAGAACTAGTCAAAAACTCCTTGATGCTAGTAACCGCCCTGAATCCAGTCATTGGATATGACAATGCTGCTTTCATAGCAAAGAAAGCTCACCGAGAAGGGACGACTCTTAGAGAAGCAGCTATCCAGTCTGGTAAAATTTCACCAGAGAAATTTGATGAAGTAGTCGACCCTAAGAAAATGTTGGGTCCAAATTAAATTGTTTTGAAATAAAAGGCCGAGTTGTAGACCTTGGGAAGTTCGATGACATAATGGAACGAAACAATTCAAACAACTTATATTACGTTCAACAAGCAACAATTTTAGAGCAGAAAAGTTCAAATTCACCCGTGCAAGAAGCCTGTATGAGAGAGTTGAGGCAACTTATTTCGGTGACTCTTGAAAGTAACAAGTTAAATCTACGAAAACTGCAACAAGCAGCAAACGATTTTCGTTTATGTGCGAAGACATTCGTAAGTATAAGTCTTCTACTTTGGCAGAATCTAACAGCCATTGAGAAAATTTGTGACGTGGAGTTGCAACAGAGTTTTCTGATACAAGCTGACAACAATAGAACCCCCTAGTTTAATTCGATCCCCTATGTTCGTTTTATTTTACTTTGAAGAATGCATTCCCTTAGTATTCTTCTTACTTCAGGAACAGGGCTGTTGCTAGATTGAGAGCTACTGTAACTTGATTGGTACCAGTAATCCATAAATTTGGTTTCGAAAGAAAGATGATGTACCAAGCTTCAATGCGCATGCCAGACATGGTTTTTCACAGCACAGATACTTGTCAGATCCTTTTTGAAAAATTAAGTATCAGCGCTAGGTGTCATTGAAACGAGAACTTTTTTTAGGGTGAGGAAGAAACAGTTATAAATAAGTTTATACAATTGCAAGTATCGCAAAATCGCTTTTGACAGTCAAAACACCCGACTTGTCTCGTATCAACGCCGGTGCGGTTATTTCGTCTTTTCCTGCTAAGGTTTCCTTGTCTGATGTAACTTTAACCAAAATTCCAGTTAAAAGAATACCACAGATCATGGTCACTGCTGATCTTTCTGTTTGTCTTATATGAGAGACTACTAGTTGTCCCCATGAATATCGAACAATCTGTGAACCCGATAAATGACGCAAAAGGAAGGCTGCATAACGAATGCTATACAACTTTTTATCAGATATCAAGTCCAGTCCTACGACTTTCATTGTATCTGTTTCGGAATATGGTTTGACTTTCTTCTCATCTACAAAACCTTGAGGAAAATCACAGTTTTGAGTTTCTATCGACTCTGCGATATCTCTTTCTGAAACTGGGTCGTTATTACTCGCCATATTATCTCGTTGTTGACTGAAATCTGCGTGCTCTACATATGACATCACATTCGAACCAAATTCTTCGTCAAACTCACGAAACTTCCATTCCCTGCTGTCAATATCATCATCTTCGTCAAGTACTTGTGCTGCCTCGGGACACAATAGATTGACTAGTTCAAGTGCTGCCATTCGATACAAGTCAATTTTACAGTTTGGATACACTAAAATCAGTCTTTCTAAATCTGTCGTTGAAAGGAACAAAAAATGCGCAAATGGAGATACGACTATGACAGATTTTGGTAAAGGCATCGAAAACAAACAACTTGCTAAACCAAAAATACTGCCAACGTGACCAAAAGGTGAGGTAGTTTCGTTACGCTCAAAAGTTTCCACACTTGCTCTGCTATATGCAATCGTGTCGTCATCAACAGTCCTCAGGTGTACCAAACCCCTAAGTAAAACGAACACACCAGGAGAAACAATTCCGAGGGATAAGATTTTGATACCGATTCCAAACACTCGAAGTTTTCCCAACGAAATAACGTCATCTTGAAAATGACTGTCTGGTGCATTTCGAACAAATAGCAAGTCCCCAACAACCTTTGAAACAACGCGTGAAATACAAAGTCTTACAAAACCAATGACACAAACCTCTCGGGCTTTCGTTTGCGCAAACCGTATCGGTATTTTGGTTAATCGTCTTTGTCTCATATTCGTCTCATTAACCAAGAACGAAAATTCCGCTTCGTCCAACTCGCCTGATTCATACAGCTTCTCTATAATATGTATCCTGTGTGCCAATATTGCTGAAACAGCAGTTCGAGTTTGGATAACACGGAGAATTTCTGGTGACGAAATTTCAATACCTCTCAAATATGATATACAAAGACGAACTTCACGTTCTACTTCCGCAACTACTGAGCCTCCGATATCAACGTGTCGTTTTACAAAGATCAATGATGACCATAAGGAAGCTATAATACTGCATCCAATACTATATCTCCTATAAACCAAAAGTGTTAAGTTCCATATTACAATCCTGTTCTACAACTACCTATAAAGAAATCTTCGTGAAACAAATCTGGTAAACGAACTTCTGCCAAAGAGCTCAATAAAAAAACGTTCCAGTTTAGAAAGACCCCATCCATATTTCTCTAAATCAACGAAAACGTGCAAAGGTAGGGAAAGTGTATCCAGGCCTTTATCAATGGCAGCACGTAAAGTACGATATGCATTTGCACTTATAAAACCACGTAAGCGTTGTTGTGAAACTTGGCTTCGAAGGGCTCTCAAGACTCGTTTTCTTATTTCAAAGGAGAAACCCTCTCCTTCATAAACAGCAGACTTATTCAATCCTGGTTCCAATCTCTGCACACTGGAAAGAGCAATACTTTCCGTTTCTTCCGACTCTAAATGATGCAATTCAATAAGCCGATTTACTGCAGGAGTCTTTCTTCCAAGGCGTTTAGTTTCTTCCAGAAGAGAAAGCCTCGGAGATAAATTATTATTCGTGATATACTGTCTCTCGGACGAAGGAATTACATACGAATGCTCCTTCTTTGTTACATCCGCATATGAGTCCTTTCCAATATTTACAGACTTATCAGTATCAACTTCAGGAGTATTTGAGATCGACTCTAATTCCTCGATACTAGGGTTTTCTTCCGAAGGCAAATGACGTGTAACAGTGTTACTTTCCATACGACTATTATATTCATTCAAATGCTTCAAAGTGTGCTTCAACTTTTTCTCGTCATTTGCAACCTCAGGATCCACAAAAACTCTCACAAAGGTCCAATCAGCTCCAGAATAACGGCTAGAGTTGCTTAGGCTATGAAACATATTCCAATCACTATCAATGACTTTCCTCTTTGCCTGTTCAAAAAGGGCCAAACGTGCATCCGAGAGCTTTAAAAGGCCAAGTTTCTCACAAACAAGGCGATATGTTGAACCATTTACAACAAGAGACAGTAATACAATGCCGGAAGTCCAAACTGACACGCGGGGAACGATGTTTCCTGGAAGTTTGAAGAGATATGACTGATGAGTCACAATTTGGGCTAAAATCAACGCAACCGCGCCACGCAAACCACTGAATGATACTAATGAGAGTTCTCTCCATCCTGGTTTGTATCCCGTATGCATCAAAATAGGACTCAATGAAGCAATTCCCAAAGCACGAAGAACGTTCAGCAATAAATAAGACACAACAATATAAGCAATATCTCGTCCAGACAGTCCATCACTCCAATAGGCTATCATGTTGACTACGGACAGAAAACCACTATAGAAGAATACAATCGTATTTGCCACAAAGGCCAAAACCTCCCAAAAGTAGGAAAGACCTTTTAAAGCTTCAGCACTAAAACGCGACAATCGATCGGCAGCAAATAAAAGTCCTGAAGTGACGACAGCAATAGCCCCTGAAACGCCAGCTGGACCTTGTGCAATATAGAATGAAAGAAATGAAACAACGATAGTCCTAAAGATAACATTCGAAAATTTCAAAAGCAAGCGAGAACTAATACTTACGTAGAAATTTCGACTTCAGGATCTTTGAAAACAAATCGAATGATGAAAATTGCAGTTGCTGCAGTGGCTAATCCGACGCCAAAACCACCAAGAGACTCCTTAATAATATCAACAACGATTACACCAATACCACTGCTTGTTCCAGGTTGCATCTTCTTCATGAATAAATAAAACAATGTGTATGCTGAACCGTCGTTGAAGAGAGATTCTCCTTCGATCAAGGTTCGAAGAGAAGGTGATGCACCGCTTTCCTTGAGCAAAGAAACACAAGCTACTGGGTCCGTCGCTGCAAGAAGCGCGCCAAACATTATTCCAGCGTCTATGGTCCAGTTGATATCCAAAACATACACAGTCAACACAGCTAGTAGAATGGTATCCAAAACCACTAAAACAAACGCAAGCAGTAGAACATCCCATACTTGTCTTTGAAATACAAACCAGTCAATCTTGAGAGCTCCCTCAAATATTAAGGGCGGAAGAAACACAAACAGCAAAACTTCAGGTGGATTTATAGAAAGCCAATATGCTGCACTTGCACTCAATTCAGCCAAGTCCAAATAACAACCAGCAACCCCTAATACTCCGCCTGCAACCAGAATGACAACTGTGTAGGGTAAAGGAAAGTGCGTGAGTTCTAAAAGGGTTTTCGCAACTAGACCAACTGCAACCGCGAGTGCAGGAAACAATATGACCATGAAAGGAGAACCCGTTTCGGACGATAAAGCTGAACAGACAGCAAATATTTCGGAAACTCCTGACATGGCATCTACAATGCTGCGACTGGTAGATTGAATGAATATTTGGAAAATTGAAGTTCTTAGTTACTGGGGATTACCTTTTTTAGTAAAATTGGCAATAAAGAGAGAAGTGACTGTTCTCCGGCTATGCCAATAAAGAAGAAAAAATGAAACGGATATAACTCCTTTTTCTTGTTAACTAAAGAACTAATAAGTACCTTGTGGGCTTGAGCACAGTAAAGTTGATATATAAGAAATTTACTGCACTTTTTGTCGGTATACTGTTGTTTTGGCCATTATCCGCTGAGTGAAACACACACTTTTTCCCAAGGCTGCTCAGTCGGGAGGGTGACTAAACTTTAGAATCGTTGTTTCCTGTTCTGTCTCTATATGAGCCAAAACAGCTTGAAGTGATACTGCTTTGGAATTGTGCACAACTATTCGAGATGTTTACAAAGTTCGAAAACCCTATTATTTTAGGTCTAAGATAACATCGAATAACTGGGTCCCAGTTGAATACTCTGTTTTGAATCGTGAGAAATATAAGCTGAGATCGATGTTATTTGGCAATAATAACCTCTTAGAGAAATGTAAACCACGGCTAAGCGCTGCAGAAGAAATTGAGGTATTGATTTCCTTGATGAGAATTTTAGTTTCTTCTAGTGACAGGCACATTCTGCCAGGGTATGCCCTTTTGAAGATATTCAAGTTGTTCAAGTTTTACAATAGAAAGGTATAAAATTTGAAAGACTATTTTGGCAAGAAGCACGAAGATATTACTGGTACTCACCAGACCAAATTAAACCCCACTGTTCTGTCTCTATTGAAATATTCCTAAAAGTAATGTTGGCGCTATACCGAGAGCAAATTTTCAAGTGACTGGGATAACTAGCCAATCCAAACTAGGGAAAGCCAACAGTCCATATTGCTCATTCATAACAACAAAGTCTTGGCATTGTCAATCAGGACTGCAATAGATAGCATTTGAGTAATTAGAACCGAGTATTGTGGAATTATAGGGTTTATTAGGGTTTACACAGCGAAGGTCGTTTTTCGCATAGTGAGCCTTTGGCACTCCATGAGTGAGTCCAAAAAGTTATTGAATAGGCATCTGGATATTTCTTGAGAATCTTTGCTAGACATAACTCTTCGTCCGGATTCGAGCTTTCTTTGGAGAAGTCACAAACTTTCTTAATCTCCTGTGGTTCCCAAACCCAGCTGTAAGGGTACAAAACTCCTTTTGGTTCTAGGCGAACTTCTTGACAAGGAAACAACTCGTCGAGATGTGAAGACTCTCCGCCAGTATCCAAACTTTTACTTCGATTGCTCGCGTCTTTGAACTCTGTGTTGTTGTGAATCCTGCACCAATCTTGATATGCCTCCTTTAAAACAAATGAACCACTGAAGTTAGTCTCAGTTCCCCGAAATCCGAGGAAGTGTCGATCTATAACTTTTCTTACACATAAAAGCCAAAAGGGGTGTCCAGGAACACTTGCCATAATAGCGTTTGGGATAGCGTCGTCAAGACGAAAGTTATTCTCCATCATTCCGAGAACAACGCATTTGTTTTCAAGAAGAGTGTCAAAGCGTCTAAGAGCACGAAAGTCTAAGTCAACATAGACACCACCATATGAATACATATAAAGGAATCTAGATATATCTGCACGTGCAATATTTACTGGCAGACTGTCGTATATATCAATTAACCAAGGAAACTGTCGCAGAACAAGTTTTCTGTTAGTGTGGTCTGTCCATAAAATATATCTCCAGTTTGGATGCAGCTCTTTCCAACTTTGTATCCATCTTTTATATCTTGCTGGTACCTCGTTATTTTTCCAACTTTGATGGATTATATTTGGTATCCGAATAGGACTGCTCTTCGTTTCAGAGAAGGAGAGTAGGTCAGTGCCTCCTCTGTAAGAAAACGTTGGCTCTAAGGAAAATGAAGAGAAGACCCATAGAACAAGAAAAAACGCAATGCAAGTATGCAGAAACTTTGAGAACTTGGAGTTGGCCTTCCAAGGCTCTTTTCCTTGGAAACCACTCTTTGACATATCAGCTGGGTAGAACAGACTTTCAAAGCGAAACAGGGCGCCAAAAATCAAAATTTCTTGGGACCGAAACAGGGACACGAAAATTCTATATTGCCCATCAACAGTCGTTGAAAACATCAAATATTTTTGAATATTGTTGAATTTCTTCCTTAATAAATTTGCAACCAAGTCCATGAAAAGACTCTGTTTGTTGTGATACTACATCTTTATAGACCATGAGTGCCACATATCGTTTATCGAAACTGTGACACTCGCAAATTCTTTCCAAGAATACTGTTCTCAGATGTCATTTTTACAACAAACATAAATAGAAGATGACCTGGTGACATTGTTCGAAAATGTAGTACAATGCTAGTCACATACGAAATACGAAAGATTGAACGACTTTGTCTTTGAGTCAGAAACTTGAGATAACTTGCTGCATTTTGTATCTTGGAGATTTCTTATCTGGCTTAGAGATAAACTTATTTGAATCATAATTTAATCTCGATGGCATCCTGGAACTGACAAACGGGATCCAGTCGACTTGTCAAAGTTAAATGGTTTGAGCAAAAACGTTTATTCTCCAATAACGCATATGTATTGTCAATTGGACATATCCATGCTTGTTGGCAACTCTGAAACGCTATGAAACTCTTCTTTGCTTGGATCCAAGGGCGACTTTGATGTAGAAGATCTCCGTCCCATACCGACTTCCTCATCATCAACTTCATTAAATAAATACTCCCTCTGATATTCATGAAGAAACTGAGTCGAGCGTTTTGCATCGACAAACAAAGAATACGACTTCTTGACATCTTCGGTTTCGACCTGCGTTGATCTTCGTTTTGCACATATCAGTGCAGCAGATGTAATAGTATACATTGCATATCGGAGAGAGGTTTCCATACCAATGGTAGTCAGCAAACTAAGAGCGTCATCTGTCAAATTAACGTCTTCTTCCTCACACCTTATTTGGATGATCTGCTTCAATTCTTTCTCCGAATAGGGCTTTGTAGCAATGATAAGGAGCCGATCCAAAAGGTCGATAGGAATGCCATGTGGCGCTCGATAATTAGTGCCTCTGATACGAGTAAAACCTCTGTTAGTAGCCATGACTAAAACAGGTGCCATTTCTGATTCTAGCGCTCGGCTAAGAAATGCGAAGCACTCAATATCCAGCATATGTACTTCATCAATAAACAATACCCCGGGAACTAGTTCGGCTTTACCCTGCTCAATCCAATCTGTAATTCTCTCATCTATTTGTTCGCGTATTTCGTTTTTGATCTCACCAGTATCACCAGAAAATAGAGCAAGAAATCCTTGTTGACGAGAGTTAATAACATCTATCTCATGCAACGTCACTTGATGCACAACTTCCTTCATTCTTTGAATCTCTCCCTCTGGACATTGTACAATACGGGTCGCCGAACCCATAGCATCGTAGTCTCGACTTTTCGAAAAAGAATGGCCTAACTTTGTCACCTTTCCCGTTGACTTATCGATAGAAATAACATCACCTGCTGACACATTTTCACGAGCAAGTGAATCGATCATTTTGTTTCCGAGTTCATACACTGTTTCCATGTCTGTAGTTTTCAAAATGATCTTCCCACTTTTCTTTCCCGTCATAGGACCTGAACCTACTTGGCGATCTACTTGAATCTCCACAACTTCTCCTTCAATAATTTCTACCTCCTCTTTCATTCGAACTCCAATACTTCGACGAAAAGCCTGGTTGAGTGCTTCTGTTTTCGAAAGTTCAAGCGAAAACAGTTCACTTCCAGCTATCTTCGTAAAAGGAGTTTCCGAGCCAAGAGCTTGTGCCATTCCCATTGCTAGCGCAGTTTTACCTGTTCCAGGTTGACCGGCAATAAGCACAGCTCTACCCGCTATTCGTCCTTCCCTAATCATCTGTACAATAATACCAGCAGCCTTGCGGGCTTGAAGTTGTCCGACCATCCCTTGAGAAACTTCTTTCGGCTCCAGAAGGTCATTTAAACCCAGTCCGCGTATGTGTGAGTGAGCACCTATTCGTTCCACCCTCGTGAAGTCTCTTATTTCCTCGAACTTTGTTGAAAGTGATGAGAACTTATCCATAAAATTTAATTCTGTATACTGCAGCCTACTTCAAATGTCAATCGTTGGAGTCCAACAGAGCATGGAATAGTCATCTTATTCTTTTTTCCTTATTTATATGACAGGAGAACTATCATCGTTTTATATAATTAGAATCCTAATTTGAAATAAACAGATTGACTTTTCGTTTTGAAAAAACTCTGTCGGAGTTGTTATAGGATGACATGATCAAGAACATAATAATAGACCAGAAGTAGTTAGATACTATAGTGGCATGAAGTAGGCTTTAACGTGGAAAAGAATAATTAGCATGAAACAAACAACAGTTAAAAAGTTTATTTGTCCAGAGTCTACGTCGACTCACAATAAGATTTTTCAACTTCAACAGGAAAATTTTAAAATCATGAAGTAAGCGTTTCACAACGAATACTCCTTGACTCTTACATATTAGGCGATGGAGCAGTTTCGCTAGTGCCAAGGGATGACCCTGACTGGTTGTCACTTTGAAAACTTGCACGACAGGACACTACTATAAGATTAGTTATGAAAAGCAAGTTTGTTCAGTACAAACCTAAGCTTCTCTCAAACTTTCGGCACCGATCAAATAGATAAAGCTGGCTTGATTGTCGGTCAAGACAGGCACTGTAGTCTTCAAACTCCTTTGGACACGTTGCGTTTAACTCCTTCAGTAATTGTAAAACACAATTCGTCACTTTTTCTCCCTTTCATGTTTTAGCTTAAACTTTGCGAATAAATGGAAATATAAGACCACAACCTCACGTAAACACTCTTCAGGATTATCCTCCTTACTTTTACATTCCAAAAAAGCTCGATTCTCTTTAGCGCAACGTCTTCCTAGAGTTCCATGAACTCTTAAAAAATAGACAAGCGAAAAAAAAGTAAACGAACCAATTTCTCTTGCTGCAGCGTACAGAACCGACGAGGTAGTCAACGGTCTTTCATCCGTACTCGACATAACCAAGTAATTATTCGGCACAATTTCATGGCAAACTTTGAAACCACTTGCCAATATTTGATAGCCTCCGGAACTTCCATAGAGCAGTTGTTAAATAGTTGGAAAGAATATGGGGTGAAACAGTGGGAGATTGCAAGTGTGCTATGGGTTTTTTCAGTTTTGAATTCAGAATGTAAAAGAAGCAACGTTCAAGTTTCTTCAGATTGCGACTGTGACAGGTTGGAAAGGCAAATTGAAAAAGTAATAGCACAAGGACAAAAAGATAACTATTTCAGTGAAGAGTGTCTAAAAGAATGCCTCGAAATGGAAAGTCTAGAGAGCAATGGACTTCTCTCCTCTTCCACTCAATGGACTAGAAGAGCAATACGCACGAATACAAGATTGTTTTATACACAGGAGAAATTTAACCTTTTACGAGAAGAAACGGAAGGATTTGCCAAACTTATTACAGACCTTTTAGGGTCACATAGATCTCGGGATTCGACAACAAAACAACATACACGCCTTGTTTCTTTGGTGGGTTGTTTTGATCTTGATCCCAATAGAGTCGTAGACCTTATCTGGAACGCTAGCGCATACTGTAACGAAAAATGTGGAGAATTGTTATCATTAATGTCCACATTTCGCTCAGACTATATTTCGCAGATTCTTGGATTCAAATTTCAAAACTGCCAGTGGAACAGGAAAAGTCTGTGTACAGAGACAGAAGAGTCTGTTAACTTTGATTCAACGTTTTCTCCTATATTGGCAGAAAACTCTACTGTACCTTATTCGGAGCTTGGTCCTCTCATCGAAGTCGCAGCGGAAGCTTTGAGCCGTCAGTTGATTCGTCTCTGTGATATCTGGCCACACTTATCACCTGAAGACTCTGTAATTTTCACTAGATTGATAGAATTTGCTAACGAGGTTGACAAAACCACTGCAGAGTTTGGTGTTGTAAGTTTATCTGGAGGAGAAAGCAGCTTAGGTTCCCGAGTCAGTCGAACGGAACAGCCTTTTAAGACATATGAAGACTTTGAGCAAGGCCCATTTTCCGAAGGACTTTTCTCGAAGATTGAACTCATTTGTGCTCTATTAGAACGAGGCTCTTGGAACATTGTTGTTGATTGCATGAAGATACTGTCAGATTCTGGTCAAAAAAATTTATCGGACTTTGGACAACAATTGTGTTCCCATCCTCGTTATCGAACTGTCCTCGTAGCGATTGCTGAGCAAGTCTTAGAAAAATTCCTAGGCAAAACGCTAAACCTAAGCTTGAGTTGTCCATCTTCAGCTAATAACTATTTTCTAAAAATGAAAGAAGAGAAGTTGTTGATGTTATTCGGATTTCAAGGTTTCGAGGACTTGCTTCACAAGGAAGTGAAAGGCGCAGAACAGAAACATCATGCACTAGTTTATATATTGCTTTCACTTGGTCCGTATATCAAACAGAGTTGTCGGTGTCTGTTCCTTTTGTGTCGTTTTGTACAAAAGCAACTTAACGAAAGTGATGGAGTTAGAAATCTTGGGTTAAGACTCCTGGTAGAAGTTATATTTCCCGCAATGAGCTGTATAAAGGGGAATCCTGCGCTTTCTATTGAATTGTGGAGAACGATGTGTCTTCTTCGCTTTGATGAACGTTACCAAATTTATTATTTGGTAAAGCATTCTATAAGACAGGAGTACAGTCTTGTAAGAAGATCGAATTCCTGGACAAGTTTTGAGACGAGAAGGGTTTTGCGACGTCTTGCGAAAGAAAATGTCAAACAATTTGGGCGTTGGTTAGGGAAGATTTGCAATGGTATGATATATTCGTTGCGACAGTATACTTTTTACTAAAGTACACAAAAGGAAATCCACTTATCGCTGCGGAATGTATACTGGAACAAGTTCAAAGCTATGAAAACTTGATTCCCGTCTTAATTGATGCATTGAAGTATATGACACCGTTGACTTTTGATATTATCATGTATAGCTGTCTTGAGCAGTTAGATACTTGTAACAAGGACAAAATCAAGTCTGACGGAATGAATCTCTCTCAGTGGTATGTAAGGATGAATATGATTTGATTTGACTAATATTTTTACAAGGTATTATGGTCTTTGTATTTTTATTTCTGGTCTTATAAGAAAGTACTTTGCATTCGTTGATTGCCGAGGTCTATTTCATTTTATCTTTAATAAATTGGAGGAAGGAGATTCTGTGTATGTGTTTCTCCTTTTGGAAATCCTGAGTAGAGTGAGCGGAGGTGGAAATACGGAGCATTTGAGTGATTCCCAAATGTCTTCGTTAGGCGGAGGTCCTTTATTACGTGAAATTGTAGCGTCTGCTTTGTCTTCCTCTTTGCCAGAGACGAAGAAAGTATCACGCAAAGCTGCAGAGATGATAAAAAATTTAGTCAATTCAGAAGGACTTGTTGCCGATTTGGCTATTTTGGTAGCTCAACAGAAAGAATCTATATTATTCGATTCAGTCCATCGAGAAATTCCTCTGAGAATGATTTGCAATATCTTTGATAAGTGTCAAGAAACTCTAATCCTTTATACGGACCTGATTTTGGGAGAAGACAAGTGTTCTCACATAGGTGGTGATAGTGACGATGTCGAAAGTCGCTCTGAATCCCACACAAACGGAAAGCCAGATACGTTGAATTTTCCATCCTTTCAGTCTCTTGTAGTGGATTACCATATACCTTATGTTTCTGCGTTTCTTTTTATGCGTCCGTATCTTGTATTTGAAAACATCTTTAATATGTCACCAGATACTTCTAATTTATCAAGGGAACCGTTCCATATCAGCTGCCTAACAAAAGTATTTCCAGACAGTATGTGGGAGGTAAGTCGAAAATATATAAGGGGCCGTAGAAATCTTGAAATTCTTTTTAGTCGATAAGTCCCGAACTCTTTGTTGCATTTTGGACACTTAAACTTTATGACATTCATGTTCCAAAAGATTCCTATTTGATGGAGTTACAAAGACTACGTTCTATGGTGTATGATGATCAAGTTACTGAGAATGACATACACTCCTTGGTTCGTAATGTCAAGGAAAGTCGAAGACATCGACAAGCTGGCAGAAAGTTAGAAGAGACTCTTTCCCTTTTGGAGGAAGAAATGCGGGTTCATGAGAGCCACTATCAGCGGATACAAAGTTTGTTATGTGAAAGGAAATCCTTTTTTTTCACACAAATCTCAAATGCAAAAAACTGGTCTATCGTCTTTTTACAAATTTGTTTGATACCTCGCTGCATCTCAAGCTTCAGTGATGCAGCTTTTTGCTCAAAGTTTCTTGAGGTTCTTTTGGATTTAGATCCTCCTGGTCTACGGATTCTTCCACTTTTTCATTATCTGCTATTAAATATTGGTGAGATATCACAATGTTTAACCGAGGTAAGGGAGCCTGTTTTATTCAATTTGAGTATGGAGTTGATCATATGAAGGCTGAAGCCACGAGGTTTGGCAATTTTGTCGCGGAAGTTTTGAAAATACTGAATGAATGGTGGATGAATGAAAACAAGTATAATGCAGAGTGCCATAAACGGTTAGCATTTTCCTTAGAGGTAAATGAAGAACAGGGTAGTGGTATTAAGTATTCGGAGTTTGCAACTTGGAATCGGGAGGTCCATTCAGTTATGACCAAGGTGAGTCGAAAGACTTGTTCCGTAGCTGCTTAACATACTTTATATTAGAGCATGTTGTCCAATTTAGACAGCGACAACTATTTGGACATTCGCAATTCTATTGAAATCCTATCTCGTGTGATAAAATACTTTCCCCGGATAGAAAGTCATGGACTTCTGATTCAGAGAAAGCTTCAAGAAGTTATTGAGAATAAGAATGAAACTTTTAGGGTTGTAGCCTCCCGATATTTGTCCTTGCTACAGAATGAACGAGGGAATTGGATATCACATGCCGAAGTAGATCCTATCGACTCCGTGAAATTGAAGGGCGACTTGTTAGATACCAATTTCCTACATAGTTTTCGACATTTGTACAATTCTGAAGTCTCAACAATGTTTTCGCAAAAGTCAGAGCCAACTCAAATGACTCCAGAAGAGATGGAAGAAATGCACATAGATGAACAAATTGAGAAACAGAACACTCAGATTACTGTTGAGCAAGACTCCTCTTCCGCTATGCCTGAGCAATCTGTGTATGATGAAGAATTGCAGGTTGCTTCTACGCATCTTGAAGATCCGAAGACAATGAGTATTCTTGAAGTGAACGAAAAAATGGATTCATCTCATATAACGGATCCAACCCATGCTGAATTAGCACGTATCCAGGCAGCAGTTGCAGAGAAACGACAGCTTTTGCAAAGAGAACGAGAAAAGAGAAACCGTTTACCAGAACAAAATGCGAAGGAAGAACTGTCTTTGAAGAACGCTACAAAAGAAACTCCTGAACCTGGTGAAATAACAAAGGGCAGTAGTCGTTCAGTTTACAAGAAAGAACCATCTTCAAGTAGAGACAGTAGTGACGACCTGGAAGCTCGCAAAAGAAGACGTGGCCTTGTCGAGGAGGAAGGAGCTAATGCCTCAGATACAAATAGACGTAACAAAAGAGAACGAACAGATGCAGTTACGTCTTCTAGAAACGATATTATGAATGCCTCTCGTGCAAAAGATACCTTGAGCTCCAGCCGTTCTTATTCTCCAGGTTCCCGTACCTATTCCGGTGCTATTGGAGATTCCAACCGGAACAGAAATTCAAGATCTTCATACGTTAGCCAAGAACGCGTGTTTCGAGAGGGTGAGAGTTCAAACAGAGTTCGTCGTCCATCTGTTTCGGAACAACGAGAAAAGAAAGCTGAGGATCCTGACAATAGAGAAGCATACAGTTCCACCCGTATGAGTAGTCGCTCACGCAAGAGTAGAAAATAAGTATTTCTAGTAATTTGACATTGCATTTTTTTCTGGAATGCTGATAGTGATTATTGCAGTTACGTTGAAACTCACTGGATGGACGATGGATGGATGCTACTTCTGAGATCTCGTAGCATCACAGTTTCAAAAAGATCTTTGAGTTTCCTGTCTTTAAAGAGAGAAAACTATGGGCAAGAACGATTGCAATAAATGTTGCGCATATTTCCAAGGCAATGAACTTCTTTACACATAGGTTAGGCAGATTGCTCAACCTCGACGAATGAATATTTTACTCTATGCTGAAAAAATCTTCAAGTATACAACCGTCCACATAGTATTGAAATTAACACAAAGGTATCCCACGATAATTATTTGATGGATATGCATTTCAAGAGTGCTAAAGAGCGTCTCTTAGAACATTCTCGTGCGTAAGTATAAAGTTGACTCCACAACAGTTATCTCACTTTCCACATCGTCAATTGGATGTATATTCAAAAATCCAAAGAAATATCTTTATTAAAAATAAACAATTAGATATCTTTGTGCTCAGTCTCCTTTCTCAAGAACACTGCGCCTCCGGTCACATCCGTTGTTTGTGGAACGACCCCAGCACTGTCCTGTTCGAACTCTTGAAATGCAACTGAGTCAAGATTTCGTACCGTTGGAACTGCTACATTTGATAAAAGAGGAACGCATGTTGAACCTGGCGTATATGAACCATCACCCAAAAAATTGTCCATACCAGGAAACCAACTAGGTTTCGCATCATCTTGATGACTTCCATTAAGCTCTGGCAAACTCTTAGGCGGACCACTCTCTATCTGTGAAACTCCAATTCGTCCCACATTTACATTTGGAATAATCGGTGGAAGTTTTGGAGTTTTCGATGCAGGTGGAACCGCAAAAAGTCGGTCTTGACTTTCCTGGAATGCGACGGAGTTGAGTGGCAGAAAAGGTAGTGAAACAGGTGGCACATGCAACATTGTACAGTTGCCAAACTGCTGATGTTGTTGTTGAACGTTGATATCCCCATTTAAAGGTATAAAATTTGTCCTTCCATCTGCAAATTCACCAGAAAATTTTTGTAAAGGCAAATGGTCGAGAACAGGAAAGCTCACGTTAGCTGTTTGACTAGAAAACTGTCCCTGTTGGATTCGACTCATCTCCTGTATAGTATTCTTCAATGACATATTTTCGACCTGCAACTCTTTTACAATTTCTAGGGCTCTCGTCAATATTTCTGCTTTCTTTCTTGGATGACTTCCATCAGCTCTCGGAGGAAGTGCTTCGTTCAGTCTCTGAAACATCTGGTTGATTTTCTCTCTGCAACGTTGTGTGTGTGCGTTATGATTCTCACGTTGTAGGGATCTTCTTCTTTGCACAACAGACGTCTTATCGGGCAAGTCCAACGACTGACCATCCTGAGAATCCGAAATAATACCTTCACCTCGCCCAGGAGAGCTTAAAGAATGGAAGAGTGTTTTCACGTATTTTGAAGAAACTTTGTCGTTCTCCTCTTCCGTAGGTATCCTTTCTAGGGATGCACCTGGATATGCTTGCTCTACCTTAGCCTTATCACCCCCGGAGACCTGCATACTTGTGACCAAAAGGCTTTCTTCTTCGGATACAAGCCTAGGCTGATCTGTTTCTCTATTGTCTTTACCGTTGACTGGATCCGCTGAACCACTATGATATTCCCTTTGTTCAACCGTGGTCGGATAACGGTGGTCTGAAACATGAGGCTGCATAGTTGCACCGATACCAAAGAGCTATCGGGGAGGCAATACGCTATCTTTTGATTTAAAATCCTGTAGGCCTAGAATAGTTTGAAGATAGTAGTCGCCACACCGCAACTATGAACTACTTTCAAAAGCTTTCAATACCATGAAAGCCAGATTTTAAGGCTTTGGGGAGGAGGTTACGAACTATTGTAAGCTATTCTTGTGTGTAAGTCTGAAACGATTCCCACAGGAGGTATGTAACTTGTAAGGCAACGACCGGTTGCTCAGGCAAAAGTAGTATCTGGCCAGGAGAAATCGAGAGGAATTGAAAAACAGTTGCAAGGGGATCGATGTTCCGTGGTTAGGACTTTAGGACTCGTCCTCAATTAGGAGTCCAATGGTCATGTCGACGGGAAAGGGGAAGGGGGGATTCACAAATCAGTGAAGAATCTTTCAAGGGGGGAATGAATGTCAATTTGAAACAAAGTTGCAAGAAAGAGAGCAAGTAGTGAAATAAATGTTCACTCTTTCAGGATAGAATGGAAGGCCCTATTCTGATACTGAAACTTTAACAAATTGTAAAGGTGCTTGCTTTTCAATTACTATTACTTTAAGGCCCAAATTCAAGAAACTCTTCTGTCCGTAGTACATGAAGACCAATATGTGTTTCTGAAAGAAAGCTTTTTAAGTAACTCAGAATTGGTATCTTAAATGGTCAATTACGATATAGAATAGATTCTGGTCAGTAATTGCGGTTTTCTTTTGCCCTTCATGATAAGAAATAAGCTCTTCAGTCAAATCAAACAAGCCGTACATTCAAGATCAACTAAAAATGAATGTTTCCTCAAATTCCGTCTACTGACTCAGTAGCTTTCTTTTGTACTAACCTTATATAGTCCATTGAGCAAAATTGCTAGTACAAAGAGACCAGTCACATATAAATAATAGGAACTCGAGCAACCTTTAATAAAGGAGTTATGAATGTTGTTTCAAAGTCTAGGTCCATCAGTAGATAGTATATCGAGGCTTGAAAGGCAGTTTCCTCGCGTCCCTTAATAGGCTGAGCATATGAGAACTTTTGTTCGAAATGGCTTCATATGGGTCTCGCAAATTAATGTTTTTGAGCTCGCTTTCCTTCAATCCAATGTAAGCGAATCTGTTTATAGTCAATATATCTTCATCGAGATATCATAACGATACCGTAAATGCGGCTGTTACTCTGAGACTAGCTGGAAAGCTTCTATTGTAGGATGCAGAACACAGGTACAAATGTTAAAGTGATGAAAAGTAGGTAAACTATCAGATGTTTAGCTGAATTTTCTAGAGCAGACAGACAGTAACGTAAAAGTTTCCACCTCGTCATGGGAGGTCAGACCTAATCTTTGACGAGGATGATATGTTCAAAGTTATCTTAAGACGAAGTACTAGTGACTGTTGCAGTGAACGCCAGGGAATGAAGTTGGACGTAAGAGGTTCTATTTGTTTACTCCTGATGAAACATCCTAGATAGTATTGAGCTACTTAAATGAGAACAATAAATGTTATCAAGAAGCTAATACTATAGAATAAGCTACCTGGCTATGCCAAGTTATTGTATGAAAATAAAGAGGGAAATTAATTATCATTTCTGCTATTGAACAGTCCAGCTAGAGTACAAAAGAATATCTTTTGTTTCAGTTGTGTGCAGATTTTTATTTGTGTAGCTTATCCGTACTAGTGGTTTCAACATGCAAAGCTTTTTCATACTCAACACCAAATCAATAATTCCCAGTCTCATGCACGGAGTCAGAAGTTATGCAGAACCCCCAGAGGAAGATAGCGCCAGGTTTATAAGTTTAGCAAAAGAGGCCTTGGAAACGTGTAAACAGAGAGATTTCTCTTCTCAGGTGGATATTCATTTGAAAACCAAAGTTTCTTATTTATTTTTTTCAAGGCTTTGTCTCTTGTCAATCGAGTTCTCGAGTTGAATCCCGACGAGTACAGCCTGTGGAATTACCACAAGAGATTTGTTCTCAATGAGATAGAGAAAATAATGAATTATGAACCTGCCTCGTTTCAGGAAGCTGCTGAGCAACTGTTTGATTCAGAATTTGAGTTGACACAGCGAGCTTTATACAGACATCCTAAAGCTTATTCGGCTTGGCAGCATCGTATTTTTCTTCTGAAAACTGCTAAATATCATCTTCCCTCTAAAATATATGAGGGGTATTTCAAAAAGGAACTTGAAATTTGCGCCAAGTTACTTGACTTGGATGATCGAAACTTCCACGGATGGGCCCATAGAATGCGAGTTGGAGACATAAGAGGCTTACAACCTTCCAGAGAAGAACTTCAATTTGTAACGGAACGTATTTATGGCAATTTCTCCAACTACTCTGCATGGCATCACAGAAGTCGAATTCTTCCAATTTTGTTTAAGGATCAACGAGATCAATACTATCTGGCAGTTCAGGAGGATCTTGAATTAGTGAAGCAAGCAATTTTTACGGAGCCAGAAGACCAAAGTGCTTGGTTCTATTTCCGTTGGTTATTAAGAGGAGCGCCAAGCTATCAAACGACTGTTAGTGTTTTAGATATAGATAACGAAATTTTAAAAAAGGAGTTGTGCATTTTGGAAGAACTTCTTACACTGGAACCGAAATGCAAATGGGCGTTATTAACGAAGGTGAGTTATTGCTTTTTCTCAATCAAGAAAATATAAGTTGTCCAGTTTTACCTTTTACAGATTTTTGGTGACTTTGATAACGCAGAGACGGTTTTGACAACATTGCAGAAATTGGTTGGTTAAATAATTTTTTCGTTATTGTTCTAGTTACTTTTGTAGGATCCTTTAAGGAATGGTTATTATATGTACCTGAAAGAGAAAATGAGACGATCAAGTTGAAAGAGCCATCGACAATTTTTTTAACAAAATTTTTTTCAATTATCATTATTGTATTCAAGTTATATTAGTAAAGTTGACTGTCTCCTTTGAGTTTCCTATAGTGGATGCTGTACCGGAGGCGAATGCCGTTAGTGATGAAAATTTTCTGTATAATTCAATCTGCAGTCATTCGAAGTGTCAACATTCAGAGTTGGTAAGGCTTCTCTGCATTCACATTGATATATATATATATATATATATATATATATATATCTATTTGCCAACGCAAACAAAAAGAATTGCCTTTTCAAACATCTTATATATTAACTCTGTTCCGACGCGCTGAATTAAATAAACCGTTAAAAGGGACTCGGGGACTTGTCAAAAAGGCCTGCACTCAGTACTCGATGGTGAGTAAAGAATTTATTTCAAGGAAGGATTCCAGACCTTTCGCTGCAACCGAACCTTATGCTATTCTATTCTCTACTGGCCTTGAGAGAAATGCTCTTGAACAGTAAATATTCGCGTATAAAAATAAAGTCGAGTATATTTTTTGAACAAGGTAAATCGTCTTCTTCAGTTTCAGGTTCAAGTTAGGGTTAAACCACATTATTTGTAATCTTCTACTGTGCAACTACATTTCTTTCACATAAGCTTCAGTTATACAAATATCAACGCAGAAGTTTCGAAGAAAACCCAATAAAGTTCTCCAGAAAAACTACTTCTATACTTCAAAGATGCGGATGGCAGTTTTGTACCGTTTCACACTCCAATTTAACCACAAGTGTGAATTCCGAGTTGAAATGATCGTTGCCGCGTTATCTCCAGATCTATGAACAAGTCAGAACACGAAAGTATTCAAGACTTTTTTCAAGAAGATGAAAAAAGAAAAAATGAAGATTCTACAGAAATTTTCCAAAGTAAAGGTAATCCCATTCTATCAGAAAGTTTCGTTCAGGACTGTAGCGATGAGGGTTTTGCCTTGGCAAGGGAACTATCAAAGTGGACTACGGAGAGAAATACTTTTGTGTTCGATGAAAAAGATGAGAATGCCACTTGCTGGATTAATATCCAATCTGAGGTTTCAAAGGAGCCAAACAACAACATTCTGTCGTCTTCGGCCTCAGGGTCAGCTTATCCCTCAACAGTTGTCAACCCGTCTTCAGTAATCAACTCTTTCTTTTCTACGCATTCAAACGTCGCTCAATCAAAATTTCCAGACTCGTTGTACAAACCAGTGGAACCGGAGAACTCTTTTTATGAAACGGGAAACAGAGGACAGCAAAGAGAAAAGAATTGTCCTCTGTGGAAAGACGGATTAACAGCTAAGGAAATTATGAAAGAAGATTGCAACGGTTTGGTCAACTGCAGCTCGTATTTAGGTATTGATAAGAGCTTTACGGAAGAACTGAAGAACTCTAATGTCGAAGCTACCCAGGAAAGAGCTCTATCAATGAATAGTGTGACCAGGATCGAGAAACACTCAACATTTTCAACAAGTAACAAATTTTCTCAATCATCAGAAGAACACTTTAATAGAGTCATTATTTGGTATCCTAATTTAGAAGGGAGCTGGTCACTTGGTTTTCTGACTTCAACTGGAGAAGTATTAGACCTCAAGGGCAACACAGTATCTTCGTCAACCACTGCAAGAAGTGAAGGATTCAATGACACCAAGCGATATCACTTATTTCATGAAGATGATTTGGAAGACTTTGATGATGCTGTTGAACTTCGAAGCCTGCATGAAGCTCCCATTCTTGACTTACTTCGTCGTAGATATACTTCTGAAAAGATTTATACCTGCGTTGGAGGAGAGGCGTTGCTTGTCTCTATTAACCCTTATTGTCCAATTCCTGGCTTGTTCAACGAATCCACAATGGAAAGAATTTTTTCCAACCAATTGCTTGGTTGCAGCTTCCAACCTCATATATTTTCTATGGCAGATGCTGCATATAGGAATATGCTAAAGTCTAAAACTCCACAGAGTCTAATTATATCTGGAGAGAGCGGTGCAGGAAAAACTGAAGCTTGTAAATTTATTCTGAAGTATCTCGTCTTTCTTAACGATCGAGAGCGCAGTTATTCTAGTACTTGTTCTATGTGCAAACTGTATGGACTGGATTCTTCAAATAACAGTGCCGATGATTTTTCTAACGTTTTAGTCAGATCAAGAATTATATCTGAAAAGCTTTTGCATGCGAATCCTGTGTTGGAAGCATTCGGGAATGCGAGGACAAGTTTAAACTCTAATTCTTCAAGATTCGGGAAACTTATACAGATATTTTACTGTTTAGAAACTGGTCATATTCTTAGTGCTCGTGTTCGACAGTTTTTATTCGAAAAATCTCGAGTATCTTGCGCATCGCATCGTTTTGGAGAAAGAAACTATCATATATTCTATCAAATGATTGCTGGAGCTTCTCCAAACGAGAGACAGTCGTGGCTTCTTGCAGATTCTGTAACTTGCTACAGATATTTACATGGAACAGCTGCAAGTTCGTTGAATAGAAAAGAAGATTCACTAGACTTTGAACGGACTAAAACTTCTATGTTGTCACTTGGCCTTAGGCAAGAAGAAATGGAACGAATATTTTCTATCTTGTCAGGAATTTTGGCTCTTGGAAACGTTGATTTTATTTGCGACGAAAGCGAGACATGTCTTCTAAGGAATCCTTCAGTTCTTGAGACAGTTTGCAAATTATTGATGTTGGATGCGACAGAATTGAGTCATGCTCTCACTACAACCGCAGTGATTGTGAGAGGTGAGAGATTCGAAAGACGACGCTCAGTTGATCAAGCAACGCATGCCAGAGATGCTTTGGCAAAGCATATTTACGAAATGGTTTTTGAATATCTCGTTTGTCGTCTTAATCAACTTTTGGATCCTTCTACTTATTTGCCTCAGCAAGAGGGTACTTTGAAGCTTCCTATAGACTCGTTGGTTCATGATCAGCTGAGGAACTCTGAGCTTTCTGTCTTGGAAGACTCAACACATATCTCTTTTCTTGCCATACTTGATCAGTCTGGATTTGAAGTGACTTGTGATAATTCATTGGAACAGTTGTTAATTAACTACTCAAATGAGAAGCTACAGCAGCAATTCAACGATCGAATCTCTCAGTGCGAACGGCAGATTTACGATGAAGAAGATGTCCCCTTTAACATGCACGATATGAGCAATGACGACTGTCAAAATCGTCTTGATGCGTTGGAAAGAAGACCTTTAGGTTTGTTGCACTTGTTAGATGAAGAATGTTTGGCTCCCAGAGGGACGGATGATAGATTCCTTCAAAAACTTTATGATACTTTGCAGAGCTCTTCAGAGGAATATAAAAGTTTCATACGAATATCGGAACTCGGTAGAAGTCGAGGAGAGTTTTTGTTTCGACATTTTGCTGGTGATGTTGTGTACCATACTCGAGACATTGTTCTGAAGAATAGGGATCATTTACATGGTGACTTAGTTCAAGTTTTGAAGAATTCCTCCAATCCAATATTCTTGGCGAATAGTTGGATGTTTGAGGAATCAGACAACTTTAGCACTGTTCGCCAAACAGCATCTTCGTCATTTTTCGAGAGCTCTTTTGACATGTCTCGGAATGGTCCTTTTGAAACCTCCTCTTTTGGTTCCTCTCCGCTTACTTCGACAGTTCTTTCTCAGTTTCGACCACAACTTGCAATTCTTATGGAAATTCTCAGTTCGACAAGTCCTCGTTATGTTCGTTGTCTTAAACCTAACAGTAGAATGAGGCCTCGTGAGTTTATTGGAAAAGATGTGTTGAGACAACTGGAATGCTCGGGGGTCTTTGAATACGTTCGTCTAAGAAGAATTGGCCTTCCAGTGAGAGTTCCTCACGACGACTTTTTTTACCGTTTCAAGAATATTTTATATGGCATTGATATAGGAACACAAAATGTAACTTTGGAGTTTCTCCTTGAAAGAATAGTTGCAAGAGCTGATACTATCTTTGACAAACGTTATGCAATTGGTAGAAGCAAAGTTTTTGTTTCTGATGAATTGTACAAATATTTGGAACATATGAGGTTTGGAACGTTCACTACAGCAGCTATCAGAATTCAAAAGCAATGGAAAATGTGCTTGTTACGTCGAGAATTCCTAATATTGCGTCATCGAGTGATTTTTGCTCAAAGTCTTATTCGTTGTCGCGGTCCAAGAAATACTTTTCTTCGAGTCAAATGTTCTTGTAAAAGAATCGAGGCAGTTTACTTAATGTGGCAAACGAAAATTGAATATGAACGGTTACGAAACGCAACTCTCGTTTTCCAAAAGCTCACGAGAAGGTGGATTGCATGTAATTTGGAACGCTTAAAAGTTATTCGAGCGGCTACCGTGATTCAAAGACATTTTAGATCTTATTGGATACAACGGAGACATCGTGCATGTGTCCGCATCCAACGTCTTTGGCGGTCTTATTTAGCGCTACGATATTATTTGAAGTTGAAGAGAAGTGCAATAAAAATTGAGGCGTTTTGGAGATGTCATTTGCAGAGGAAACAGTTTCTTATACTTTGCAAAACCGCCGTATTATTGCAAACTTTGTGGAGAATGACTTGTAAGAGAAAAACATTCCTTCAGATGCATAGAAGTGTTTTGTACGTTCAAAGTCAAAGAAGGATGGTAGTGTCTCGGGTATATTTTTTAAGCTTGCTAAGAGCTGCTTGCGAAATTCAGTCATTTTTTCGCAGATATCTTGCACGGAAACAATTTACTAAAATTTGTGAAGCAACTCGTCTTATTCAGCGAAGATTCCGAAGATACATGGCAGCTCAACGGATTCTTGCAAACATTCGTGGCTATTTAGAACGAAAGCATTATCTGACAAAAATTCACTCCATTCTGACCATGCAAAGATTGGTTCGTCGATGGTTCGCTCGTAAATTTTTTTCATATTTGTATGATATTTCACTACATCAGTTTTCAGCTGCTCCTGTGTCTTCTCATGTTCTTGTTGTAGGTGCACAAGGTGTTGGAAAAAGCTCCTTGATCAACCTCATGTTCGGTAGAAAGGTAGTGCCAGTCATTGGAGTTGATTTTCAATGTGATTCACTAGAAACAAGTGTGATTTCAGATGCCATTGAAGTTTCTGGTCCCAAGTTAGTTACGGATTTGTCATCATCAACAGGAGTAAGAGTAGATCAGGTGCGAGAGCTTTCTAATGTCCATGTTCGAGCGATTTCACTTCCAGGGCTTACTCTACTTGATACTGTTGGACTTTATGATATTTTTTCTGCCCAGGCTTTGGTCAGTCATCTCCGAGAATTACCACCAATTAATATAACTTCTGTTATTTTTGTGGACCGTTTTGATTCGTATCGTATACCGGAAGAGTCTTTGCGAGCCTTAGCTATCGCATTTGGTCCTCAAATATTTGAAAGAACTATATTTTCGTTTACGCATGCTGATGCTCCGCTTAAGAAGAATGTCAAGCCTGAACACGTGTTACAAGTGAAGATAGCAGCACTCTCAAATGTGGTTCAAAGAATTACAACTGAGTTGCTGGACGGCTGTTCCTTGGACTCGATACTTTCAGAAGTGAATAATGACGGGATTCCTGTTTGTTTGTTTGACACGTCAGAATTCACATTTGACTGGAGAGTCGACAATCCCTTGAATTTTGCGTCTTTGAGACGACTCGTTTCGGAACTCTTGAGACAAAGTAGGCTGTGTTATGTTTGGTCCAATGTTTCCTATCGTTCAGAGAATTTGAGTCATTCTCTAATGAAAAAACGAAGTGGGAACTATTATTCGTACTTTCACACACTTGGAGTAAGTCCAAGTGCTACTTTTGAAGAAATCCGTCGTACATATAGAAGACTTGTCTTGAAATATCATCCTGATAGAAATAGAGGTATGGGAACCGAAAATGTTGCTCAATTTCGGAGGATTGTACAAGCATACCAAGCCCTGAATGAATATTACAAAGGCCCTGACGAGAATGTTTCAGATGTTTGGTGGAATGAAGAGATGCTGCTTTCGTTTTGTTTTGAAGTTAGTCTTCAGACGAGTCATGGAAAATATTTTCATTGTTCGGAGGATGATCCTCTCCTTACTTGTCAAAAGCTAAGTGAAGTTGACTTTTGGTCAGGAAAGGTAACCGATGATTCTCGTTTCATTATTTGGTTCGTTCCATGCTCAAAACTTGGGAAGTTTGCAATATCTACACTGAATGGAAGGTTTCTCACGTTAGATAGAAATCATCACTTGGTTCTTCAACGTCCTCCAGCATATGTATTTCGTGATGGTTGTCTCAATGAAGAAGTGTTTGAAATGCCAGCTTTTCTATTTTCTCTGAAATTTTTTCCTGGTAAAGGCTTTGTTACTATAAAGGCACCAAACGGGCGTTTTGTATCAGCTACAAAGAAAGATAATCTTCTGATAGCAGATCGTACAAAAGCAAAGGGATGGGAGATCTTTTCTTGGCGTCTGAATCCTTCTTTTCGTCATCCTTGTTATACATTTGATGACATCGTTCACAATCAGTTTGTTGCCATTGTTCATTCAAACAATGGTTTATTTTGGGAAAGCGATACAAAGCTAAAGAGAATCAGAACCAGAGGACAACAGATGGAAACTGCAGAGCGCATTCTTTTCGAATTTTGTGGCTTTAAAGCAAGTAGCGAGAGTAACGCCCGGTTTCCGGAATACCGCCTTCGTTGTGGAGATGGGAGAGTAATATGTGCTGGTAAGGATGGTAGAGTAATCACCGTTCAGACGTGGGAAAGAAGCCAAGAATCATTACTACTGCAAAGAGGCCGTCTTGTATCTCGTTTCTCTTTACAGTTCAAGGACAGAGGACGAGTTGTCTTTTCTTACTCATCAAATTATGAAGATATGTTTTTGTGTTGTGATGAACGGAGAGGCATTCTCTCTTCAAGGCTGACGAAGGACGAGACTCTTGTGACATTTGTTCTCTCATTTCTGTTCGAAGACTACGAAACCATAAGAAGAATTGATTATTTGGCAAAGGACACAAGTATCTCAGAAACAGAATCGATGGTTTCGGAAAATTCTTAGAATAATTTGCGTCACTTCGCTTGATAACAAATTTAATCCTTTAGAGTTTAAGGTATATGGTCTTTTATGTGCATTTTTCAAGGTGTCGTTATTTATGAAAGTTTCAAAAATGAATCCTAACGATTCTTTGTTATCCATTTTCTCCATCACTTATGTCGCTTTTCGTAGCGCTGCTATCTTTGAGGATAAAATCGTACTCACACTCAGAATCATCGAAATCTTCTTCTGGCACTTTATCCGTACCGTCGTCTGTAGAGGCAAAAATATTTTTCCTGACCAAATCAGAAGTAAAAACGGGTTGAGTTGAGTCGGCAGGAGGATTTGAAGCTGTTGACCGTGTGGTCTGCGTGGACTGTTCTAAAACCACAGATTCAGCATCGATTTTCCCACTAGGTATATCTTTCAAGACTCCTGAAGAATTATTTTGCAGCGCTTCCAACTTCTACAACTTATCAGAACAAAAGTACATACAGTGAATTGTGAAGAAACAACCTTGTTTAGCAAGTCTCGAGTATGTGATATTTCCTTGCAGCGCAACTCTAGTTCTTCTTTCTCCTTTCTAACAGACAGAATACTGTTCTGCAACTTGAGAACTTCTTCTTGAAGAGACTTCATCTTCTGACGTTGATTCCACGTTTCTTTGTCTAAACTGGCAGAAATCTGTCTCCGGTTTGTCTCCAGCTTCTCATATTCATCAACTATTGCCTTTGCCTGTTTTCTCGCTGCAATGTATTGCCTTTGTTTGTTACGAAGCAGGAAATATAACAGAACAGCTGCCAAACAAGCAAAGACAGTAATAAGAATATGTGAGAGGACCAGAGTTATCAGCAACCAAAGAGGCATAAAAGTCGAAAAGGAATTTTATAAAAAAAATCATTCAGAAGAGGGGCTTCAAATCTTACATGGAAACTTGTGCTTTCCATCATTGAATATATAATAAATACAATATTTAATCAATTCATCATTGAATATATAAGAAATACAATATTTAATCAATTTTAATGACTCCGAGAAAAATTGAAAAGACATGGAACTCTTAAAATACAGAAATTTATTCTCACTTCATCACAGTCGCATTTCCAATTTCGTCTAAGGAGGATGCCATCCATTTTCTGTTGATTCGACGCAACAAACCTGCCAAGGTCTTCCCTGGAGCCAGCTCTAGCCAATTTTGCTCTTCTGAAAAATTAGTTTCTATATATTTCATGCAGTCAGCCCATCTCACTGGTGATGTAAGTTGTTCTGTTAAACGATGACGAATACTATTCGGAGACTCATTATGAGGACGACCTGTGACATTACACAAAACTGGATAGTTTGGAGACTGAATATCAACTTGTTCCAATGCCTTGGACAATGTATCACTCGCAGACTCCATTAAAGGAGAGTGGAACGCCCCTGCAACTGATAAAGGAGTCGCCTTCAACTGCATTTTACTAGTTGCGTATTCAATAGCTCTTTGACAAGCTTCTAAGTGTCCGCTAAGAACTACCTGACCAGGCGAGTTGAAGTTGGCAGGAATAAGAACTTGTCCTTGTCGTACTGCCGAACAACACTCCCAAGCTTGTTGCTCACTGCAACCCATCAAAGCTACCATTCCACCTTTTGTGCGTTCTGAAGCTTCTTGCATGGCCTTACCACGAATTTGCACCAGACGTAACGCATCTTGCCACAACAAAGCTCCTCCAAGAACAAGGGCAGTGTATTCTCCTAAACTTAATCCTGCCAAAGCAGAAAAGGATATAGCTTCTTTAGAAACCAATTTGACTTCTTGAGAAGATATCCAACTTATATAAGAAACGAGAAAGATGGCAGGTTGAGCAACATCAGTGCGATCCAGAGTTTCTTTAGGACCGTCACAACAGATCTCCGAAATTGACTGTGGAAAACAACTGGATAACAAGTCGTCGGCTTCTTCAAATAATTCTTTGGCAGATAAGCTTTTTTCGATCCAAAGTTTGCCCATCCCTGCATACTGTGCCCCTTGTCCTGGACATAAGACGACGGTTGGCCGAGCAGAAGCCTGGACGTTACTGAGCCTTCTTTCTACTTTCTTAAAACCATAATATTCGGTCCTTCTTCGCGCAAGCTTAGTAATTTGCTGCTTTAAGAATCTAAACTGGTAAAGTTTTCCGGAACAAGTCTTTGAAACTGAAATAGGTGAAAGAAACGAGAACCGTGGTTTAGTCTTGTTCATGAACGCATGCTTCAATTTATTGGGCCAAAGAAATATATATAAATAATAAATATGGTGTCTTCATCATACGAGTCGCCTTCTCATTTGCAGCTAAGAACAATGTTCCAATCTAAAAAACTTTTAAGAAGGTTTTGCTGCAAAACAGTATGATAAGTAATTTCACAGTCCTGATTGCAAAGCCAAGTTCATCATGTTTATCTTTTGGTTGCGGATTGTTCCGATTTCTTGTTTCCTGTCATGAGCTTATGGAACTATCTATTAAATTCTGAGCACCTCGAGCTTTTAGACGTAAGAGTCTAGTTGAAACAGGCTATCATAAGTTATTAATATTGTTGGGTTTTAGGCTGTGGAAGCTAGAAAGACAGCAGCTCTTGCAGGAGACTCGCACATCGAGTCTTGGAGAATCCGATACCGACTGAAAACGGTTTGCGTAGCGTTGGTTGTTTGTTTGAATGTGGGAGTAGACCCAGTAAGTTGTTTCTTCAGTAAAATTTTGTTTCTCACAGCCCATCTCAGCCGGATGTTGTCAAACCCAAACCCTGTGCAAGGCTCGAGTGTTGGATAGATCCAACCGCCTTACCTTCTCAAAAGGCGATAGAATCAATTGGAAAAGCTTTGCAACTTCAGTATGAACGTTGGCAACCCAGAGCGCGTTACAAGGTTGCTGCAGACCCTACAGTAGAAGAAGTCAAGAAGCTTTGTGTGAGTCTTCGTAGAAGTGCCAAAGAAGAGCGTGTTTTATTTCACTATAACGGTCATGGGGTACCTAGACCAACAGCTAATGGAGAAGTATATAATGTTTGTATTGTAATCTCGAACATGGTTAACTTTCAAATAGATTTGGGTTTTTAATAAGAACTACACACAGTACATTCCCCTGTCGTTGTACGACTTGCAGACTTGGCTCGGAGTTCCGTCTATTTACGTCTTTGATTGTTCTTCAGGAGGTTTGGCTCTTTCGTGCTTTCTACAATTGGCAGAGCATCGGATAAACGAGCAAAAAACAGCACAGATTGAAGGACGTATCCAACAGGAGGACACACAAGCTGCTTATTTTCAAGACCGTAAAATTACTGAACGAGAGTCTCCATCAGCTTCAGATTTCTCTAACCTTACGGAGTCCTCTTCTTTCAAAGATTCTATTCTTCTTGCGGCTTGTCGAGGAGACGAGGTTTTGCCTACCAATCCTAATTATCCAGCGGATATTTTCACGGCTTGTCTTACAACTCCAATTAAGATAGCTCTTCGTTGGTTTCTTAGTCGTACGATGGTCTCGGGTCTCAGTGTTGAAATGTTAGATCACATACCGGGCAAATTGAATGATAGGAAGACTATGCTTGGAGAGTTGAACTGGTGCGTCTAATTTCTTTCCAGTTTTTTTGGAAGATGCTAAATTTGTTGCTTTAAGGATATTCACTGCTATCACAGATACGATAGCATGGAATACATTACCAAGACCACTATTTAAGAGGCTTTTCAGACAAGATTTACTTGTTGCATCCTTATTTCGAAATTATATATTAGCGGAAAGAGTCATGAAGTCTCTCAATTGCACGCCTGTGACGCACCCTGAACTACCACCCATGTATAACCATCCATTGTGGCAGTCATGGGACTACACAGTGGAGTTGTGTTTGGCACAGTTACCCGCAATTTTGTCGAGTGCAGAAGCAGCTGGAATATCAAGAGAGTCTATAGACGGATCTTTAGCGTCAGTTCCCAGCCCAACCGTCTCAGATTCACAGTCAGTGGATAGTGTCAATTTTTCAGAGGATAATAGATCAAGTAGATATATTGACCAGGTCCCTTATGATCCAATCCCATTTTTTGATGATCAGGTATTCTTGATTTGAACTTTGTACAAAATGTTAACTCTGTGCAAGATAACCGCGTTTGAGATTTGGTTAGATATGGCCGATGAGCAGGAAGACGCTCCAGAACAACTTCCCATCGTACTGCAAGTTCTTTTGAGTCAATCTTATCGGTTGCGAGCGTTGCGTTTATTATCTCGTTTCTTTGAGTTGGGAAGCTGGGCAGTTGATCTGGGTCTTTCAGTTGGTATTTTCCCTTATGTGCTGAAATTGCTTCAGAGTCCTTCTAAAGAAATACGAGAGGTAAGATCTGCAGCTCTCAAGTCGGTTAACTCTTATGGACAGACGTGTAGGAACTTGTCTATATTTGGGGCAAGATCGTTTGTCAAGATCACTCTTGTGCAGTAGACTTGGTGAGGGATGGTGGGCATCTGTATTTTGTCGACTTTTTAGAATATGAAGATACTCCTGAAGAATGTAAGACGATGGCACTTTACGTCTTGTCAGTAGTTTCAACTGTCTTGCCTGATAAATTGAAGGAGGTGCGTTGTAAAAAGAAATTCCTTTCAACTTTTTGTAACTTTGATTAAGACGAGGATAATGAACACCCTAATTAGCCAATGCAAAGATATGCATAGTGCAATGGTCAGGAAGTGGGCCTTTTTGTGTTTAGCGAAAATGTTTAAACATGTTCCTTCGGCAATCGACGAAGTTGTGAATCTCGACGAATTGATGCGTTTAATAGTTCTTTCCACGAGACAAGACGAGTCTCCAGAGGTTCGGGCTTCGGTTCTGTATACTTTGGAATTCTTTCCACCAGTGAAGGTTGTTTACTTTCAAAACGAAGCCTTCGATTTACCACCTTCTCTAATGCCTCTTTCTTTTGACGATGCTGTTCTTCCCCTGATTTTATATTTGATTCACGTTTGTTCCCAGGAGGCATCTCCCATTGTCCGTCGAGAAGCTGCTAAACTTGCTGTTAGAACCAAGAAGCATCTAAGAGAACAAAATGTTTCAAGTACAGAGCATGATAATAGAACAGTTCATATTGTCTTAGAATTCCTTTATGAGGTTTTAAAATATCTTTCGACCGATCCTCAGACTGAGATTTCCGCTCTTGTACAAGAAGTATTGAAAGATACAAGTGTTTGTACTAATGACGAACAGACGCAACGTGGAACCTTACAAAAAAGATCAGGAGAACATACAGATGCGACATCGAATGTATCTTCGTTGTCTTCATCACCAGGTTTGTTGTTGTTGCTGCATGAATTACCTATTGTTTGAACATTTATTAGGCTCCTTGGAAGAAGCATTACCTACTCGAAAAGACTCACTTTCAAGAAGCACGAATTCCATGCCTCGGGTAATGTCAATAGAAGGAATTAGTCAACTTTTTCGTGGTTTTACTTCAAAGGGAAAGTTTCAAGAGGCTTCATTAAAGTCAAATAGCTTTCCCCAATATTCACATTCTGTTGGTCGAGAAGCAGTTGTTTCAGATAGACCGTGGCATCTTCCATCCTTATATGACTGGAGTCAAGGAACTATAATGTATCTGCGAGCACCACATTCAGTTGAAACTCCCAATCTCTATCCCAACTCAACTTTTGGAGTCAAAGATATGACAACGTTGAGTAATTGGAGAGCCGTTTCTAGAGTGGATAGTGATAGCATTGCCGACTCCAAAGTGAAGTCTCTTAAAGAAGTTGCCATTTTGGATATGGGAGGTGGCTCCGTGACTTCGCTGGCTTTTGGCACTGGTACAACTTTATTAGTTGGTTCTTCAAAAGGAGAATTAAGTGAATGGGACTATCAAAAAGGTATTCGGAAGCAATCATTCCTGAATAGTGAGGATGCAGTCAGTCATATATTTTATGGAGGAGATATGGAGCTTAAGTATATAGATGACAACTTTAGCATCGTAATAACAGGTTCGAAATATGGGCAAGTGAAAATTTGGCGTTTGTACAAAGACAAGCCTACTGTACGATTAATAAGCAGCTGGCGAAATTTCGACCGTACATATTATGACAGTTCCATTCAGAATAGAAAAAGGCTTGTCATGTCGTGCAACACTTTTACGGCTCGAGTAGCTTCCAATTCTAGTGGCTTCTTAAATATTTGGGATATTCCCTCGGAGCGTCTTTTAAAGAGATATTATTTAGGTGAGAAAACAGAACTATGCAGTGCATCTTGGACTTGTCCTATAGAAATCATGGGACCGCATGTTGTCTTCAGTGGCACTAGTAATGGAAATATTATATTGGCAGATACTCGTTGCTCTGAAGATGAGATTACCACAATTCAGGTTGACGATATACATGGCCATAGGGAGGTGATTTCTGTTGATTCACAAAGGACAGCTGCGTGTGATCGCTTGCTTTCAGCATCAGGCTCGGGACGCATTGCTATCTGGGACCCAAGAAAAATAACGCAGAAAAGAGAAAGTCTTATGTTAGAACTGGAAGCGTATCGGGGTGAATTGAGCACGATGACTGCAAGAAGTAATGCATCCACAATCTTCGCGGGCTCCGGCAAGAACTGTGTAAAAATTTTCGGAAGCCAAGGAAGTATGTTGAGAATGATTCGATATCATGAAGGTTCTATGAGTACACAAATTGGTCCTGTCACTTCCATTGTTTGTCACCCTGAAAGCCCTAAGTTTGCATTCGGTTGTTCAGATTCTGTGGTTTCTGTCTATGATTAGCTTTACTGATTGAACACTAGTAACAAGCACCTTGATCTCGTGTAATTTTAGTACGAGAGACGTTGCTTCTGCTTTCTGAACGTATTGACCATAGAATTATCTATTTCGAGTTCGGCAAAAGAAGCTACAAAATGACAAGAACTTGTCTGGACGATAAGCAATTTTACGCTCTTGACGAATACCCATGAGTCTCGTTTGATTATTAATTACTAGCTTCTAATATTTTCATTACGTTGTACGTTACTTCGTTGGTTTCCACTTAAAACTATGTAGTTTTTCACGAAGGGTCTAAGCAAGAAGCATCTCTTCCTAACGTCGATTTGGTTTCTGAAGTAGTGAAATGAAATTTCTTACTGCACCTTTACAGAGACTACACTGCTCCTGAAGGCAAACTGCACTTGAAATGGTTACAAGCGTCCAATGAGTACTCTAAGAGAATATACAAACTTCAACGAGAATTGTTACGCCATTTGGGCGGCCACCCATCAGAAAAGGTATGGCATTGCTAGTCGTGCTACTGGTGTTTCTCGTAACTGCAATTTATGTGGTTTTTTTCTGTAACTTATGTGATACTAAGAAACCAGACAAATTGAAGGAAAAACGTTTTGAAAATTTCTTGCTGAAGAAAGTCGACTTGTCAGTTCGTACTACAGAAACTCAAGGGAAGAAGAAGACTTTGTCCCCGCTTGAACGCTTGAAGCAAGAAGTATTTCAACACGCCAGTCCTAGTTGCACTGGTACAAAGCGAGTAATCGTAGCATATGGAACAGAGTATGGTTTTAGCAGAGAAGTTGCCAAGAAAATTGCGGAACGACTTTCGCAACATTTTGGAACGGACAGCATCTCAGTCCGGTTGTTGAATTTGCTCCACTGGGAAATAGTTGACTGGAAAAGAGAAGAACTAACACTTGTTGCCTGTTCAACCACTGGGGATGGGGTTCTTCCAAACGAAGCAAAGGACTTTTATGACGGTTTGAAAGAGAAGTTTGAGGAAGGAGAACTTCAAAACTTGAATTTTGCAGTTTTGGCTTTAGGAGACCGTGGTTATCCTCACTTTTGCAGAGCTGGAAAGCTGATCGAAGAAACTTTGAAAAATATTACGGGGAAGGAATCCATCGTTGCTCGAGGAGAAGTGGACCAAGAGGACTGGCCAGTCATTGAAGATTGGATAGATAACGTAATTGGCTGTCTGGACAACAAAGATTTATTAACTGTCACAACGAGTGCTGATTATTTAGAAGAAGCGTTGGACATGAAGTTTGGAACAAATGATGTGAATGGCTATGTGGGTTCAACTTTTCCGGATGCTGGCCATAGCAAGGAGAACCCATTTTTGGCTAAAGTATTAGAAAGAAGATTGCTGACGAAGTATGAGCTTTCAGATGACAAGGAAGTTTTGCACATAGAGCTAGATTTATCCAACTCGGGCATTCAGGTAAGCCAACTCAACTTGAAATGAAGGAAAATTCATTCTCGATAGTATACACCTGGTGATGCATTGGCAGTTCTTCCCACAAATTGTCCGAAGCAAGTGGAAAGACTTCTCGTTGCATTGGGGGCGACGGGAGAAGAAGAGGTATTTACTCGCATAGATAATAGTAGGATCTATTTTAATAGTTGTACAATAGCTTTCAAGTTCCGACAATTCGCCCATATCTCTGAAGAATATTTTGACATACAATTTGGATATAAAAAATGTTAAGCCGGAGCTTTTAATGTTTTTGAGGCAATGTGCATATTCAGACAATGACTTGAAGGTACTGGACGAACTGCTAGATGTTGAAAAAGGTGGTCTAAGCAAGAAAAACGAAGTTCTTCGAGGTAATATCATATATATAGTAGTTTCCGTTTTAACTGTAAATTTGTGTGATAGGTTACCTTGCATCTCGTGAGGTTTATGATGTGCTGGCCGAATTCAGTTCTGCTTCTGTTGATCTTCAAAAGTTTGTACAACACTTAAGACCACTATCGCCGCGTTACTACTCGATTTCATCATCGTCTCTTGTGGATAGTAATCGGGTATCAATCACAGTCGCAGTGGTTCGATACGAACTATTGGGTTTAGATCGAGTTGGCGTAGCGACAACCTATCTGGCAGATAGAGTCGATATAGGAAACCGAATTCCTGTCTTTTTGTCAAAGAATGACAATTTCAGGCTGCCATCAGTATGTTTTGCTTTGTGTCATTTTATTTCACTAATAATCCGAGTTAGAATGGCTCCACTCCTATTATTATGATAGGCCCTGGAACTGGTATTGCTCCATTCCGTGCTTTTTTGTTGGAGCGTGAAAGAATGGGAAGTACGGGTAGAAACGTACTATTTTTTGGCTGTAGGCACAAGGACGGTGATTTTTTGTATGCAAATGAACTTCAAGCTTTTGTGGATCGTGGTTTCCTTGACCTTTTTGTAGCTTTTTCGAGAGATCAACCTAAGAAGATATATGTCCAAGATGTTATGTTAGAACAATCAGCCTTTCTTTGGTCGCTTCTTGAGCAAGGAGCCCATGTGTATGTTTGCGGAGATGGTACAAGAATGGCCAATGACGTTCATGAAGCGTGGCTCCGTATCATTTCGTCTCATAGGCCTGGTTGCTCCAGGGAAGACGCTTTGGAGTTTATGGAAGCTTTGGAGAGGAATTCTCGATATCAGCGTGACGTTTGGATTACATGAGTTATAAGTAAAATATAACACGCCTTAACCCTATGTTGAAGATAGCAGAAGAACTTGTAAAGTTTATTTTCGCAAGTTTTTTGTTGTTTCCGTTTGGATAGAAAAGTATATAAATAATTTCATAATTGTACTTTTTGGTATCATTTATATGGAATTGTTATATTCCTTTATTATTTGTATGGCGAGTATAGCAGCAACTTTGTACTACTCCATGCCGCTTTCAGTTCGTGTATCTATTATGATGTCTTAGGTCGGCCGTAAACTGACAATTTTTCTGTTTCGCTTCACCTTTCAAGCAGGTCTGACTCTGCCTAATATCCTTGAGACGGATACAAATAACCTCTTCCGTCATTTACATTAAACCTGGCGAAAAAGCGAACATCAGAGTTTAGAGGATTTATTTTCATTGCTTTCTTCGCATCTCTAGTTGGTTTCTCTTCTATTTATAAAGTCAGCTCATTTGTTAGGTGAAGAATTTGGCGCGCATGATTTTGAAATTTTGAGGTTCAAATGTCGAATGGAAAGAGTCGTAGGAGACTGTCATTAGACTCTGTTAGGAATCTCACTTCAAGCTATGAGAAGAGAAAAAACCCAAGTGGTTATGAAAGCGACTCTTCATCCCAGACCCCTAAACGATGTAAGCAAGCAGGATATATTCATTCTTCCATTTTTAACATTTCATATAAAGCAAGTATTTTTCAGAAGCTAGTAACTGCACACAAATCTTCTAGAAGAGTTAGCGTTGTAGGAAACGAGGTGACAACTGATATCAAAGAATCAAACCCCTTAGTAGCAAACAAAGGTCTGCGTAGACTTGTTCTTAAAAGTCAACTGAAACAATATAGTAACTAGTAGAAGTACTCACCGTTACACAGAAAAACCAACAAATGGAATGTCTCGTGAAGAGAAGACTTCCATACTTGATTGTATTGAATTTCTTAACGAAGAGCCTCATGCTCTGGAAGTTGAAGGTATCTTTCGAAGTGTATGTTGATGTTAACTCGGATGACCCTTCTCTGACATTAAACAATAGAGCGGTTCCTTTTCACAGATGCAAAAGCTTCGATCACTCCTAAATCAAGGTTACAAAGTACCAAGAAGCTACTCACAGAATTCTGAAGATGCACCAGATCCCCTCACGATGGCTGATCTTTTGAAAGATTTGTTAAGAAATTTGAGGTCGCCTCTTCTCCCAAAAGAAACTGGACAATTACTGCTCTCAACAAAAAAGGTATTTTTACTTGAAAAAGAGAAGCATTAAACCAATACTGTGTAGTCGAATGCGGATCTTAGTCTCCTGCATGTTGTCGATGAATTGAAAGGGGACAATAAGGAAGTCTTTGAGAAACTCATGCAGTTACTTGCCAAGGTAACGCCGAAGAAAACTTTGGTAGCATCTTTTACTTTACTTTGTTGCCCTAGACGTCTTCATTGTCATTATTTAATCATATGAACGGCAAAAATATCGCCACAATTTTTACTCCTACTCTTATTCACTGGGATCCATTACAACCTTCTGCCAGAGCAGAACTACAGGCCGTTACAGAAGCAGTCACATTGATCATTGATGACTACGTTAGCAGTTTCTTCGTGAAAGAACAGAAAGAGATAAAGACAAGGAAACATCATTCCATGCCACTTCATCTTCAACCTAATCCATTTTACAACCCTCCCAAATTTTTGTTTCTGTCGAAACGATGTCACAATGACATTGATAAGGAAAATTGTTTTGACGCAGCAAGTGACATCCGTTCTGTGCCTAAGATAAAGGATTCTCGGAGGCCGAAGGAGATACCTCAATGGAAGCCTTTGAGTGATGAAGAGAGAACAAGTTTCGATGCTTCCTTTCATGCCGTTGATATTGGTGACAAAGGCAAAATTTCCGCTTCTGAGGGTATTGAATTCTTTAGCAAGTTCAATCTTTCTCTGGAACAAGTGGCTCTTATTTGGAATCTAGTTGACAGAGATGAATCTGGCGCTCTGGGAATAAGAGAATGGAGAGTTGCTATGGTAAATTTGTTGTTGATATTTTCTATATGCCATGTTCTGAATCTGGTTTAAGGCATTATGTATAGGTGTGAACAAAAACTGCCAGATTCCTACGCAACTGCCAGCTGTTTTAGAACAAGAACTTGTCGAATCTCCTCGTAATTCTCTTAACTTTGAATCAAGTGAAAACGCAGGAAATATTGACGCAAATTGTTTATCAGAAGGATTATCCGGCAGTTATCGTAAAACCTTCGGGGCTGTACAGGAAGTGAAACAAGGTATAGAAACGAGTCAAATATGTCTGAAAGAGAGTAGCTTGGTAAATGCCAATATGCACAGTATGGAAGAAAGGCATGGCACACATAGTATGCACAGCAAGATAGGATTTGTTCAAGAACAATTGGCTTGTGATGAAGTGCTTGAAAGTATTAGATGGCTATGGACAGACAAGTCATCTGTAAGCAAAACTCATAGCGATAGAACGTTTCAGGTAAGAATCCCTTTAGGGTAAATTAGGAAGCAATTTACAGCACAATGATTTATATTAGAAAATGCCTCATTTAGATCCATTGACTAGAAGAAAGTTGTTAGGACGAGGATTTCATGAATAATTGGATACATTGTGCATATTTTTTGTGTTTCTGATTGTATCCAAGTCATTAACCTGTATTGCAATCTTTCAAGATATATAAAGGTTTGATCAAACGTTTGAGTGTTGCTCTGTTGAGTTGATGTCATTGGAACGGGTTTTCGATTAATTGAGAGACCTCTCCCATTTTATACTTGAAATGACCTAAAGTATCCAAGCATTTTCCACAGCTAGTCCTAGATTTTTGTTGTTATATCGACTTTGAAAGTTTGACATTGTGAATCGATTGGTGATTGATTTATCAAAATGAGTTCCGGTCGTAATAGCATTTTGTTATCGTCGAAAGAGCACAAGCTATTGGAACTCGTGAAACCGCATGTTGAGTCGTTTGATTACTTCCTTTCTAAAGGACTGACGTATCTGGAGAAGGAGCTCCAGCCTTTAAGGTTTATTCTTAACACCGACGATCAAGAAACGAAGGAATCGGAATCAAAGAAGACGACAAGAAAAGTACATTTTACACAGCAACTGGATAACAACAGTAGTGAGAGTCTTTTAGACCCACAAAACTCAGATGCCGCAGAAAATTTTGAGGTGAACCAGAAACATTTTGCCTCTAAAAAGCTTCCCAAAGACGCACAAGACAGTTTCCACACACCGAGCTCGTTGATGGGACAGACCCCAGCTTCTAAATTGCACGTTGAAATTGATGTAGCCAACATAGAAGTTAGGAAGCCATCACAGTATCCCAAAGCGCGTAGAAGTGTGCATGATAAGCTGTTGCCGAGGCACTGTCGAGAGAACCAAACTAGTTATAAAGTAATTGAAGACCTTTGCCGATATCCCTTATCTTAGCGTGGTTTATAGGCTCCACTTTTTTTGACTCTTCGTTGCAAGATTGATGGTAAGGTTTGCCATCAGTTGGTTCGCCTTGTGGGAGAGATTCCAGTCATGGTTCGAAGTGCAGTGTGTCATTTGAGTAAAATGGATAGTGGAGAGTTGCGGAAATTAGGAGAAGAAGAGTATGTTGTACTTTTTCCCTGTAAACTGAAGCTAATCCGTATGAAGGTTCGAGACTGGAGGATATTTCATCTGTAATGGTGTAGAGAAAGTGTTGCGAATGATCATCGTCTCAAGGAGAAATCATATCATGGCTATTAAGAGAGACTCTAATAGCAACAGGGGACCTTTGTTTTCTTCATTTTCTTGTTATATAAGATGCGTTAGACCAGATCAAACAAGCAAGACCTTCCATCTTCACTACTTGACTTCTGGTGCCATTCAAGCTAGAATTTCTATTTCAAAGCAAGAGTACATGATACCTGTGTTGCTAATCTTCAAAGTATGAACACTGCAGGATGATGAGAAATTTTTTTAACTTCGATGGATAGGCTTTGATTCCAGAGATAACCGATAGAACTATATACGAAGTCATTATGCAAGGAAACGAAAATGACATTTATTTACGGGATCGTGTAATTGCAATGCTGATGGATGGCTTGTCAAAGTATGAAGGAACCGCTGGTTCAGAGTTGGCTTATCTTGGAAGAACTTTTCGTATCGTATGGACATTCTGCAATTTCTTCTTAGCTACTTTAATACTTATACATGTATCTGCATTCACCAGGCATTGAGTATATTCGATGATCAAGTTACTGACGAACAAGTTGGAAGACAGTTTCTGAAGCATTTTGTATTAATACATCTTAGTGGTGACAAATATACAGATGATGACAATGTAGCCAAACTCGAAATGTTAGCTTTAATGGTTAGTATGAATTCTTTTTTTCACTTATTTTAATTTTCTCGTAGATTCGGAAACTGATTGCTGTAGCAAGGGGCTCTATTTGCCCTGATAGTCCTGATTCTTTAGCACATCAAGAAGTGCTACTTCCAGGACATTTGTATATGATGTATTTGAAAGAGAAAATAGAAGATTATTTATTAGGCATTCGCTCTGTGATTTTGAAGGATTTCAACATGAAGAAAGCGATTCATTTAGAAGAAGGTCCATATTTTGCCACTTGCTTACAAAGATGCCCTATAGATATTGGCAAAAGAATGGAGCATTTTATTGCAACTGGTCAGTTGCAGACTAGGACAGGATTGGACTTGATGCAAGTAAGTCTTTTCATCGTTTTTGAAAATTTTTTAATAATATTATGTAAGACTGCTGGATATTCAGTTGTTGCTGAAAGAATCAGTTATTATCGATATATTTCTCACTTCCGTTGTGTCCATCGAGGACAGTTCTTTTCAGAGTTGAAAACTACTTCCGTTCGTAAACTTCTTCCAGAGGCATGGGGTTTTCTATGTCCTGTTCATACACCCGATGGCGCTCCTTGCGGTATTTGAATATTTTAGTTGCATATTATTTTCAAAGCCTGATTTTTTCAAGGTCTTTTGAACCATCTAGCGCATCCTGTAATTGTTTCACAGTCAGAGGAGATGGCTACAGAACCCTTGTTAAGTTGGCTTGTTGAACATGGGATGACTTTGTCCAATAAGTATTCCTCTTTAGAAATGCCAAATGCATGGGAGTATCCCGTCGTTTTAGATGGAAAGATATTAGGGTAAGAATGTGAAGGAACCGATTGTCCCAGGTTGATAATTTTAATATGTAGCTATCTTTCTGTGGATATAATGATGAATATCAGTCAGCAAATGAGAATTCTAAAGGTTTACTTGTAATTTGCATGTGAAGAAAGTTATTGAGCAACAGATAGGTAAACAATGAGATGAATATACTTCCAAAAACTGCAGAAATTGTTACAGTTGTCCGCCAAACCTGGAACGATCGAAACTTCCCTGGTCTATTTATCTTCACTGGTCCTGCAAGATTATTAAGACCAGTATGGCTATTGTTGTCAAAGTCGCCAAAACAAGAATATATTGGTCCATTGGAACAGGCATTTTTGCGTATTGCTAATCCTAAAGTCGTTTCTTTAGATTGGAAGAATATGAAGAAGGATGAGTCTGTTTTTGGTAAGTAACCTTTTGAACTTGTATTGATAGAATTTTCAATTTTAGTTGTTTGAAACAAGTTCCTGCAACACATGAAGAAATTGACTGTTTGAGCTTCCTAAGTTTAGTAGCATCGCTTACTCCATTTTCAGATATGAATCAGAGTCCGAGGAATATGTACCAATGCCAAATGAGCAAACAAAGCCTGGGCACTCCCTATCATTTATTTGAAAGAAGAAGTGACTCTAAAATGTATCGACTTGTAACCCCACAAGTGAGTTTTTCATTTCATGTTTGGACAAGTTTTGACATATTTCAGATTCCTATCGTTCGAAATTTTCCAACTCAAGATTCTTTTGAGATGGATCATTTTCCTAATGGTTTTAATGCTGTAGTAGCAGTTTTGAGTTACACTGGCTATGATATGGAGGACGCCATGGTCATCAATAAGGCAAGTTTGGATCGAGGCTTGGCGCATGGAACGATGTATTCAACACAGTTGATCGATTTAGATCAAATGAGAGGTTAGCGTGCATATTGTTTACCAAAAAATGTCTTATTTTGCCTAGGAACAAAATCGAAATATATAGGAGGAGGTAGTCAACATGAGACAGTAAGTCGAAGTCATTCAAAATGGGCTTCTTATGCGTAGTTTTTAGATTGGCGAGGATGGATTACCAGAAGTTGGTGTTAGAGTGTTCAAAGGTGATCCACTGTATTGTATAGCAGATGAAACTGTGTACAGTCTAGCTAGTGGCACTTCAGAGAAAGTTTATTTTCATAAGCAAGCTGATCCAGCTATAGTTGATCAAGTTCGTCTGATTCCCGTTACTAGCAGAGCCTCCGCAGAAGTAAGCTCTGCAGTTTGATTGGTCATTTCTAATGATATATATATATATATATATTGTCAATAGGGCATCCGAAGAGCTTCGATAAAATTGCGTTATCCGAGAATTCCAGTTATTGGAGACAAGTTTGCTTCTCGTCATGGCCAGAAGGGAGTTCTTTCAGCGTTGTGGCCTTCGGAAGACATGCCTTTTACGGAGAATGGGATCGTTCCTGATATTATTTTTAACCCAAATGGATTTCCTAGTCGAATGACTATAGGAATGATGATGGAAAGCATTTGTGGTAAAGCAGGAGCATTGCATGGCATGTTTCAAGTACGTAATCAATGTTTGCAGTCAAAATGTTTCTTACTTGCGGAATAAGGATTCCACTCCCTTTCGCTTTGATGAAGATAACACTGCTGTTGATTACTTTGGAGAACAGTTACGCAAGGCTGGCTTTAATTTCTATGGAAATGAAGTTATGTATTCTGGATACACTGGTGAGCCTTTTCAAGTCGATATTTTCATTGGGGTCATTCATTATCAGCGACTGAGGCATATGGTTAGCGATAAATTCCAGGTGCGTGTACTACTGTATTGGGAATAGCACATTGAAAGAGAATGTATCTGTAGGTTCGTTCTACGGGTCCAATCAACCCTTTAACTCGACAACCTGTGAAAGGACGAAAAGTAGGAGGCGCTATTCGTTTTGGAGAAATGGAAAGAGATGCTTTACTTGCTCATGGTGCTGCTTATTTACTTCATGATCGGCTTCAACTTTGCTCTGATTTGCATACGGTTTATGCGTGTGAAGTTTGTAGTTCGATAATATCGTTGCAGAATGTTATTTATTCGTCTCATAATCTGAGAAGCCATCGCATCATTTGTAGATATTGTGGCGAAGAGAAAGGACGCCCAAAGAAGATACTATTGCCTTATGTGTTCAAATATTTGGCCACCGAATTGGCAGCAGTCAATATTCGAACGCGATTAGGATTACAATGTGAAATGTGACTGACTGGGTCATGGACGTCGTTGTGGGAGATGATAACCATTCTGCCTCTCCCATAACTTTACAAACCAATGTTGAAAACCTTGAAGAACTCCCTATAGATGCACCAGCACAGAAAACAGTGAATCTATATAAAGTAGACAACTATACTTTTGGTACCAAACAAGCCTCCCAAAAACAACACGAACGAAATCCTCAACGGCTAAAGGAAAAGTGTGCAAACTTATGACTTAAAATTGTTTTTGAAAGAATAATAATTGTTTGAATAGATATCAAGAAAGGGGTTTGAGGCACTCAGTTGCAGGTGTGCTTCTTGTTCACCATCATCGACACCCTCACGTGCTTGTCTTACAACGAACTAAAGACGCTGGAAGGTATTTCTCTTAAGAATATTGTTTGTTATCGTTGTTAAATACTTGTAGTTTCTGGTTACCTGGTGGTCGACTGCGTCCAGGTGAAGGTGATTTGGAAGGCCTATCAAGAAAACTGGATAATCGTCTAAAGAGTCCATCACAAGAAAGAAGCCACTGGGAAGTAGGAGATTTTTGTACGTTGACTATAATGAGCGGTTTGTTCCTTTCTTATCTTTAATCTATTTCTAGTGGCAACTTGGTGGTATCCTGACTTTTCTGACAATAGATATCCATATATCCCACCACATGTTACCAAACCTAAAGGTCAGTTTGAAAGCTCGGCATAATTGTTCTCATTCCAATGGTTCATTATTTTGTAGAAAAACTGAACCTATACCTTGTTCAGCTCCCAGAGTCTTGTGCTTTTTCCGTTCCAAGTGATCTTCAGTTACTCGCTATTCCTCTCTTTCAGGTGTTTAACAATGCTGTAAGTAGCACGTTGTATAAATTATATAAGTGTAGTGGATTAAATTTCAACGGCTAGGAACAATATGGTGAAGTAATTAGTTCTTTGCCGACCCTTCTCAGCAGATACCATGTGAATTACCTATAAAGCTGGAATATTGTTTACACAATATGACATTTTATCATAAGGCTGGTTAGTAGTCCTGTTTTCTAGAATTGAAGCACAAGTTGATATATAAATACATTTGTCGCCATTTTCAGTCTTCACTTTTGTCAAACATACATTATTCAGTCGTCGTTATCGGGTGATTGGAAGTTATGGCCTTTCGATTTGTTCTTCGTTGTTTTAGACCAGTTCTTTTGAGAGACAATTCCTTTCGAAACAAGTGTAGCAACCGTAGTTTTTCCAATCATACTGGAAAAGGTATTTTCGGTTTAGAGGTATTTTTATCCCATTCGAACCTTCCAGTAAATACTGACTCATCTGGTCTGTAGCGTTTGCATAGAGCAAGTGATTGGCAGTCTATAACCTTGGAAACCATTCAAAATTGTGAACGCATAGCTACGACAATAAGATCTTCGAAACCGTCTACTTATACTTTACAGTTATTTGACGATCTATCCAACGAACTCTGTAGAGTATTGGATGTTATGGAACTCTGTAGACACATACACCCTGATCCAGATTTTATTGGAGAAGCTGAAAAATGGTTTTCTGTTTTGAATAGTTACATGCAAGTAAGTATATTCTCGACTCTGATTGAGAACCACCAAAAGCGTTGTATTGTAAGGAATTAAACGCAGATTATCTTCTTTATCGACCGCTTTCAGACTTGGAAATGAGGTCCTCGGAGCTTTCTTTAGACAGAGAAGAGAATATGATGCTCAAGTCTCTCATTTCGGATATGCAAAGAAGCGGTATTCATATGCCAAGTAAGACCAGACAAAAAATCGTGGAGCTTCAAAACAAGGTCAGGAATAGCGCTTACTCGTCTTGAGAAGTAAAGTTTACTATTAGGTCTGTAATAGATTGCTAGCTTAGGTTTTGAGTTTACCCGTCAGATTTCGCGACCACCAGCTTCCTTTTCTGTTCCTGAAGATAAAGTGAATGAGCTGTTTAGTCCAACTGAGCTTGCTTCCTTTGAGTATATTGAACAACGAGAAGGAAAACGTATTTATAGGAGCGATATGGTAAGGAGTTTGGTCACGACTAGAGTTATATTGAACATGTTTGTAGCAAACTTTGAAACAGATCTTACACCATCATGAAAAAGGAGAGGCTCGTAAACTGGCCTATCTATCTATATACAATGCAGATCCTTCAAGTATTCAAGTTGTCGACTCATTATTAGGAACTAGAAGTCAGTTAGCGAGAATGTTGGGTTATTTATCCTACAGTCATTTTGCTTCTGTGGACAAGTTAATGAAGAATCCTGAAAGAGTGCGTGAATTTCTTTTGCAACTTAATAAAAGTTTGCAACCAAAACTTGAAAATGAATTGCGGCAACTTCAAGAAGAAAAATATAGAAGAGAATTATCAAACCACCCTATTGAGAGTTGGGAAGTTACATTTTACTGTAATCAGATTAGGAAGAAGCAGCTTACCACTGAAAACCTAAGATTGGATGAATATTTACAATTAGAATCGTGTTTGGAGGGCATGTTTTATATTGCAAATTGTCTTTTTGGTATAAGAACTGTAGAAGATTTGGAAAATCCGGAAAAGTGGCATGACGATGTAAGAAAATTCGTTTTTGTGAGTGAGTCTGGAGAGTGTTTGGGAACTTTATTTCTTGACCTTTATCAACGCCCTTACAAATATCCAAACTCTACTCATTTCACGATTCAGTCTCATCGTATTTCAAAAGATGGCAAGCATCAACTTCCAGTTATAGCCATCACAATGAACATGGAAAATAATTCGAGGACCATGAAAGAATCAACTCTGTTGCATCCTTTTGAACTTCAAACCCTAAATCATGAGTAAGTGTGAATTTCTATATTTTTGCATAGCAATGACATTTCATTTTGAAGATTTGGTCACGCACTACATTCGATTCTTTCCGCAACTAGATTTCAGAATCTAGCTGGAACAAGGACTGCTTTAGATTTTGTAGAAATGCCTTCGCATCTTTTTGAATATTTTGCTAGGGACCGAAGAGTTCTACAGCAGTTTGCAAAGGAAGGTTTTATTAACAAGACTATTCCAGAGTCTCTGGTGGAGGATATGCTGAGACATTCTCAGCTATTCTCAGGAATTGACGCACAGACGCAGATTTTCTATTCTTTGTTGGATTTAGAGCTTCATTCTTCTTCTAGCGTTTATGATGGAAGAAGTGTTGATATATTGAAAACAGTACAAAATGAGCACACTCCATTTCGATATGTTGAGGGAACAGCTTGGCACACTCGTTTTGGTCACTTATACGGGTAAATCTTTTTCATCAGAATTTATTTTTGTATAGCATCTAATATGTCTTGAATAGATATGCCTCTTGTTATTATTCCTATTTGGTTGCGAAGGTGCTTGCATCGAAAATATGGCAACGTTTATTTAGTGATAATCCTCTTAGTAAGGAATCAGGAAAGTTGTTACAAGAGAAGGTCCTTATGGTTGGAGGTTCGAAAAGTCCTCAAGAGATATTAGAAAGTATTCTTGACAATGATATGAAGGCTGATCGCTTTTTGATGGAATTGGGTATAAATGAGTTTGTCTTGGAAGAGTGTCCTTCAATCTATACTGGCACAGATAACTAAATGCAGAATTATTGAACATTCTCCTTGTCTACAAAACCTTTTGACTGGTTTGCTGTATCAAATTGTGAAACAAAGTGTACAAGTTGACATGAACAATTTGTTATTCAAGTCATTGTAGAAGATTCTCTTGTATGCTGTTGTCGTGTACTTTGCCGTTTTTATTAGATAAAGAATTACGGTCTTAACAGTAGACTATTGCAAGTAGCCTCTTTTTGGATGAACTCGATAGCAGTTACAGAAAATGCATGAAAACTTGCGTACTTACTTCACCAAAAATTGGATTGGTTTCATGCAACGTCGATTTCATGAACGATTGCGTGATCCAAGGTTTCAAAGACTTCCTAAGAAGTTGCGAAAGGTCTCAACTGACAGACGTTTCAGGTCAATTTCGAGTAAGTTTCTAGAACGAAGTCAACCTGATGTCGACAAGTTTGGAAGGCCCATCGACAGAAACAAAAAGCTTTCCGAACAACAGGAATTGGAAAGCTATTATCAAGTCCTTTCCGACCCTTCTTCTTCAGAAGAAGAGTCTAATGCAGTCACAGAAACACCAGAAAAGTGGGCAAGTGAAGTTAGTAAGAGTGAAATGGTTTCTATAGAACATTCTTCTAATCAAGAGGCTACCTCTGCCTCGAGTGTTGTTCCCCTTGGCAGAGAAACTCATCGTTTGGCAGTGACAAATCTAGACTGGAAAAGACTGTACGCTGTAGATATTTTAGCAGCTTTGAATTCCTTTTGTCCTGAATCGGGTCAGATTTTGAGTATTTGCGTATATCCAACAGAATATGGGAAATACTGGTTGAACAAAGAAAGTCAGGAGGGTCCACAACTTGAGCGTTTTAGGAAGAAAGCTCTTGAAACTTTGAATGATAATTCAGCATATACCACAAACATTCTCAATCTAGAACAAGAGGAATTTGATGAACAACTTTCGTCAGAAATTGCCAGACAGTATGAGTTGGACAGAGAAAAATTCTATGTTGGAGTTGTCGTTTGTGATTCTGTTGCCACAGCTTCTTCAATTTATGAACAGTGTGACGGATTAGAATTGGAAAGTAGTGGCAATGTGTTTGATTTACGATTCATACCGGACGATGTTGTCTTTCAGGACCTTCCCAGAGATTCTGCTGGTCAAGTACCCAATAACTATGAACCGAAAACATTTTCTACTTTGCCTTTGCAACATACTTTTGCAAAACTTTCATGGGATGAAGACGATCCACATCGTGCAAAACTGAAGAAACGGCGTTTCACGGAACAAGACTTGTTAGATGATGATTTAAGAACTTATCTTGCTTCCTCGGATTCTGAGATAGAAGAAGAGAAAAGGGATGTCTATAAGCAGTTAGCCTCAGAAGTTCTTTCTTCAGGCAAGGACCGACATGTAGAGAAAGAAGAGAATCTCGAAATGGAAGCCACCTTTATTTCAGGTTTAGATAATATCGGAAAGAAGATATTGCAATCTAAAGAACAAAAGGAGGTAGAAATGAATGAAAGTGCATGGGAGAGACGCCTTCGAAAGATGAAAAGTAAGAAAAACGCAGGTAAAGATCGGAAAGTATATAAAAACGACGAGTCACCTAATCCTGTACCAGCCTCAAAGGATGATAAATCAAGTATTCGCAAAGAAGCAGAATTGGAGTTACTCTTTATGAATTCGAAAGAAACAAACGATTATTCTTCAGACGAGGGCAAACAAAGGAAATCCAAACTGAAGAAAGTGAAATCAAATCCTGAGAACTTTTCTTTAGATACTGAAGATCCTCGCTTTGCTGCATTGTACCACTCACATGACTTTGCATTAGACCCAACTGATTCACGATTCAAGAAGAGTTCTGGAATGAAAAAACTTCTACATGAAAGATCGAAAAGACTTTATGATACTTCATGAACTGTGGAAACAAATGAAGTAGTATTCTACAATAAACTGAGATGAACATCAAAAGGTATTATTCCACAATATCGTCAAATGCTTCGACTCGTGAACTAATTCTAATGCTTCGTCTCTCCATCGTCTTTGAGAAGTGTTTTGCAATAATTTCTCTCGCAATGACTTACTCGGCTTGAAACAAGTCAAAATGTCCAACTCGAAATCAGATATCTCCAAAGTTTCCGTAGTTGTTCCAGTTTCTTCCGTGTATTGACTCCTTACATTTTCTTCCGAATGGACAGATTTGTTGGTGTCTCTAGGATAACCGACTTCTCTACTACTACTCTGGATATTCTCAGTGACCCTCAAGCTGGACTCCAAAGAAACTTCCTTCAAAGCTTTTGCGGCACCTTCTAGTTGTTCTATGGCTTCTCGCAAGGAATATTGGCCTTGGCTCGATTCTGAGAAATAAAAGATGTTTCGGTCAATAAGTTCACTTTCCGAATACACGTCTTCACTCTCCCCTTTATCGCTCTCGTTAGAAAGTGAGAAAAACTTTTCAATTCTTTCCCTCAGCTTCCTTGCTTTTAAAGCTGCTTCCACGGCTTCTCTTGAAAGTTCGAGAGTTGAAGTTTCATTCTCAGAATCAACTTGCGTCTTATAAGATGCCATGTCTTCTTATGAACTCATCATCGCTCAACAATCTTCGGAGAATTGGCGAGATGAAGAATTGCTTCCTATCATCATCATCATCATCAACTTGGTTGCTATCGGAAGTTAAGAAGAATATTCGTTATAAGGGTTGTGCTTTATATCGTTTTCCTATTATAAAACTCAAGAATGCAAGGGGAATACCGCTGGCTACCTCATTCTGCCGAAAACAAACGAGAATGGGTCTTTCTCAGAATCTGCGAAGTCACACAGATCTTCAGTATACTCCAAGCGTGAAAGGAGCAGACACAGTGTTACATTCGGTACTGAAATTATTCGACGTTTCGGTTCACTTTTGTCACAACAGTCTTGTCTTTGTTGCTGAGCGTTTGGGACTACATTCTTGGTTCGATGTGGTACCCTCAGATGGAAAGCGTCTACTGTACCAAACTCAAATCGTGACTATTGTGATTATACGGGAATTGGCTGTGTTACTGTTTCTTGTCCAGGTTTGGCCGAAAGTTGTTCGTTATATGCTGCATTGGCTTAGAAAGGCTTGGATTCAATTCGACTTTTTGGGAACAAAAGTCTTAAACAAAGTTGCCGGGAAAGAAATCAAAGATGAATTTGTAACTTCTGTTCCATGGAGTGATACAATTCTTAAAGCAGCGGAACAGCCGTTGATTCTTTCTTTGTGGATTTTTGCTTTGTTACGAATAGCAAACCTGGGAACTTTGTTGGGTTCTTCGGCGTTTTATGCCTTAGAAAACATTCTACACGTGCGGATTGGTGACAATGTTGTTGGTTACGGTTTAGGTAATGGGAATTGAATTATTCCTTATGCATATTGAAATTGGTTACGGTACTTAGGAAAGCTATCTTTTGTTTTATTGTTTGGATGGTTCTTGGAAAGGTGGCGGAAGTTGCTGTTTCAGAATGTAGGTTCGAATATGAAGAATGTCGATTCTATGGATCGTTCCTTGTTTTTAGCCTATGAAAGGTTGATGCAGGCTGTGAACTATCTTATCATTTCCTTTTTACTCTATGAATATGTTGGTCTTTCGTTTGCTCCAATCTTTGCAATCAGTGGCTTGGGAGGTACTGTTGAATTGACGTAAAATCCTTTACTGTTTGTAACTGATAATTAGGCATCGCGTTGAGTTTGGCTGCGCGTGATTTTGTGTCCAATGTCTTTGGTAGTATCATGATTTATTTGACGAGGCCTTTTACTGTGGGTGATAAAATCCGTAGTAGAGATGGTAGTGTGAATGGTTGTGTTGAGAAGATTGGATGGTTCGTATTTAGCCAAAGAAGAATGAAGTACTAACGTTATTTTAGGTACAGCTCAGAAGTCTTAAATGATGAAGGTTTAGTAGTCTTTGTCCCAAACTCGACGTTTACAAGTGCAGTGATAACCAATTTGAGTAGAATGAAACAAATTCCGTTTCAAAGGAAAATTTCACTCTCCAAAGTTTATTTACAGAATATGGATCGTATATTGGATGATATTAGAAAGAAAATAGAATCTTTTTCAGTGGTAGACTTTTCAGTCCCTCCGACGATATATGTAACTGATGTAAGAGACGATAGTATTGAAATTGAAGTCCGATGTGTATTGAAAAATTCAGTAAGTATTTTATTTATGTTTTTTGTTTGTTTGTTTGAGAGACCATTTCAGTCTCAAATGGATGAGAAACTGGCTCGTCAAAATCTTATTATAGAACTTGGTGAATTGGAGCAACAATTAAGAGTGGCAGGTGCTGCTTAATTCTTGTAATTTTCAATATTCAGTCATTTGTTGTGTTCTCTGGTTGTATTAAACGGCATATTGTTTCACATCAATTGAATTTTTTGACAATACATTTAGTCAATACCTAAGTTTGCTTAGTCTTTAAGAGATTTTCCTCATAGCATCATATTCCTTTCATTGTATCGGATGATATCCTTTCCAGAAGATTGTCGCCCTAAGATGTGTCCTTTCCCAACCTCAAAAAGTGGAAAAACGCATTATCAATTCCATTCCGGTCACTGACTTGAAGTCCTTGTGCGTAATGGTTGTGAGAATACGTCTTGCTTGTGTAGGTAGAAGAAACCATCCTATGTATAAGATTGTCGTTGCAGATAGTCATTGGCCTAGAGACGGAAAACATTTAGAAGCAATTGGCTTATACAGCCCCATAGCGGCAACCAAAGAGGAGGTATTTGTTATCGTTATCCTTTGCCTTGAAAGAATACTTATATGTCGGTAGCTTCAAACAAATACAAAACGAGTTTTGCTTGACATAGAAAGGGCTAAGTATTGGGTAGCAACTGGTGCGCAACCCACAAAGACTGGTCAGTTGTTTTAGCTCTTCAACTTGAAGCGATTTAACTTCAAAGATAGTATTTTATTTATTTGCTTTAGCAGGAATCTTGCCAATGCCACCAAACCCAGTTTTATGGCAACAAAAAGCAATTGCGAGATATGAAGGTATTAGCGTAGACGAACTTGGGAAACCAGTAAGCAAAGAATCTTTAGAAGACCTTCAAAGAACGACAAGTGGACAAACCAGTAACACTACTTAAAAAAACTTTCTAAAATAAAGTAATATATTGGAAAATACTGCCCTTAGTTTCGGGGTATTTTAGAAGTTAGAAAAATAGGCTCTCTTCAGGTTAATTGGAAGTATTTGACTGATCCCTTTCTACCAAGGCTACACCTTGTTGTACAGGTTCTCTTGCCCTTACAGATTCTTTCACTCTCAAGATATCCGGCTCTATAAGGTTTATTCCCTTTTCCAGTTCTCGAACAGCCGTCCTTTGCTCTTGCTTCTTTGCCTGTTTCATTTTACTCTTATAGAAATCTTTCTCTCTCTTAACCCTAACCGCATCAACTTTCTGGATAGCTTGAATGGTCTTTCCAACTAGTTCCCTGTCATAACGTTGTATTCTTTGTCTCTTTCTTTCAAATTCAAACGTGGAATCCTGAAACTGTAATGAGTTGATTATTCTCATCACAAAGTTGACTTACAATAGCCATTTCCTTGCCATGTGACTTTCGATAAGCCTTTGTCCACCTCAAGTATCGAGGGTTTCGCTTCATATGGAACGTTTTCCTACATTTTGAGCGGCAAAACCGGAAAACTTTTGCGTCGTTACGAACGAACTCTATACCGTGACCAGGATACACGGTACTGGAGCAAATATAGCACTTTTCTAGTCTCATCTACCAAAACCCGGCGCCAACAATTTTCGACACAAACCAATTCCGCCTTTTAATACAGTTTCCAATCATTACTGATCAGGATATTCAAACTAAAAGATTTAAAACAACCAACATATATTTATTGCCTACAAGACTAACTTTGAAACATGTCAAGTTTTCTGGAAGAGAAACCACAGTAATAGTCAATGATCAATTCATAGGAAAACTTTCTTGACGCAAGTTGATAACTGTGCTCTTAATTTTCGTCATTGCTTCCAAACTAAAGTAGACGCCTTGCGAGCCTAAACCCGAATCTTTGAAACCCTGAAATGGAAAATGATCGGGACCCCTTGCAGGCTGACCATTCACTTGAACTGTTCCAGTTGAGAGCTCATCCGATATATGGATGGCCTTTTCAATGTCATTTGTGAATACACATCCTTGTAAACCCATCGTGCTCCTGTTTGCAAACTCGACTGCCTCTTCCGCACTCTTCAAACGAATGATAGGCAATACAGGACCAAACGGTTCTTCCCAAGCTATCTTCATGTCCTCTCGAACATGATCGAATACTGTAGGCCAAAGTAAATTACCTTCTCGTTTATAAGGACAAACCTCTGAGGCACCCTTTTGCCGTGCATCGAAAACTAGGCTCTCAATATAATCGGCAGAGCTTTTGTTAATAACCGCTGTTATGTCGGCATTCTCCTCAGGATGTCCTACTGTCAGTTTCTTAACTCCATCAACAACCTTCTTTACCAACTCATCCCCAATAGGTTCAACAGCTAGGACAATTTTCACCGCCGTGCAACGCTGAGCACTATACGAGAAGGCACCAGAAACTATTGCTTTGGCTGCTAAATCTAAGTCACAGTCTGGCAAAACAATTGCCGCATCTTTTCCACCAAGTTCCATCTGTAAAGGTATCATACCAACCTTCTTACAAACCGACATTCCTGTGGTTCCTCCACCAGTAAGCGATATACAATTCACAAGTGGATGTGTTGTGAGAAAATCTCCAATCTCAGAGCCCTTTCCAGTGACTGCGTTCACCACTCCTGCCGGAACTCCTGCCAAATGAAACGATGCTGCAAGATATAAAGCTGAAACTGCTCCTTGGCTAGGGGTCTTAATAACAACACTGTTTCCGGTGATTAAGGCAGGCGCAACCTTAGAGGCACACAAATTCACAGGATAGTTAAACGGAGGAATACATAAAATCACTCCTAGAGGAACTCTATGGACTAGACAAAGCTTATCTCTCTTCTGACCAGGAAATGAGTCCGAAGTCATCAGCTTTCCAACCAATCTCGTTCCTAAATCACACTTTGTGAATAAGCAAATTCTACTTGACAAACAAACCTTCTTCTGCAGTATATTCGATGAGATCTGCGGTACGGACCACTTCTGAGACAGCACTCTTTCTGTTCTTCGCTATTTCTTTTACTAGAGCAGTTGCTATCTCATCCTTATTTTCACGAAGGATAACAGCTGCTTTTCTCAGGTATTCGGCACGTTTCCAAAGTGGAGTCTTTGCCCAACCCCTCTATGAAATATTTGTTAGCACAATCTCTTTCAAACGAAGAAATTCTAACTTGAGCTCTGTTTGCAGCTTTGAAAACTTCATCAATGTCTTGTTGCGAGCAAGATTGGAATTCGTAAGCTTCTGTATTGTCATAAGGAGTGACTTCTTTCATCGTTTTTCCAGAGCCGCTAGTCCCTTCCAAACATAATAAGTCTCAGCAAACAAAGGAATAACAAGAACAACTTACTCCATTCACCGTTTGAGAGGAATTTGAATACGTTTCCCTGCTTCATAACTGCGAAAGTATCAGACTTTGTGTGTGTCGAATTGTTCATTGTTAAAACTATCGAGCTTTCCAACCAACAACAATTAATTCAATGCCTCTGCAGAAATGTTTCCAATTTTAACGGCGCACGATGAGTTTAGCAGCTCCTCGTGTTCCAATGGACACGAGCTTCCCATTTCTTCGAAAATTTAGGAACCCTGAAAGTATGCCCAAAGCCAACAAGAGAGTATTTCTACAAAATAAGGCTGAAAGTATAGAATGATAGAAACTGTTTACTAAAGCAAGAATGATACAACTAGTATCCACTGTTCAGTGCACTGATATGTTTTCGTTGTTGCAGTTTCTTTATATAGTTGTTCTTTAATCCCATGGCCAGATACGACTTCTTTTGTTCATTGAAATAGTTGATGCTATCGTTTTCTGATAACTTCCTAATGTACTTGTGATAATCTTGAAGTTCGTTTCTCAACTGACCATTCAACAGGGTTGCTCTGTAAGGCCGTACTCTTCTAGGACGCTGTCGATAGTAAATTGCAAAGGCTCTATGCCCCACTCGATAGCGAGCTAAGCACAGTTCATATGCTTCACTCGATGGGTCTTCACTCTCATTCTCCGACACTCCATCTACAACTGAAACAAGCGGATTCCCCAAACATTCGTCTTCAAAGTTGTAAAATTCACTAAATTCGTCTAACCAGGCCTCGTCATTGTCTTTCATTCTACAGTGGTTCTTTGAAGCCATATGGTCTCGAACACTTTGCAAGGTCGAAAACTTCTTGTCACAAAATACACATGAGGTATACTCTCCTACCTTACTACCTAGGTACGTCAACAAACCTTCCAGATCTTCAAGATTATCCCAAAACGGAATTCGAAAACTATGCACGACAGCCATATGTCGTAAACAAGTGGTGACATCTTCAAACGCCTTTCCGTCGAACATACAAGTACCAGGAGCTATAAACATAGCTTCCTCCTTGAAAACTGATGAAACAACTTTTGTGCTTTCCGAATGGCTCTCACTCCTTTTTATGGGTTGTTCTTCGACGTTCTGTGACAAATGTCTTTGAGACTTCTCGTGCTGTTTAAAAGCCTTGGTACTGGAAAAGTGCTTCTTACAAGCTTGGCAATATATGACGTTAGACTCCTTTCTATTGTTTTCATCCTCCACTTTCACGGATTCTAACCTTGTCTCAAACTCCACAAAACTTATGGGACCTAAACCAGCCAACTTGACGCAATGATAAAAACTGCCCAACAAAGTTCGTCCCACTCACCTTTCTCTTCAAGTTTACTCGGTGCCAGTCAGAGCTGTAGTGGGACTTTATTGTCTCCGCGCTTTCTACTCTCACGTGACAAGCCGTACAAGTTATCGTCTGCGGAGGGTCTACATAAGAGGACTCCATCACTCTCCAGAATGTCAGAAATGACAAATTCTTGTGACAATATAAAGGATGAACAACATCTTAAGCAATGACTAACGTTACAAAGCAATACGACTTTCTGGTGTTGAAGAAGAAGAACTTGTGATAAGTTGTTGTTGCATTGCAAAATTTTTATGTTATTCTTTTAATGAACATTCTTGAACTGTCTGAAGTCAATACTGATTTGTATATATGAGTAAACAACCTTGTTTTTGACAAGTTTTTTTGAAACGTTAACGTCATGAGAAGAATATTTGTATATACAATCTTCTGGTTTCTACTTGCAAGTCTCGCAGCCATGTTTTTGAAAAGACGAAAGTGGAAACAGATTTACTTGTGTGCTGCAGTTATCTCAACAAGTGAAATCACATCTGTCTTTGAACTTCATTATACTCACCACAGAAATATTTTTATACGCAAGGAATAAAGACTTTATTACATTTTGAAATATATAGATTTTTTAACTCAGTTCATGATTATACAGTCAGTATTAGTTACAGAAATTGGCAAGTCTGTAGCTGCGCACTTTGCAAAAATAAAATTCACAAAACGGACAACACGTATTTATTGAACCACAAGCGAGGAAAGATTATTAGATATAAAGTTCAGTGATCCATGATATAAAGATTTCCACTCAATATCTTGTTCTCCAGAACACTACCACTAGGAATCATGATTTTGTTGCCTCGTGATGCGACAATAATAACTGTTCCCTTCAAAGAAACATTCGAGCCAAAGCTAACATCTCCACTAACTGTAAGATGGTCCAATTCCAACAAGTCTGGAATTGTCTCAAAACGTGCATTATATTCTCCAACCTTTTGAAACTCTGGTCCCAGTTTCACTACTGGAGTCGTGGCAAACTCTCTTAAAGGATTAGGAACAAGGGTTCCAGATTTCAACGTGTAAAGACTGCTCTGAACCAAAAGCAGGTCTGAAGTAGACTTCACAGGAAGAAAACGTGAACGAGGAACATTTACACCTCGAGCATTTCCGAAGTATCGAATGGCAGAACCAACAGCTGTCTCCAGTTGTATTACTTTCTGATCACCGACGGATTTAGTATTTGCAATAATATCGAGATCCATATTTCCTCCCTTTACAAGCCTTTTGACTGCACGCAAGTTTAACCAAATATTATTGGTGTTAAAGACCTTAAACTTCTTCACTGACTTGAATTCCTCAATGTGCTCTTTAGGAACTTGTGCAACCTCCAGCAAAGTCACATGGCCATCATACGATATCAAAGTACCCCCTTTTATATCTGCTCGAGTTTTATCAGTCAATTCCATGCAGAATTCGCACTTGGAATCCTCGATCATCTTTAAGATATTCAGATCCACCGTCGCTCCCAAATTGTCTACGTTAGAAACAAAGAGATACTCTTTTCCTTGTGCTAGCAATGTATCGATGATTCCTGTACTCTCAATAGACTCAAACAGATCGCCATGTCCAGGAGGATACCTTTACTTCCAGTCAATGGCAATTGAAACATTCTAGTAAAGAACCTACCAGTCTTCATGGCTATAATTAGAATGTGCTAATGGCATAGGTTGGAGAGAATCTTTAAGTATTCTGGGATATCGACTTTGTTGAAAAGTCATTATTGTCACTTGAGTATCCTGATACTTCTTTATAATCTTCGCTGTATCCGCATCTGTATTAAAGGAATTCATGAGAAGCAGAGGAACATTTGCTTCAGGATACTTCTTATTAATGTGCTCAATCTGCTGAACGATCAAATCCAAAAAGGTTGTCTCTCCGCGAACTTCGATGACTGATTTTGGACCAGTACAGCCCATAGTAGTCCCCAAGCCTCCGTTTAGCTTCAAAACAGCTAATTTCTTCAACAATTTGGTAGACTCTGAAGATTCACAGGATGGGAGAGAAGAGTATGGCTTCACGAGGTCTGTAGAGGGGGACTCGATCAAGTTCCAGTCAAGTTTCTTCTTTGTCGACCTTTCTCTAAGGTATCTGCCAAATAACTTTGCAAACCCCTGCATTTCCCTTTCCGTCATTTTAGCTCTGGGGTCTTCAGCGTGTGTATTTATTTTATCGATCTCACTTTGAACAACCTAACACAGGTCATTGAGCACAAAGTAGCGCAAAAGTTCTAAAATAACCTTTTCTATAGATACATCCGTCACTGAAATAAAATCTGCGAGTGATGCAGAAGCTCCAACACTTGAGTTGTTTGTAGAACGCTTCATAGTAACTTGTGCTCGGTTGAAAGAAGAAAATGAACAATCACAAAACAGCCAATAATAATTTGGAACAAGCAATCTGGAGAATTGGATGATTTCCATAGAGAATCAAGTCTTCAACATTCATTTTACTCTTGAATTGAAATTGTGAATAGAGTAAGATCGAATTCAGCTTTAAAAATGAAATAGTGTTGTTGAAAAGTTTAAAGTGGCTATAGTGCTTTCTAGATGTGACATTCGTATTTTTGTGTTAAATGTTTTCTGTAACTTGTATTTGCTTGACTCTAAGGAATCTCTGGAAGTGTAATAAGTGTATATCTATGTTCGAGAGAACGAGCGACAATGACAGGAAACGCGAAATGTAATGAAATACTTTTGAATACAATGGCAGTCCTTGAGAGAGAGAGAGAAAAGTTTCATAAGCAGAATTGTATATATTTATATATGCATATATTATATCTCAGTCTTAAAATAGCGGAATTATGAATGAGTAACACAAAAACGAGTGAGTTTCTTTTTTTGAAAGCATCTCAATAAACAGTTTGTCTTCCTATATTGTCAATATTATCTCTCTTTATAATATACATATATGTACTGATGCTAATAGACTAGGTTTCGGCGAATTTTTTGTTGTATAACAAGACATCCATAACTGTTGTACTCGAATATAACTTTAAACTGCTGCTAAATATGTATAGTCGTTAATTCCATTGAAGAATTTCTATTTTAGAGTCGTATATTTTTATACTGAATAAGATCATATATGCTCAAAGCTTTAGAGCTTTTCCATGGTTATGAAAACATTCAAAGAAGCCGCTGTATCTTGCTTACCATATGGATTGTATCAAAAAGGAGCTACAGGATAACAGTTCTATAGAAATTGACAAAGAATAAAAATAAATAATAGTATTCCAAGACTTCACCCATCGAACGCTCTAACTGCTCACATTTTAAGAAAATTAATTTGATTATTCGGTGCGTTTTCTCATACTACTAAAAGATGGAGCATGACAGTTCTCAGGTAAGCTTCGTCCTTATTCTAGTCTTTACGAACAATGAAAGTTTCCTTTTCAACGTAAAAATTGGGAACAGTCTCGTGAGCTACTGCGGGAAAGTGTGAAGGAATTGAGGGAACATATAGAATGCTGCAAGGAACTCAATCAGAGGTTGGAATCGAAGGTCGAAGGACTGCGAAAGGTTTTATTAAAGAAAGAAGGCTCCAAAGTTACTGAAGAAGATGACAAAGCAGGAATAATAGAATTGCAAAAGATCTCAGAACATCCTTCAGGAACACAAGAAAACTCCAAGTAGTGAAAATACTGTAGATACATAAATAGGACAAACTTCAAATGGATCTTGAGAATGGTATTTCAATGACTCACGGAATGGGCCTGAGTGGCACATTATTCGCTTCCTCTTTGAAGTTTTCCGAAATATGTTAACGCCTTTGAAAATTTCAAGCACACACCACACTCGATTATTCTGTCAATTGTTCCACTCAAGTGCAATTTCACATAATTGGAGATGGTTTTCTAGTACTTCAGCAGGTGAAAGGACACTCAACAAAAGAATTTTCAGTAAGCTGGACAAGTCAGGTTACATAAGGTCAATAGTCAGGTTAACTGGTATAGCTACTGTGAGTTCATTTGCACTTGGTTTCTATCTATATAGGAATGAGACCCACGAGAGCTATGCAACTTGGACCGGAGGAGCTTTACGCTTTCTAAGAAGTCTGAGTGTAGGAGGTATGATATTTGGAGATTATGTTTGGAGTATGAAGGGATTCCGCCTCGTTTCGGACAATATGGTTTCTGATCTCCACGATACGCATCAGCGTTGCGCAAAACGACTCCTGGAACTTTGTAGAAAGAACGGCGGTTTATATATCAAAATTGGTCAACACATAGCACAACTGGATTACTTACTGCCAGATGAATATTGTCATACGTTGCTTCCTCTTGTGGATGCATGTCCGACTCAACCTTTAAGTGATGTTTATATTACTTTTATCGAAGATCTTGGTTCGACCCCTGACCAGCTATTCAGTTTCTTTGACTCGAATCCATTTGCATCGGCTTCTTTAGCACAAGTTCACACGGCAGTCACCCATTCTGGTCAAAAAGTAGCTGTAAAATTGCAGCACAGGGGCTTGAAAGAAGCAGCAAAAGGAGATATTGCTACGGTTGCTTTTCTGGTGGATATAGCAGCCTTTCTGTTCCCTGATTTTGATTATCAATGGCTGGTAACTGAGATTAGAGAAAACTTACCCAAGGAACTTGATTTTATTCATGAAGCACGAAACGCAGAACGTTGCCGTACAAATTTTGGAAACCGTCTTGACGTTACAACCCCTGATATCTTTTGGAATCTTTCGTCTTCTCGTATTCTTACGATGTCTTTTGAAGAAGGATGTCGTCTTGATGATGCAGAGTCGATGAAATCTGTTGGACTGGCACCCGCAGATGTATCACGTATTGTTTCTGAAGTTTTCAATGAGCAAATATTTCTTCATGGTTTTGTTCATTGTGATCCTCATATTGGTAATATCTTAGTTAGGCCGAGGGCAGACAAACCAAAGAGTCCGCTTATTGTCATGCTTGACCATGGACTGTATCGAGAACTTTCTCCAGACTTGCGTCTTTCGTATGCAAAGATGTGGCGTTCTATAGTTTTAGGAGATAAGCAAGGCATTATAGAAAGCTCTAAAGCATTAGGTGTTGGAGAATACTATGAATTATTTGCGCAACTGTTAACAACGAGACCTTGGAGAGACATCGTTTCTTCGGAAGTGGATCTCGACCGTTTAAAGATGCCAAGTACAGAAGAATATCGTTTGAGAATTCAGAAATATGCGGTTTCTGCAGTTACAGATATCTCCAACTTACTTGGCCATCTTCCAAGACCGTTACTTTTGTTACTAAAGACTAATGATTGCCTCCGGAGTGTAGATAGAGCCCTTGGAGCACCTCTGAATACTTTCATTATTACAGCAAGATACTGTGCAAAGGCAATCGAACAAGCCGAACTTCGGGCGGCAGCAATGGGTCATGTCTCTGAAAGGCTATTGGGACATTTCCGAGCCCGAAGAGATCGTTTGACTGTTGAATTTCGTATCTTTTTATTTCGGTTCTACATTTGGCTGAATATTTTACTTCATGCCCTGAAGGAGTTTCTTCCTAAGGGGTTTTTTATCCAACGGCAACAAGTTTATTCTTGAAAAGATCTTGCTTTCAGAAGCTACAAGGCGCTTCTGAACATTTTGTTGGTACTTTTATTTAGAAAGATAATGATATTGTTTATAGTTTAGATAGGAATAGGGTTATTCATGCTGGAGTGTCAACTGATATTTAGGTAATACAATTTCAGAAGCATATTCTTTTTGAACTGTATTAGTGCCTTGGAATCCGTCGTTGGACTGTCTAAGTGAAAGCTAAAATATAAAGTATGAAGCCATAAACTGTGTTTACCTATTTCATTGTATTTGTTTGCAACTAAGTATCAAGTCGAATTGAGTCTTTTGATGCAATCACCAAATGAATCTCTTCCGAAAATGAGAACAACTAAAGAGGAAGTCCTAGCCTTATTAGGTTGAACGACCTTCTACTTAACCAACAAAGCCCACTAAGTAGTCTACAATTGAGGAAGCAAAATGTGACTATCCTTTCTGGTTGATTGAATAGTTATTTTATTCAACTTACAAGCTATGTTTTCCAGCTTCTGTAAAATCTTTTAACATACATTTCTGATTCATTTCTAGAATGGCATTCTAGAGATTCCACATTGGGAAATGGATCTGACTTATGTCTGAGAACATTATGAGAATGTGGTTGAATATCATTCGAGGACTTGTACCGAACAAACAAGAGAAACTGCAGAATCGTATTTCTTCTATGCCACTCGTAAGTTATGAATTCTAACGTTGGCTTTCTTGAAATAGCTTCTTTAAACTCCACAGGCAGCGACAAGTAACGGAGTCGAACAAGTACATGCGGTCAAAAGTTTGGAAACGAAAAAATTCGAGTCGAGCACTGAGGAAGAATCTGGGCGTCGCGTTTCTTCGTGCTATCTGAGAGACAGTATGATTACCAGGATGAGAACACAAGGAGTATCCCAGGATGACCTTGTACGCAAACTTTTTGGACTAAATAATGTGCTGTGGGTTTTGTTCTCGTTGTATTTTTTGCGTCTGTTAGTTGTTCGTACTATTCATGGTTTATCTCCTGTTTGCATTGACTTCTTGTTGACAAGTATCTATGATGCTCCAAAAATTATACTCATGTTTGGACTTATTTGGGCGAGCTCCTATGCTTTCTATTTAATACTTTATTTAGAAAGAAAGAAACTTCTTTCACGTATGCTAACGAATGCCCTATTGAGGTTTTGTTTACTTTTGCTACTTATACTTCCTTGTAAATGGGTGTTATCCTGTGAATATCCAGTTGTTCCTTCTTTTTCTGTGGCAGCTCAGGTATGAGCACCGAAAGTCTTGTGGATGTTTCTTTGTTAATGTTTTAGGCGACTTGTTTTTTCTTAAAAATACATTCGTTCGTTGCAGTGGTCGAAAGAGAATGTTGGAGAGGAACCAGTTTGGATTTATTGTTAGATTGGAAAATGTTTTCTTATTTCCTGGTTGCACCAACTCTAGTATATCGTGTGAAGGGTTATCCTAGAACGAAAGGTATGTATTTTTTATGGTGCATTTGTATTTCGGAACGAGAAGATATGACGCGACATAGAAATTAGATGGAAATGCTTTTTTGGTTTGTTCATTCAGGGATGTGGACTGTTGTTTGTGATGTATCTTATCATGACCGAATATATGTTACCATTGTTTCATAATGCTTCCGACATTCATAGCATAGAATTTGTAGTTACGCTCATTGTACCAACTGGAATTTTTTATTTACTTTTCTTTATCCTTATTTTTGAGGTAATACTGAGCATTTCTAGCTGCAACTATATTTTCATCTCGTTAGGTTATGCTCAATGGATTTGCGGAACTTACTCGTTTTGGTGATCGGTTATTTTATGAAGACTGGTGGAACTCTGTAACGCATGACGAATTTCTAAGAAAATGGAATAGACCAGTTTATAACTATTTGATGAAAATTGTTTACAGTCATTGTCGTAAAATGGTTGGTTACTATTTTTTTAGTTGACTGAAGCATTGTTACATGAGATACTTTAGGGGACAAACAGATTGAAAGCGATGACTTTGACAATAGCATATTCTTCAGTATTGCATGAGCTTGTTCTTGCAGTGTCCTTCAGACGTCTGAGATTGTACCTTATGTCACTTATGATGACACAAAGTATGTATAGTGCATATGTGAGTCATTTGTGCGAATGATGCGTTGTTTAGCACCGTTAATTTGGTTGATGAATATTCTGCTTCGTATTCAAGAGCGTAGACCCGTTTATCGCCAAATATCGAATATTTTCTTCTGGAATTATATTTTCTTAGGTCCTACTTTGCTGATGTTGATATATTCACGTGAATACTAAATGTTTAGCTGTAATACGAATTCAAATTCTGTAAAACAACTGCGGAAAGACAAATAGAAAGGTTGAAAGTGTGTTACAGTCTTCGATCATTGGAACAACAGCTAGACATGTGTCATATCAGAAAAAAGCGATGGAAAACTTTTCACCGTTTTCAAATTTGCATATGATTGAGTTAAAAGTAACCGATAGGGAATGATTGGACAACCTTTTGTTGTTACTTCCCCTGGATTGTACGGAATATTTTGGAAAGACATCCTGGTTTGGAAAAGTTTTGAGAACTTCACTTGGATTAAAGATATTAAGAGACTGAATGAAATGGAGAGTTAAGTTGAGACTGAGTCTTGTGAAGAATGATGAAATCGTGATATGTCATTAAGTGACGAAGTCATGACCATTTGATGACAAGAAAAGCATAGTATCAAAAAACTCATGAGAGAGTTGGCTTGTAAAATCATTCTCGCTCAACGATATTCTACATTTTTCGATGGCAGCGTCGTTAAGTGTTTCAAACGTATGCAGAATGCCATTTTGTAACTCGCATGTCTCAACAACTGATAGAATTGCCTTGTGGATTTTATGCTTTCTTAAAGCAAGATAATAGCGTTGTTACTCTAAACTTGTAATATGACATAGAGCTAATTCTGTTTGTTTATGTTTCATAATGGGCTTCATTACATTCTAGAATGACGAAATGAAAAATGTCGTTCTTTCTTCGACTTTTATATGTTCTCTCATGTCAAATGAAACAACTAGTTGAACAAAGACATCATTAGAGCAGCAAACAGAGTTGTAACTCTGTAAGCCGTTTTCTTATTTTAACTAAGCTGAATTGAAGGCAGAAACTCATTTCTTTAGAATATTCCTCTTTTCAACAATTCATGAAAAAGAATATCAACTACTTGATATCGAGGCAAAGTAACTCTCAACAGTGAATTTTTTTGCAAAAGGCTTTTGTCTCAAGGTAGATCCAACGAATGAACTCTGTAGGCAACGAACACAGATGATTCACGGAGACGTTCGGTTTTTTTCCGTCCAACCTTTTAGGAAAAGGGTTCAACTGCTTCAGAGACCAAGCATACCCAATACCCCTAGCAATACCTACAAAACTTGTCAACTCAAGAGTCGACCATAGCATAGAACGAGATATCTCAACCTGCTCCAAAGCCGGAACCAAAACCTATTCCACAAAATGCACCTGAAAGATATCCACTGTGTACAAAAGGTCTAGAAAATTGCTGTAAAAAAAGTAAGACATAAACTACAACGTACGACGTGGAAGGAACCACCACACACTGAGTCCTTCGAAGACACTTTAAAGTTCCGAAACCTATTGCTAGCCCATAACCCCCGCCCATAAAACAGCCTACTGTAACACCAAGACCAAGATGCGGCCAAAGTCGTTCGAAGTTATTCTTTAAAGATACTCTGAAGGGCTCAACTTCTTCTGAAGCCTCTGTTCCCAACCACATTTTGAATGATTCAAATCAATCCTTTTCTCTCTTTTAGACAAGTGAAATGGCGTTTGTCACTCATACAACACAGTCATAGGCGTTTTCTCCGCTTACGATGAGACGTATTTACCCCAGTATCTTCTTGTTTGCGAGAACTTTCTGCCAAAAAAGTAGGAACCGGAGGCGGTTCTTCTCCTCGAAGTTTTGAAAGCCTCACCTTTAAATTATGTAGATCCCACTCCTTCCGAATAAGCACCTTCTCTGCTTCAAAGTAATTCAATAGATCCAAACGAAGTGAATCAAACTCTTCTACAATTGTTGCAGTAGGCATAGGACGAAGGCCCACTCCGAGTTCTTCTAACATTCCTTCCACTCTCCGAATATTCCGCTGTGAATGACTAACAGGCGTATACAGAATGCTACTTCTTTCAAAAGCACCGGAATGATATCTTCGACGTGGAAAATTACCTTTACGGTCATACTTTTCAGATGCCGACGCATTTCCAATTTGCTGCTGCCTGTGTCTGTTCGAAAAGTGCTCCTTCTGACCGGAAGGATACTCGACAGATGGAACGATATGTACAGAAGCAGGGTGCCTAATATCCCCTCCTCTTGAAAGCAGTTTCTGAATTCTTTGTCTTTCCTTTGCACGGCGTTTTCTATTAGCCTCTATCTGACGAGCTTCTCGAACCGTGTTTTCTTCCCTGTCCAGCTCCTTCTACAAAGCCAAATAAGTTTTCGATAGTTAAATAATATTCCTATCTCACCTTTGAAAATTGAAACGCGTTGTCTAATTGAACTTTCCTTTGTCTTTCATAGTCAACATCAAAGGGATTTGCAATTAGTGCTTGGACGTGTTTGAATATGACACTGTTCCTTGTACTGGGCTCAAACTTGCGAGTTTCCGCCAATTTTCGAGCAACACTATAGTAACGATTTTTCAATTCCTCCAGAGAACGTCTTTCATCTGGCCAACGGTCGTAAATCACTGTAAAACGGAGGTTATACTTTTCGCACAGTTGAAATAAGAGATTTGTTTCTTCACGTGACCAAGAAGAATCGCTATTCGTTTCTTGACACACGACTTCATATTCTGAATCGGTATATTTCAATATTTTCGCTTCTTTGTTCAAGTTCGAAAACAAGTCCTCCTTCTCTTCATCCTTGTCTTCTCTACTCCAATGGAACAGCTCTAGTCCATCTTTCCTTTTTGCACTTGAAAACGCTTTCCATTTCCATCGAGAAACTTGGTTATTCGAATATAACCCCACAGGAACTGAAGGGAAGACGGAAACGGAGTTTGTGAGGGAAGCCCAGTCCCTTCCATACACAGGGTTACGAGTGCCTCTTCCTTCGCTAGTTATGTTTCTAACACTCTCCTCCGTGTTGACAATTTCACTATACTTACATAAACTTTGTGTCATTCAAGAACTGAAATTACTTTGAAAGCTTGCATGACCATCGAAAATTCTGAAATGGATTATTCACTTACTCGACTTCTTCTATGGCAAACTTATTGAAAAGAACCTCTTGAATAGCTCTCAAAGAGAATCAGGTTCGATATAGGTATATTTTGTAACTGCATTGGAGATACACTATTGTGGGTAGGTTTTATCAAGTGTAAGATAAAATGTTTTTTCTTCCGAATAGTTGACTGTTTGTTCTTCGTATTCCAAATACGTTCGAAAGACTTGAGTCGAAGTGTACTCGAAATTGATTGATATTAGGTATCGATACTAGAAAATCTTTTATGATGATTTGAGGGTCTGAAGTACACTTGCTTTCGACGTGATATTGGATTTCATTCAACTTGACTTCCAACTGCTTGTGTATAAATGCCTCTTCTTGCTTCTCCTCTTCGTTCTCGTCAAAAAAGACAATGCTCCGGGTTGTCTAGCAAGCTTTTGTGACAAGAGAAAGTTTAGTTGGCTTGCATTAAGTTGGTTGTCTTGCGATAACCCTGCATCCTGTATTTTGGAACAAGTTATGGGTCAGTAAAGTCATTTCATGAGATTCTACAAAAAAACGACGTTCCGTGCACAAAGGAATTCTGAAGTGCTCTGGAAATGAAGTTTCCTGAACAAGAGAGGTACAAAAAATTGTCATAAAAGAAATAGTAGGATAGCTTGCAACTCATCGATGTCACAGCAAAAGGCATTTATTATATTTTTTTCGAATTCATTTCAAAAGAAACGAACCCGACTATAGACAACCTTCTTTGACACTCAGAAGTACAGGCGTTCCCAAATTCACATATACTAAACTCTTCTCGTATATGTAACTATGGAAGCCAGCTCGAGAAAAAAACTGGAATCATTCTTCGAAAATCTTCAAATATGATAAAAATATAAACACATTGAAACCCGACAAGGCAGCGGTACAGAAATACCATAACAAACAACTCATATCACGCAATTCACTCAAGTCCAATTGATCATACGCTTCGAACAGGGTCGCTCAAACAAAGACTGAGTCTCCCTCTGGACGAGAAGATGAGGTGGAACAAAATTGTTCTCTTCATCTTCCTCATCTCTTTCCGAGCTATTCTCCCGAGGAATTTCGAAGTTGTTCGTGCTTGGAGACCTTCCTCTTCCATTTTTTATCGAACAGAGTTGACTTTCTCTGGCAACGTGATTCCGTGACGAAAATTCGAAAACTTCCTGTTCTTCAATCTCGCCAAACCCGTGGACAGAAGTTTGTGACTCGCTATGAGACGAGGAAGTAAAAGTAATTTCCCCTTCAGTCACTCCCCCGGTTGACAAAATCGACAATTTCGACAAGGGTGGCTTTGTTACAGACCTACTGCCCGTTAACCCTTCAGCTGAATATCCTGGAAGTCTCTTCGAATCCCTTCTGAAAATATCTGGCTTCAAACTTTGGCTTAAATAACCCCCCATCTTCTCTTTCCCCGAAAAAGAGTTGCTTGAAACTTCCCGGACTGAAAAAGGAACTGAAGAGCCGAACTTCCACTTAAAAAACAGTGAGTGACTAGGAAAACAGAATCCAAGGCGAACCTACTGTCATTTGTCCATCACTAAACTCTTCCACTGCGTCTAGCGACGCTACGACAGAGTCTGGGTAAAACGACATAAACCAAGGTTGTAATCAAATTTAGTTGCTATTTAGTATCCTAGCTGCTTCTGTTCAGCTGGTCCCAAACGCTTTCACACCCCTCGCGACACCACACTTAATAGGAAGACAACAAGTGGAATTCCACGGCAACAGGAAAGAAGTCGGCCGCTTTCCAGATCCGAATCTCGAATCAACGGAAAATGTATCCCAACATTTTTGAGGATTCGATTACTGCCAAGCGGTTTTGAATGAAGAATCGGAATCAATTCTGTAATGCTTTTTGAAGCCAAACAGTATTTCTTCACAGAAATGACTTTATTCGGTTGAATGAGTTCCATGTGCAGGTTGACATTGGAGCAAATAAGAACATCCTCGGTTCTATCAGAGAAAGAAGACTTTAATAAATTGACTAGAGTTTCTACGGACTTTTGATAGAAGTGGAGATTTTAGGATCCCAACTCGCTCTGATCTTTAGTTCTCTTTGGACTGTTAGATAGCATATATAGTTTAGGTTTTTAACTCAAGCACCAAATAACCCAGTTCCAAAACTTTTTCATGTATTTAAGAAAAGGTTACAAAGTTGAAAAGGCTATCATAAGCAGTGGTCAACTCGGTAGTTGTGTATGAGAGTGGCCTTTTAAGTAGTGTATTAAATAACATAGTGACAAGGCAATGCCGATTTGGCAATATATTAAAGTGAGATGAGCTTAAGAAACTTGGGGAAGCGTGTTCTGAAAGGCTCGACACCTCTTTGGAAACCACGACGGTTCGCAATCCTTCTACCTTCTTGTCGGTTGATTTGGGTAGATACAACTGCAGTTACGACTACGAGTCTCATCGGAAACTGACGGGGCTTTGAAAAAGTTGAGTATTCGACTCGAGAAAATTCAAAAGCAATTTATAACTCGTCGAGGTTTGAGAAGATGGAAGAAACTTGTTTGTGACGCATCAGGAAGTTAGTGATATAACCAAGAACAATGACTTTACCAAGACTCATTTCAATTCTTCTAACAAGCAAATAAGTTTGATCATCAGCAGCCATGAATCAAAATGACCGTTTTCTCATTGATCGATCATTTGAATTCGATCCATTGGCGCCAGAAAAGTTATGAATCAACCTAAAGTTTCTCAATATATTAGAGCCAGAAAAAGAGACAACCTGAATTCCAGTATTCATAAAGGAGAAGTTGACTATGAATCTGCCGTAAAATCTAGGATACAGCAAAATCAAGAATTGCTCATGTCACTGGGATTTGATAAGCCTATCTGTGATCAACTTTACGATGTCCACAGGCGGAATCATAAAAGGAACTACAATGCAAAGAGAACAAAGGATATGAAAGTCTCCATTCCCAGTAGGAAGTCGAAGAGACTCGCTGGAGAAGTCCCAACAGAGGATATCGAGACCTTAATGGTAGAGAGAGGTTTGAAAGGTGACACGGGATATTCGGAAAAGATGCAAGATAATGAAGAATTTCAGCATTCTTCTACCGTAGATTCTTATCTTCCTGACAGTATTTGTACTCCCTACACATTAAAATCTATCAAGACGACAGTCTACCATTTAGGAAAGCATGTTGAAATTGAAGAAGAATTAGCATTTCAATTTTTAAGTCATGATAGTTGCAAGTTTAAACATCCGTACCCTGTCGGATACAGAGCTACGAAAAGAGAGTTTGGTAGGGTATGGCTGATGGGTATAGAAAGACAAGACAATGCAAGCCCCATATTCTTCATTCAACCTCTTGAAGAGTATCAAGAAGAGGAACTTTTACAAGGAAAACAAATCCCTATGAGCGGAAAGGCTTATACTGGCTATGCTCCTACGTGGCCTTGGACTCAGGCATGTTTAAAGTCCAAGTCTCCGGGAAGAAGAATAAGTGGACCCCTTTACTTTGGATTTTCAGATCCCCTGAACATTTGCAAGGTAATGAGCCTTGAAGGAGGCCACGAACTGCTATCTAGATATCAAGAACACTTGGCTAGAGAAACTTGTAAAAGGACCCAACGACCCAAGTCAACTGATGATCCACCTCGGAATACGGAAGAATAGTCACACACAACTTTTGAAAATTTTCGATTCTTCACAAACTGCTAACCCTGTCGTTCAACAATAAACTTCTGTTCAAGAAGAAGTTTTCCTCGTTACAACTTTCTGAAACCTATGCATCTTCTATAGATGTGTTGGGTTTTGGTCTTCAATTATCATCATTTCCATTCTCGTTCAATGTCACACCGTAGCTTGTCATTTACCAGAAGTCTTGCCACGAAAGCAAAGTCTACGAAGAAGAGTACTTCTTCCACAGCTTTAACAAACTTGCCTTCAGGTTGGGAGGCTTTAAATTATTTCAAGGAAGGCAAACCACCAGAGTTGAAGGTAATGGTGTTAGGTATTGACGTTTCTCTATTATTTAACTGTCGCGGTTAGGAGGACAAGGAATATCCAGATTGGCTATTTTCCCTCAAGTCCCGTCGAGCAACGTTAGAAGATCTGATAGAGAGAGTAAACAAGGTTTGCTATGTGGTCTGTCTTTGATCAGAACATTTTTTTAAAAGATTTTCAAGTTCTATGCCCAAGGTGGTGTTGATGCAGTTGCAGAGAATATTCCCTGGTCTGAATTGCGGAGAATGTTCCGTCTTGCAAATATCCGACGAATAAGGAGACAAAATAAGGAGAAGGCCGAGGAATTTTAAGCCTCGTGTTGGCAACATAATTTCATTCCCTTTGTAATATTATGAAAGAACAACAAACTTCCAACAAAGTTGGATCGTCTAGTTAGCTATTTCGCTCAGTACTGTATTGTGGCTTTACAAACTGTAGACCGAAAAAGGTTAAAAGATAAATCATAACTCCAAAGAACGCAGCTACTGCCAAGACGTCACAAGCTTGAGGAACACCACCACGTCGCCATATGGTACCTTCTCCTGCATTTTCCTTACGTCGGTGCAACAAGTAAGCACTCAATAGAGCAAATAATAAGAGAGAGAGACGATTCGCTATCGTCAGATCTGGAGTCATTGGCACATACGATACACACTTCGCAATTATTGTATCTAAAACTTGTCGAGTTTGTAAAGCACTTGGATCTTGTACAGGAATTCGATCCCTCATGAAAACAGCATATTGATAGAAAATTTTGTAAATATTTCTCATATTGGTCGAACGCATTACTAATTTGGCAGTAATACCTCGACGCACTTTAACCTTTCCACGAAACACCTGAGGATTATTATAGCATTCTGCCAAAGTTGCAATAGCCATGACCTGTTTCCAAGAGCATTCATTCAGTTTGTTTCCATGAAAATATAAAGTCATCAACATACTTGAGGTATCGAAACAAAATTAAATACTTTGAGATCTTTCGCACCGGCAAGGTACTCCAAGCAATCCGGTACGTGACGCAAGGCATCTGTGACCAAGTGATTCAAACAATGTAGTCCATCTTCTGTATGAACAGGTTCTTTAAAATCCTCCAACTTTGAACCATAAGCTTACACAGATCTGCGGTTAAATACAAATGGTGTAAACAATCTTACTCTGAAACA